AATTGAGTTTACGAGCGAAATTTTCCTCATTGTCATTGGTTAAATTTGGAAGATGGGAACAAATTAGAGAATAGTTGAGGAGAGACAATAATCGACGACTTATGTCAACAAGACTGATTCTAAAGAAGAAGGTAAAGTGACAATGAAGGATTTTTCAAAGAGAGAGAGAGATCGAATACTTTTTGAAATATTTGTCAGCGATAATATCAGTCAGTTGATCACATAATCGTTGTACTTGAGAAAGGATATTCGAATGGATACGATTCGTGAGTGAAGTTTGTCCATGCTTCAGCTTTTCGAATATGACCAATAGTTCAATATATTGTCTTGCAAAACCACCTCGTCTATTCCAATGTGCAATGTTTGATCTTTGATGATCTAATGAATCTAATACATCCTTTGCGAAGTCATAGTTTCCTACGGGAAGAGAAATGCTGATCGATTTTGTGAAAAGGACTATTTGATCAAACCTTTTAACAGTGTGTCATGAAAAACGTAATGACAATAAGTATCATGTGCTCGTCTCCATTGTTTTGCATCAATCCAAAGTCGAACAGCGTTCATCCATTGTTTATCGTATTCTGCTCGTTGTGCTTTGGTTGAAAGAATTGATTTCAACGGAATATTATATTTATCAATCAAACTCTGTTCGTCTTCACTCAAATCAACAGTTGATGAAACATGACGATGAAGAAATTCATTGATCATTTTTTCGCGACTAAAATGTCAAGAAAAGAATTTCGAAGCAGATGAAAAACAATGCTTTACTTCGTCGAATCAATGATATGAAGTAACACGAAGACCGAGAGCTGCCAATAGCCAAGATTTTCAAGTTGACGAGCAAAACTCACATGTAAACATGTATCGTTCTCAACAGACAATGGAATACTGCCTAATGATTGAAGTGTTATATACAACATCCAACTAAAACCCAAGTCAACAATTAGATCGAGTGAAAAGCGTACGAGTTTTTTCTACCTGAGTTGATAATCAAATGCATTGTCGGTATAAGAGTTGACATCGAAGACGTTGTCGAGTGGATACGTATCATCGGTGAAGAGTTTCAATAATTTCCAACGAAGATCGGGTGCTTTTGTGTTGCCTTCATAATGAGCAAGTGGCTCAAGCCAGTAATGTTCACGATAAGCCGTTTCGAAATCACGAACTATGGTCGAAATTGAATCTGACGAAGAGTTAGCAAACCATAGGTGCAATGCTAGTGCCATTTGCCAGTAAACCACACGGTTTTGATCAACTAAGTTATGGCCTTTAACGATAAATTCACCGGATAAGATGCCGATTGTCCGCTGAAAGTCTTTGGTGTATACATCAACAATCTAAATAAAATCCGGTAATTTCCTCAAGAATTTGAGTGAAAAGATTCTTTTTACATCTTCATGTGCACAATGACGGAGAACATCGCGAACAGCGTTACTACCGGATGCAGCATGAACAAGAGCAGCTAATCGAAGATCACCTTCTTTTTGAGCAAATTCCACACAATCGTGAAACAAACCACGAGATAGCAATTCACAATTTTGCTTAATCCATGGCTAAACACAAAACACGATGATATTTCACTTGGAGAAACCAATCGAATGTTTAGCTTTACTTGCTGCTGTGGTGGTTGACTTAGTATACATTGATGTAACCAATCGGATAACATTTGACGTCGTCGTTGATCTTCAAAATATGGCCGATTGATTATTTGAATGTTTTCTGGTATTTGAACTGGTCCCCATAACAATCGACATAGTTGAAGAACTTGTAATGAATAATCAGTGAAAGTTTGGACGGAACTCTGATCATCCATATTTCCTACGAGATAGATAAAGAAAGTGCATAGTTTCAAACATCGAATGATTTAACGAAGACTCAATATCCAAGTGTTTGACTTTCATAAGTATGAGAGTTTGTAGAAAAAATAGTTTATTGAAATCAAAAGCAAAAAACATTGGTCAGCCGAAGTTCGTGATTATGTCTTATTTATATTTCATCAGTAACACTCAGTCTTTCTTTTCGTGTATCTTACTTTCGTCTAAGATTTCTGTATAAAATTTGATAAACCGTTGGACAACATTCGCATCTTTTTGAACTCGAAATCGTGGTGTTGTTCCTGACCCGTCGATTTGTTGTGTACATGATGTAAAATAGTTGTCGAGGAAATTATTCAAGTCTTCAATATGCTGAACATTGAACGCCAGTGGTGTTTGAAGAAGAATACGTGTTTCATTTAAAGCTAAAACAGTATGAACATGTAGAAGGAGACCATTGAATGAAGTACAGAGATTTACGATCAATGGAACTGTATTGAAGTTGATGGGAAAGATTTGTTCGAAAATATTTTCCACGAATATTTGCGACGTTTTTAGGCAATTTCGAATGAATTCGTTCACGGACAGGTTTCGTTGGAGCGTTGAATGTTAACTGGGTTTTATCGTGATCAACGGTTGCACTTTTTTCTATTAGTGGTTCTAAAGAGCAGACGATAAATATGTTTCGAGTGAAGTGTTTTTTTGTTACCACGAGCAATTGGAACTGATCGATTATCAGATGTAATGATTTTAGTGGATGTGATCATTCGGTCTAAATACATAAGGATTGAGAATAAATTCGATGTAAAGGTACTTTTACCATTTGCTTGCTGAAAGCCATCAAAGTCATCCTCATCATCATCACAGAACATGGATTGTGCTAGTTGTTCCACAACATTTGGCTGTAAACCAATCAATGACTGATTGACAAAGCGTAAATTGCTCGGTTGGGATTGATGAGAATGGATCAAGGTTGTCGTATTCTCTTTTTCTTCCATATCCGTTACTTGAGATTTTGGTGAGGACAATGCATATGTATCATTCAACGCGATAGTTTGGTCTAAGAAATTCGTATTGGCGGGTCTCGCCTGTTGTTGTTGCTGTCTCTGTTGTTGTTGTTGTTGTTGTGATGGCGGTTTAGCAACAACAAAATCATCTTCACCATCGAGACCGTAACGTGTGAAATGTTCGACTTTGAATGTCCATGCACCGTCGGTAACTTCGTAGTTTATGAATTCTCCATCGAATTTTTTCGTTACTTCACGTAAATATTCGCCATAATTCATCGCTTTGATACGTTCAACGTCGAGAATTTCTTCTCGTGTTGTGCGATCGGTTGGATAAACGCCAAGTAATGTGATACGAGCAGGAATGTTCAATTCGACACCCACTGGTGGTTTGTTATTATCATCTGGATAAACTGTTAATTCATGTCGATCGATTTCGACTACAAAGAAGAAAATAGAATGAATTTAATCTTATAGAGATCAACTGATGACTTACTGATTTTATCAAGATCGAGACCTGCGACATTGACTTGTCCATAGAATGTCACTGAACCGTACTTTTCATGCCCGACAGTGAATTGTTTAACAAAACATTGACCTTTATCATCGAAGAATTTTTTTAGTTCTGCTGTTGACGGTTTCATGTAGTAATCTTCACGGGTTAATTTTGGCAGATGATACGCACGAGCATCGGTGTTCGAACGGATTGGTCTAGTTCGTTGGAATGAATGAGCGAATGCAGATGAGGGAGGAGGCGGAGTAGTTGATCGTGGTGGCGGAGGTGAAGATGTCGGCGATTGAACGAGTGTCGATAATGGATGAGTTACGGGAGGTGACGGTTGTTTGTGAACAACTAACGGAGTTGAATGATGGAGTGGTAACATTACACGGTTATTATCTAAAGAAGTATAGAAGTAAGATGAGTTGAATTTATAGAAACGAATTTACTTGATGGATGTAACGTTTGCTCATTATTTACTGTTGACGATGACGAAGCACGAATTGAAGCAGTATCGATTGTGGTCGAAGATGTTGTTGATAATGGAGCTGAATGAACAGTAGAAAGAATATTTGTATTATTGTTCATGTTTGCCATTGTTTCGAGTTCAGCAAGACGTCTCAGTGGATATAAAGAACGAATTGACTCGGACTGAAATGATGTGTCGATAAAGTCATTCGACAAACGTAATTTTGACATTTTATTTTTGCCCATCAGAATAACTTCTTCTTCTTCGCTAAAGTCAGCTGTTAATGGACTTTTCACTTGTCCAGTTGATGTATTCAATTGTGGATTGGGTGATTTCATTTCATCGTGAACAATGTTTGCTGTTGGTGACGATGAAACTGGCTGTAATTTGAAGCGAATATCAACCAATGGACGAGCAGATGAAGTTTTACGAGAATTTGATTGTAATGGTACAGTTATTGGTGCTGTTGACGAGGTGGAAATTGTCGTTGTCGTTGTTGTTGATGAAGTAGAAACGACAATCAAGTTTGTAGGCGGTTGAATTTGATTAATATTGTTGAATTCTTTTTTTCCACGACTAGCGAATGGATTGAGAAGTGAAGCTGCAAGAAAGCTTTGTTGTGCCAATGGAACAACTTGTTGAAGTTGAGGTTGAACAGTTGCGGCAGCTGGTGCGGCACCAAAAGTTGTTGTCGATCCGAACGGTGCTGAAAAGCTGAATGATTGAGTGGCGGCTGCCGGTGCAGCTGGTTGTGAAAAACCAAAGCCTGTAAATGGTTGAGGATTAAATACTGAGGATGTTGTTGTTGTTGCTGCAGGCGCACCGAATATAGACGATCCAGGGGCACTCGTTGTTGCTGTACTAAATGAAAACGGCGCTGGAGCGACAGCTGCTGGTTGTGTACCAAAACCTCCAAACACTGGTGCAACGGTTGCTGTTGATGTCGCCGGCGCACCGAATATACTTGTTGTTGTTGATGTTGGTGCAGTAACGCCAAAACCTGAAAATGCTGGTGTACTGGTTGCAGCACCAAATACAGGTGCAGCTGTACTAGTTGTTGTGCCAAAAATACTTGTCGCCGCAGGTTGAGTACCAAAGGGATTTGATATCGTTGGAGCTGCCGTAGCTGTTGATGTTGGTACACCAAATATACTTGTTGTGGTCGCTGCTGGCGCGGCAGTTCCGAAAGGCGAGGTAGTTGTTGGTTGTGAAAAGATGCTCGTACTGGCAGCTGGCTGGGAGCCAAAAGAAAACGCCGGAGTTGTACTAGTTGTTGTTCCAAAACCTTTGGAAAAGAATTCTCAATAGTCTTTTGTATTTATTCCAAGTTACATGTCTATTTACCGAATGTGGATTGGGTCGTAGCTGGTTTTGCACCAAAAGGACTTGCTGTTGTCGACGAACCAAAAATACTTGTCGTTGGTTGTGTTGCACCAAAAATTGATGTGGTCGCTGGTGTTGTTGAAGTTGCGGTGCCAAATGGACTCGCTGTAGCTGCCGGTGTACCAAATATACTCGTGGTTGGTGCTGCACTTGTATTAAACGCAAATGGCGTTGTCGATGTCGCTGGTGCACCTAAAAGCGAATATGTAATGGCTCATTCGATTGGAATAAACGCTCATACCAAATGGACTGGTTGTTGCTGTGCTACTGGTACCAAAAATGCTTGAAGTTGTGGATGCTGCTGGTGCGCTTGAAAACGTTGCTATAAAAGAAACAGAGATCCATCAATATTCCAGTTTACCAATCAAAATGTAGATTCTCACTGGCGGTGCCACTGAATGGCGCAGGACTAAATGGTGTTGCAGCCGAAAAACTAGTCGAACCAAACATAGACGTTGCTGTTGCAAATTTTCGATTTGCTTGATAATCTTCCATACGTAATTCTTCCAACGATTTATTTATGTATTCTTTCATTGCACAAATACACTGCAATTTCGTATTGATTGTCTGAAATGTATTGTTTTTTGTACGCATTGTGTCTATATAGAAATAGAATGCGCCTAAGAAGAGAAAAACAACATGAACAATTTACCTTGTGCCGATACAGCTTCGAATTTGACAGTAGTACCACCTTGGGTGGCAGCGCCTAACGGTGCACCAAACATTCCCGTTGTTTGTGTAGGTTGAGCGCTACCAAAGGTTGACTGTGGTGCCCCAAATATTGATGTTGGCTGAGCTGTTGGCTGACTCGCACCAAACAATGATGTTCCACCAAAGCCTTAAATAGATATTCCAGGAAATCCACCTATCTGTTTATTATCTTCACCTGTCGTGCCTGTAGCTGGTGTCGTTGTCGTAGTACCGAATGTAGTTGTAGAACCAAATGGGCGAATTGCTGAAGAACTTTGTAAGCCGGTACCGAATGAAAGCGGTTGTGTAGCAGCAGGTGTTGCTGCTGTTGAACTGACAGTCGGAGTACCGAATGTAAATGTTGAATTTAGTGCTGATGGAGCAGCTGTACCGGCTGCCGGTGTTGAACCAAAAAGAAATCCGCTTGCTGCTGGAGCTGGAGCTGAAGTGGTTGTTGTCGCACCGAAAGCTATAAATAACGAAGAAGGCGTGACATAAAACGAAAATGTTCTCGAATACTAACGATTTGACGTTGCCGTACTGCCAAATGAGAATTGACTGGTGCCCCCAAACATTTTTGATTATCAAATTTCGATCGATGTAATGAGGAAAGTTTTACCGTCTGATGAATTGCACCTCTTCTTTCACTCGTGCTCAACAGGGTATATATTCTACGAATGACAGCGTGCAATAGATGTCGCTCGATAAAATGTTTCTGAAAATCTCTTCGAAAATCAGTTTTCAGATGAAAATTTCATTTTAAATCTTAAAATTGACCTTACTCTCGTTTTTTATTTGTTTATCAGAACACCAATTGGTATAATGATGACGATGCAACTAACGAATAATAATCGCTAGTTGATATTGATTGTTGGCAGTTTATTTTACGTTCTGTCTGCGCATTTTAGTTAAATACACTTTAAGACAATTAATCCTGCACAAACGAAATTATGGAAGAACCAACTAAAGCTGACATTGACGCAATTTTCAAACGATTAAGGACACTTCCTGCTAACAAGGTTTGTTTAAAGAGTATTGATCGATTTGAAAATGTACTTAATCATATCCGACAGGTGTGTTTTGATTGTGATGCAAAGAATCCAACATGGGCATCAGTTACTTATGGTGTGTTTCTATGCATTGATTGTTCTGCGCGGCATCGCGGTCTCGGCGTTCATTTATCGTTTATTCGCTCGACGAATTTAGACACCAGTTGGGGATGGCTTCAACTTCGGTAAGCATTTTTTACTAATTTCTCTTCGAATTGAAACTGAAAATCTTCGATTTCGTAGAGCCATGCAAGTCGGTGGCAATGCGAATGCGGTAAGTCCTTACTTTCTAAGTTTTCCTAAGCGTAAGTTTACATTGGATAGGATGCATTTTTCCAACAACATGGCTGTAATACCAAAGATACCCAACAAAAGTATAATAGTCGAGCTGCTCAACTCTATCGTGAAAAACTACATCAACTTGCAACTAAAGCAATAAAACAATACGGAACGAAAGTAATTCTTTGGATTAACTGAAATCCAACATCGTCAAATTGATGTTTTAGCTTTTTCTTGATGATGCTCATAAAAGTGAACATAGCCAGTCAACTAGCGAAAAGAAAGAAGGTGATTTCTTCCATGAACATTTTCAAGCGCCAGCTAAAGCTTCTTGGGAAGACAACGTCGAACTTTCAACACCATCAAGTAATTCCAATCTTGATCGAAGTAAATTGTTCTTTACCATCTCTACAATTCTTCATTGTTCATAATTCTCAGATGAACAAACCGAAGGACCTTCTGTCGATCCGAATGCATTGAATAATGATGGTTCAGCAAAATCTCTTGACCCAAAAAAATCAACCATTGGTCAGCGTCGAGCTCCTCAATCCAAGAAAGTATGACTAAGGCTTGACTTTTTCTTTGAATCTAAAGAGAATGCTTACAGAAAGGATTCGGTGCACAAAAAGTAACAACTGATTTTAAAGAAATTGAACGTAATGTCCAAGAACAAGAGAAATTACGTGAACAACAAGCACAATTTGAAATCGAAAATCGTAAAGAAACAGAAAAACAATTGGAAAAGCAAATGTGAGTGTTTCGGTATGGTTTGATGACAGAGGTTAATCTAGGAATTGTGTTCTAGGGCTGGATTGAAATTTGCATATGAAGATATTGGTAAGAAACGTGAAGTCGAAGAAGCAAAATTAAAACAATCCAATCCACAAAAAGCCGAACAAATGGAACGTCTTGGTATGGGATTTGGAAGTCGAAGGTAGAGAAAAATTTTCATCGAGAAAAATTTATCATTCGAAATTTTGATTTTTACAGCGGTGTAAGTCATAGTGCAATGACAGATATGCAAACAATTCAACAGGAAGGTGTCACATCAACACGAAATGTTTCCTTGGCGGCAAAAAATCGAGACTTTTTTGATGACTTTACATCATCATCATCATCATCTGGCTTCAACAGCCGATCGAAGTATGGATGAATTCACGCGTTCATCAGTATCTGTCTCTCTTCATTCTTTAGTTATGATGTATCTTTATCGAAAGATTATGATTCATACGATGAGGAATCTAGAAAGTACTAATCTATTACTATTTCATACATGCATGCGCTTTTATTCTTCTAACATATCATTTCATAAATCAAATGCTTACTTATCGAGAGAATAGATAGATATTCCCACCTGACGTGATCCTTTTCTTCGTCTATAGATGCCAGTGATTAAGATATAGTTTTCAGATTTCATATATGAGAAATACGTTGAGTACCAGAGTGTAAGACATGTATATATAAACAAGCATACTAATTTTTCAATCGTATTTACGTATGACATTCTGAATTTATATTGTTCTCTATTCGATAGATTGGATGATGATTTATTCAAACCGAAATCTTCATCGAAGAATACCGATACATTTTCATCCGAATGGGAAGTTATTGATCGTAAAACGCCAACAAAAGAATTCAGTGCCAGTGGAAATAGCTCTTCTTATTCTTCAAACTATGGCAGTTCATCTGCTAATAGTGGTGGCTATAGGTATACGAGCATTTCGTTCATCGACAATTCTCATATATATATATCTATTCAATTAGCTCATCATCGAAAACAACAACATCTTACAGTAGTGGAAATAACGATGGTGATGCTACGAAACGATTTTCGAATGCCAAAGCTATATCGAGTGATCAATTCTTTAACAAAGATTCGGATGTATGTTCGAGATGAAAAATTTTTCAATCCATAATGAATGTTTCTGCTGTAGAGCGATCGAAACAATACGATCTCGCGCTTTCAAGGTAGTACAAGTATCTCAAGTGAAGATTATTTTGGTGATCCTAATAAAAAATCTCAAGATCGTTCCAATTACCAAGGTCCGGATTTAACAACCATGAAAGCCGATTTCAAAGAAGGTGTCTCGAAAGCTGCTGGTCGTCTCTCATCATTAGCTAGTAGTGTAATGTCAAGTATTCAGGTAAAACAAGAAAGATCATATCACATAGAAAATGATTTCTTTTCTTAAATCAATGTATTTTCTAGAAGAAATAAGTGTGTTGGGGGTAAGATTGAATAAGTAAATCAAGGGGTTTATGAGTTGAGATTTGTAAATGGTTATGGTTTTTAAAAGCGAACTGATTTTGATTTATCTAATAAATGAATCACATAATTGTATTCCGTTTCCTTTTAGGATCGGTATTGAATTGTTTGAGAAGAATGATATGGCTTTGTTATCATTGTTTTACCTTCTTTTTCTAAACCATCGTTTTACTTCTTGTTCAACATATAAATAAACACATCATTCTATCATGAAGATCATTTAATGTCATACATATTCTTTTCGTTCTGGTTGTTTGTTATATCTTTGTCTTGTGTGCTTGTTCTTCTCTTTTAATTTATTTTAAAAACAAAAATCCATCATTGTCCTTTTTATTCGAATTCATATTAATATAAATACAAGGAGAGAAAGAAAACGTTAACATAAACTGGCACTACAAAAGGATTAACACTGTCGAAAAACAGAATATTTTTTTCTTCTCAGTTTTGTTCAGAAAAGAATAGAGAATCTGAAGATATCATAGTTGTTCATTCAATTTAGTTCATGTTTAGACAATGATCGATATTGAGTTTCTTACTGTTATGAAATATTACACGATATATCATATTGAATCATTCAATGTTTCTTTTTCGTTCTGCTGACCTCGAATGTATCGTTGTGATGATAACACGACGGAACAAATATTTAATCAAAAAAGTATTTTTACTGAATATGTCCGATCCATAAAACCGAGTCTATTTGATTCTGCATCGAATATTGCCACTTTTATTCACGGAATAAACTTTGGACAATGCTTTACCTACATCTTTATTTTTCTTCTGTACATCTATTTATAATCCAAATCAAACTTTTCCAAAACTTGCCCTGTGAGTAAAAGTATCACCATTTGATGAAGAATTCAATTCTGAATCGAACACACTAGGAAATTTCAAGCAAAACTTTTGTTTCATCATTCTAGTTTCACATCGATCCTCAATGTGTGTGCCTGATTTACTAATTTTTATTCCTTATTCGTTATTAACAATAGACTTTGTTGACGCTTTTACATCAGATCTAACACTGACTTCGAATTGCTGTCAAAACATCGACAAAAATAATACCGGAAGAAGTTATATCGAATCTACGATCACCGAAAATAGAGAAAAATTCATTTTACGGAACATAAGATTAGAAAGTAAAATGGTACGAAAAGTTCGTATAGTTCTAACTCACTTCTCCACTAGCAGTGCCATTCTAGCTCATCAACACCTTCATCTACCTCTCACCCCACACCCCCAGGATATTTATCTCATGGAAACTGGGCATTTTGAATCATACGAAATTTCTGTTCAAAGTGTCCTTTTTCGAGATTTTTGTCTTTTAGATAGGAATTTTTCGAAATACTGATTTGCCGACATTATGACTTTTGATCTTTTGCCACGATACACGCACTTCATTGTAATTCTTTCAAATCATATTTCAGGAAGAGAAAGACGGTACCAACTCTGCACCTTTACTTTATAATAATGTCTTAGCATTTTCGATATTTCTCTTGTCGAATTTTTATCTTCTGACATTTTATCTTTCGACATCTGTATTAGTAGATCATCGTAAGAATATTCTATAACAGAAGTACCTATCTTCACAAGGACCTTATTTCAGAGTGATATGAAGTAGAATGGGAATTCTATGACGCATCGTCATAAAAATTCATTCTTTATTGAAGAATACGAAAAATAAGTTCTTGTATTTTACAATACTTCGTCTAATTTATTTTGACAGAAATTGTCGTCGTAAAGAAAAGAAAAGACTCCTTTCAGCATCAATATTTATTCTCCTTCAACGCCACTGAAAAACAATAAGCGCTTTACTCAGTATAGTCGGCGCTCACAATGGAAAAAACCTCACGGTTAGAACGAGAAAAGGAAGGAGGAAGAAAAAAGAGAAGAAATATCACGATTATATTGATACAAACTAAACGCGATTTGTATAACATACACCGGTTGCTCGACTCATCAACATGAAATATGTGATTACTCAAAAGTTTTCATTTCGCCATAAAAAGTTTCGAATCGCTCGAAATTTCAAAAGGCTTTGCATGGCTCGTGCTACTCTGAGCAAAGAACATCCTGATCGATACGAGTAAATATTGTTTCTGTTTACTTTTTCTTCTTATTTATAAATTGCTTTGTTTAATCTAGCATGAAATTAACTAGTCGATGGAACAAGCTAACTGGTGAAAATTCTTGTCTAGTGCAGCCAGATCCACAACGACAACGACATTATTTAATTTACTTACGAAATGACCAAACCAAGGAGATGACTCTCGTTGCGGGGTTCGATTTTCAACCCTTTGGTTACGACAACTATCTTTATATATTGTCTATGGCTGGTAGACGTTACCAAGTGCAAAGCTTGGATTTGAGAAATCGCAACTTAATGCTGACGGAACCGTTGCAATCCGTGTATCCACAAACACTATATCAAGTCAATGAAGCGTTCACAAGCGAAACGAAAACGTATCATCTTACAATTCATGATGACGAAAGGCAATATATTTTTCTTGCTATTACAATCCTCCTTCATTTACACGAACGAAAACGAAATAGTCATTGATTAAACTAAGTCATCTTTTGATTCGTTACACATTTTCAAATAAACCAGATTTCAAAATCTCGTTGAATTAAAGCTCGGTATTAAATCCCAAATTACTCGTTTCTTGTCAATTTTACTAGACAAAAAAAGAACGACCCGAAACGCAGTGCGTCATTAGAGTAGGCCGAAGATAGTGTATAAGTGGCGTCATCATATTTTCTTATCTAAAATATCAGATGATATAAGAAAGACGAAGTCATACTGACGCTTTATTTGAACAATCATGAAATTGGCCATTCTTTCTTTGACTATTGTTTTGTTCCTTTGCGGCACAATTGAAAACGTGCCGGTCATCCATCCGATACATGTTCATACAATTCCTCTACGTCCAATCACTCCTCCGAGACCGAGTATAAAACCAGTTACTCCATTTCATACTTCTCATCGTCCTCATGTGACAACGACGGCAGATCATCACTATGTACCATATCAAACAAAGGGATCTTATGGATGGACAACTGCCGCTCGTGTATTTGCCTGTATTGTATTAGGTTTTAGTGCAGTGAAACTTCTGAGTTTGTTCTGTTCATCAAAGAAATCACAAACAGCAAACGAGACGAGCAAATCTACCGGCATTAAAAATCAACTGTACGTTGCAACGATCGAAGGTAAACGCGAGGAATCACCGCCGTCATATGCACAAATTCACAAAGTCTAAACACATTCGAGATGACAAGAGAACGAACGATTTTAATTGATTTTTTTTATTGTAATATGAAGATTCGATAAAATATTCTCGAAAGTCATGTATTTATTCAAATTCGCAAAACAGTAAGACAAAAAAAAATAATTTTACAAAGAAAAAACCAGAACATAAGAGACTTAGAATAAATTGTTCGTTTGATCATATATTTTTATGTACCACAGAACTAAAATATCAAGCAAATATATTTAAAAAATCCACTAAACTTCACCCTCTTGTTGAAACGGAGTTGTCGCTAGAGTTTTCAATGGCGAATTTCGATTCATGATCGGAGGTAAAATTGGTTGTAATTTTATTGCCGATTTGGTTGGCGAGCGTCGATATGCTTCGGTATTTTCCGCACAATCATTGAGTAATTGTCGCTGTCGGTTAGTAAATATTTGCTCTTTTTCAAATTCAACACTTTTGGCTGATATTGGGCGTAGTTGTTGCGGTGGTGTTGGGGCGCGTCGGTTAACAAATAAAAGTTTCGTTGAATCTGTTTCCGGACTCGTGTGATCACGATGAAGCGATGACGAACGGTTGGACACGTGTTTGATTGATGGCGGACGCTGTATTGGATGAGAAATATCGATATGTTGAAGTTTCGCGGGTTTATTCGGTAGAATAACTTTTCCCAGCCGTGTTCGAGTTTGTAACTGCTGTTGATGTTGTTTCTCTCTATGTAATTGATTGGTCAACTGCGCGATCAATGTCGAACGTTTTTCAAGCTCGATTTTCAATTCTCGTTGTTTATCAGTTTCTAACCGCAAATCAAGCGTATGATTTCGTTCACTTACAAGTAGACGACTTTTGTAATCCTGTATGACTTTTTCTTTCTCTTCTAAAAGTGTGTTCAAATGTTTAACTGTTTCTTTGCATTCATGAATTTCGCGTTCAAGCTGTTTGATTGTCGATTGAAGTTTACCTACAATAACATTCGAAATCGAACGAGTTCATATTCGGTTAAGGTTTACCATCATCTGATGTTGTCAGTACAGTACCGCCACCGATTGCTACTTGAAAAGTAAGATCTAGAAAGATGATGATAGTGAAGGAGATGATGTTTGAGATGAGACAAACCACTGCATTTTTGTTGCCATTTAGCGATTTCTTCGTGAAGATTGGTCAAAGTGGATGCATGTTCACGCTGAATGAATTCAATCGATTTCTCCGCACTGTGAAGTCGTTGAGCGAGAGTGATCGTTTGCGCCGGATCGGATATCATGTCCGACATTGTTTCAAAATCTAGAATGCAGGAGACAATCGACCTTGCGACTGGGTAATTTTCATCTCTTTATCGTGTTCAACACTAATTATTACATATAAACACATTTTAGATTGTAAAATACGCAAAAACGAACGGGTTCATGTCTAATAATACTAAGAAAAGGGAGACATTGTGAAAAATAATCCTAATTTATCTGACATTCAAATTCGATAGCAATTGAAATAAAGACATTCAATCATCGCGAGAATTCCAATTGCGAACTTTTGTACGAGTGGTTACGCCTCCTCTTGCTCCACCCCGTGTAGGATTCGATGTTCTCGTCGTACGCGCTGTCAATGCTTTTCGTTGTGCATTGATGTTTATTGTCGATGATTCTATGTAAAATTACACTATAAAACAATCGAAACTATGCTGAAAATCTTACTCGCTATCGATGGTCCTTTGCCAGGTGTGTTGTCGAGAACTTTCCATAGATCGCGAATGTTTTCTGAAGCTATCGTCGTTACGGTGTTATCGCTTTCCATCAATGGATCTATAGATAACGATGAGGAAGGAGCAGATTGAAATGATCTGATGGATTTACTTTCGGATTTTTCAGGCGCACTTATAGGTCTTTGTTGTTGCAGCTCATTGGCTAGTAGATGTGCTCTTTTGCGATTTTCTAACTCCTGCCAACAAAGAAAGTAGAGAAAAGAGAAGTTATTTATGATTGAAAACAAAGCACTTCACTTGTTTTGTTAAAGCATACTGAAGTTGCTCGAGTCGTTGAAGTTTGTTTTCAAGGTTGACGACATCTCTTTTAGGAGAATTTGAAACATTCGAGCGTTGATTTGTTGGAATTGTGTCAACGATCTGTGGACGTTTGATCAATACTGGTTCATCTATTTTCACAAATCAAGACATCGATGATGAGTTTCCTTTCAAACAAAGTACCTTCGCGATGATTCAATTGTGACCGTAAATGATTGCTGATTTCAAGCAAACGTTCTTTGTCACGAATTAATGTTTGAATCCGAATATTCGACTGTTCTAATCGTCGTTTTAGTTGATCATTTTCTTGTTGAAGAAGAACTTGTGACACATCAATCCCATTATCGTCATTAGTTAATTTCGGTCGAACATCTGAGAAAAGAACAAGCAGAGTGGTCAAACAACTTTGAAAGAAGATCCAAACCAGCATATTTTTTTGTCAATCGCTCAATTTCATCTTGAAGTTGTTGAATGAGAATTTCCTGACCACCGTAATTGAAAAGTGGAGTACGACCAGCTAATTCTAGTTTAGCTTCACTTAACTAAATATCATCGAATGCGTTTCCTAAATTACATTTTTGTAAAGCACTCTACTTTTCGTTCTAATTCAGCAACATCAGCGTTTCTTTCGATGATCGATTTCTGATATTCGTCTGCTTCGCGTCTTGTTTCTAATAAATGTACTTCGAGATCGCTCATTTTTTGTTTGATACTCGTCAGTTCTGTTTGATGCCGACGTTCATCGGTATTTAGTTGATATGTTAATTGATCGATCCGGGATTGTCTCGATCGTAACTAATCGAAAGCGGAAAATGATTTCCATCGACAAATGATCAAAATTTACCTCGCGTTGAAAATTATCGTGGTTTTTCTCGATTTGAATCAATCGACCCTCTAGTTTTCTCACTTGAGACACCAATTGCATCTTTTCCGTGCGAAGTGCCGCTACGAAAAAAAGCGTTTTTCTTTCTATCAAAAACTTCCATTAATCATTACCAACAGTATTGTTCAACGATTGAACGTAACTGTTCAATTGTGGATTCTTCTTCAATTCGTTATTGACAACTGTATGATCAACATCGACATTTGAATGTCGGGAGTCCAGTCGGGTGATCAAATCTCGATTTTGTTGACGTAATGTTTGGTTTTCCGTTTGCAATTCAGTCACTAAACTCGGTTGTCCTGACGTCGTCTGGCCCGGTAAATCGTTCATCAATGCTTCCATTTGTTGTCGCATTTGGGTGATAACTGATCGAAGATTTTCGTTTTCACGTTGTAGGACAACTAAAGCATCGCCATCACCGCCATTCTATTTCGGAAAAATCAAATAGAAACCATTGTTAAGTTCAGAAGAGGAGATTTACTGATTTGTATTGGTTGCTGTATGCTTTGAGCAGATCGTCTTTGAACTTGAGATCGTTTTCGAGTTTTTTCACTTGAGCAATTGACTAAACATCGGAAATTATGAAGTTGAAAAGGAAGTAAGCGGAAAGACAAGTACCTGTTCGTGCGCGCTGGAGATTTTTTCGATCAAATCTTCTGATTTATGATATTCTTGTCTTTGATTTTGTTCGAATTTCTTTTGCCAATCAAAATCTAATTGGACCTTCGCTTCTTCCAATGCTCTTTCTCGATCTAACGCATCTTCTAATTCTTTTTTATACCTAAAACTCTTCAAATCTCGCCTGACCCATTACATTCGATTTTCTCCTACCGATTGATGTGATTATCTTTAATTTTCAATTCGCCTTTCAACGTATCACATTCTTCCTGCAAAGCACGATGTTCGATATTCTCATTGGCATGTTCTTTACTAATTTGCGTTAATTGATGGTTCCATTGTTTTTTAATCCGGTTGATTTCATCTTGTAAACTAAATCGCACGAAATGGATATCACATGGCGCTGGGTGTTTTTACTTTGACAGTTCAGTATCTTTGTCTCGAATGAGATGTTCATGTTCACGTTGTTTTTCATTCAATTGTTGTCGTAATTGAAAACATTGTTCATTCAAACTTTCCCATTTACCTTCGAGTTCTTGATAACTTTCCTTGAATTGCTCGAGCTTCACTTCTTTTTCCCGTAATAATCGATCGAGCTCACTGTATCTAAGGAACACATCGTAATGATCAATCACAAAACTCAGTATTTACTTTCGACTGTAATCGTCTTCTCGTTCCTGAAGTCTTCCATCGACATTGTTACATTTCGATTCCAGTTCTTTTATTCTACAAATCAAATTCTTATCCACATATCATATTCATTCGATCTCGTCACTCACCTGGCATTTTTCACTGCTTCCTGTTCGTGCAATTGCCATTCTTGTTCCTTGACTAACTTCTCCAATGTTTTGATTCGTTCCATCGATTCAGTTTTATTCAATTCCAACTGACGAATTGTTTGCAAGTGTTGTTCTATCTCTTCCAATAACAATTTACTCTAAAAACAATGTCTTTGAGAAAAAAAGAACTGAAGTTATTCAATTTTGTACTTTGAGTTCACTGGCTAATTGCAAGTTGTTCACATCATCGTATTTTCTTTTCCAATCGAATTCAAATTTTTTTGTCTGAGTTTCGAATTCATTCGTCAATTCTCTTCGTTGTCGTTCCAGTTCGTTTTCCAACTCAGTTAATCGACGGTTGATTGCTCGACGTTCTTGTTCCAATTGTTCGCGTTCAGTTTGCAGAATTTGATCGCATTGTTGCTTGTAGCTTCCTAAATCTTTTTCTTTGATTGATAAACGATGAAGAAAATGCTTCTTCTCTTCATCAATTTGTGCTTCGATTTGTTTCTTCAATTGATACAGTTGATCATTGACGATTTTCAATTCGGAGATTTCGCTGTTCTTCTCATTTAAAACTTTTTTCAATTCTAATCCAAAAACAAATCACAATGCAAAGCAATCCGAATGATTCAACAACAAACCTTTGAAACGATTATCAAATGTCGCTAGTTCTTTATCACGATCATCGATGAGTTTTAGATTATATTTGAAGTCTTCTGATAGACGAGTATACTTCTGATTCAATTCGCCGATTTGTTGATCTTTATGTTCAACTGTTGCTTCTAATGCGACGAGTCTAAAACAGAAAAGTTTTCAGATAAAGATTTTTCTTTGTCGGACTGTGTCAATACCGTTCTTGCATAACACCTAACCATTCCTTTTCTTTTTGTAAAGCAAGTTGTTTTAAAGTCTGATCATCCATATCGAAGTCAATCACAAGTCATTTTTGACCAACTCGAACTCTTCCATTCTGCCATTAGAATTCACCGTTGTCAAGCAACGACGAAGGTGCAAAGAAGTGCATTAGTGCTCAGGATATCTAATACCTAGATCGTTTTTTTATTGAAAAAGTCAAGGCAAATTCGACTCTGTCGTTGAAGAAATTGTTCATTAATTAATTGAAAGAAATCTAATTGTAGCAATTAAGTTGCTTAGCTACGGAAGATGCAAAACTTAAATGATGGTATCGACTTGAAATGCTTCTAAGTGGTTTACAAATCGATTAGAGAAGAAAAACGATGTCATCAACAGCAGCAGGTTATATTATCAGTTTGTTGAGAAAATTAGTTTCTATTTTGCATTTTAATTGATCTAGATAACTCAGCAAGCGAAAAACATCAACAGAAAGCATTATTAGCCTCTCGGGATTGGGAGATATTAGTTACTGAGTAAGATCAAATGAAACCTTGATTTTTGTTTAGTTAGTTATTGATTATTCTTTTAGTCGTAGTGCCTTGAGAAGAGAACATACGGCCTTGTCGAAAAGCGGTGGCTCCGATCGAAGAAATAATTCACGTTTAGGTCACCATACAGATCGTAGCCGACGAACGGGACATACGAACTATGAACTGGATCTGTCTAGTGAAGAAGATGATGAAGAAGACGATGAAGTCTTAGAACGAGCACGACCTGATCAAGCGGATTTGCCGCCCGAATATTGGCAAATCCAACGTTTAGTTAAATATCTCAAAGGTGGAAATCCAACGGCGACGGTTATTGCCTTGTCATCGATTCGTGACTTCAATTTATCTGTTGAAACATGTCAAATAGCTATTCGTGATGTAGGTGGCCTCGAAGTACTTGTTAATCTCTTGGAAACAGATGATCTTGAATGCAAAGTAAACATTCATTCAAAGGATTTATCTCAGTGGGAATCTCTTTCTTTTGTTCAGATCGGTTCATTACATATTCTAAAAGAAATCTCCAATAATAAACATATTCGTCGAAACATTGCCGATCTGGGTGGTTTACAAACCATGGTTAAATTGTTGGATGAACCGGAAAAAGATGTAAAGTGTCTTGCAGCTGAAACCATTGGTAAGTATTTACCTTAAGTTCGATGATTTCTCATCTAATTGATTTTCAGCTCATGTCGCAAAGTTCAAGCGCGCACGACGAGTTGTACGACAAAACGATGGCATTCGACGCTTGGTAAATTTCGTACAAAATCAAACAACGAAGAATCATTCGATGGACATGTTTTAGGTTGCACTTCTGGAAAGCGCTACAGTCCCTGTTCATGGATCCAGCAGTTACATGACAAGTACTGAGAATGCAAAAAACATCGAAATAGCTCGTGCCGGTGCCTTAGCTCTGTGGAGTTTAAGTCGTTCGAATCGAAATAAACATGCCATGCAACAAGCTGGTGTTATTCCATTGCTGGCCAAATTATTGAAAAGTTCAAATGATAATATGCTTATTCCTGTAGCAGGAATCATCGAAGAATGTGCTACGGATGTAATTGATTGAGACGTTTTATCTTTATACATATGAAAATGTTTCTTTTTTTAGCAAACTTATCGAACTGCTGTACGCGAAATGATTCCAGATTTAGTGAAGAATTTACTAAGCGCGAACGATGATTTGAAGAAACATTGTGCTAGTGCGATTTTTAAGGTTTGATTCTTTGGATGAGAAATGGTGAAATCGATTTGTTTTGCATTTAGTGCGCGGAAGATAAAGAAATTCGAAATTTAGTGCGTCGATATATGGGTCTTCGTCCGTTACATGATCTTTTACAAAAAACTGATAATAAACCATTATTAGCAGCAGCGACGGGTGCTATTTGGAAATGTGCGATATCTCCTGAAGTGCGATTAAACCTTCTTCGTCAATTTATCAATTAACTGTCTGATTTTTCTATAGAATATTATACAATTTCAGGAGTTTCGAACACTTGAAGCGCTTGTTCAACTGCTTACCAATCAACCGGAAGAAGTTCTAGTGAATGTAGTTGGTGCCTTAGCTGAATGTGCGAAAGAATCTGAAAACCGAGTAACGATTCGTAAAGCGGGTGGTATTCCCTCATTGATCAATCTCTTAACAACAACGAATCCTGATCTGTTAGTTAACACTTGCACTGCTTTACGTCAATGTGCTGAAGATCTCGATAGTATTCAGTAGGTTTTCTTCTTATCTCATTTTCTCATTGACGAAGAGCTTTTTTAGAATGATTGATCGACAGGATGGCGTCCGATTACTTTGGTCGCTTTTGAAAAATCCCGATCCACGTGTGGAAGCTGCAGCAGCATGGGCGATTTCACCGTGTGTGAAAAACATCAAAGTTTGTTCGACGCTACACACATCTTTTTTGCTTTGATAATCGATTCTCCTTTCCAGGAATCGGGTGAATTGGTACGAAGTTTCGTCGGTGGTCTGGAATTGATTGTTTCATTATTAAAATCCAAAGATGTGCAAGTTTTAGCAAGCAGCTGTGCCGCTATTGCTGAAATAGCCAAAGACGAAGAGAATCTTGCTGTTATTACCGATCATGGCGTTGTTAAACTGTTATCCAATTTAGTAAATCGAGTAAGTATCGAATTCATTCGCTTGACTCAACTAGAAATTCTTTTTCTTATTCAGCATGAAGATATTCTTCGTCGATATTTAGCAGAAGCCATCGCTGAATGTTGTAAATGGGGAAACAATCGACAAGCGTTTGGAGAGAATCAAGCCGTTGCTCCACTTGTCAAATATCTCCGCTCATCTGATCCGAATGTTCATCGAGCAACTGCTAAAGCCTTACATCAACTATCAAAAAATCCCAATAATTGTGTGACAATGCATGACGCTGGTGTAGTTCGCGTATGTGTTGGCTGATTCGAACGAATCTTTTCTTTTCATTTCAATCTGATTTTAGATTTTAATGGATATGGTTGGCTCGAAAGATGATGTTCTTCAAGAAAATGCTGCTATTTGTATTTCCTACATTCGTCGCTTAGCCTTGGCTAATGAAAAATCACGAAATGGTTAAATTTTTTGACAAGTTTTTAACGAACAGTGAAAATCGACAATCTTTTTTCTTCTCTTTTTTTGCTTCGATTGCACATTTATTTATAAACGAATAAATCATCTCATGTTTTCACAACTTAAAACGAAAGAATTCTTTATTCGCATATAATCGATCAATATCGAATTTCAATGTAAATTATTCTAAAACAGAGTATTTAGTTAAAATCTCGTTGCTATGGAACGCTGTTTGTTTATTTAATCCTTCATTGTTCCGTTTGATCAATTCATTAAGAGAAAAGCGTGTAAATCAAATAAACATACATGGTTTGTAACTTAGTCTCAGATTGCACTTCAGTTGATTTCTTCTCACTAACAATTCTATCGATCACATAGACACCAACAAAAGAATGAAACGAATAGTGACAACCATAACAACAATAGCATGATTTCAATTTTTTTTTGCTTTCTCTTTATCATTGAATGAAAGAAAAGTAACATTGAAACAAGGGTGAGAAGAAGAGAAACAAAAGACTGTTGCGTTGATTGATTCAAAACTTACTTGTTTTCTCTTTCTTTTCAGATGTTGAAGCACATACGCACGCACGCACGCACGTACATGCACAAAAAAAAGAAACGATTTTTTTCCGATACTCCTTTGTTGTCTCGGGCGTCAAGGCTCCCATTGTCTGTTGTCACCCACACGTTGATAAGAGACCAAACATAAGTAGAAAACGTTTACATTATGAACGTGGATAGATGCGAGAAAGAGTAGAGAAGAAAAGTTTCTTTTAAACAACTGATTTCTTATTGAAAGAATTACATTCAAATTTTTTCTCTTGCAGATTATTGACCTGACAAGATGGTGTACACCGAAACCAAACCACGCGGTCCCATTTCAGCCATGAATTCAACACCGGGTCCAGTTTATCTCTTACCAGGTCTTGTTGGTAGTAGCTTCCATGATCCACGTTCGGTCCATAATAAACAACCAGCATATTCGTTTGGTCTTCGACATGGTAAATATAAAGACGAGTCATCACCTGGCCCATGCTACTTTCCAAATCCAAGAATTTCTCGAACGGGTAAAGATGGCACACCACAATATTCACTCTATGCTCGCCGTGGTGACCTCAAAGGTGATCGTGTCCCAGGTGAGAATCACTCGATGTTTTTTAAGACTGTTTTGAATTATTTGGTATGATGATTAGGACCAGGCGCATATAAACCCGAAGAAAAAGGACCAATGAAAACTGTTTTTCAATCACCACCCTCCTACTCATTTGGTACACGTCATAAAGCTTACGGACTCGACAATACACCAGGTATTTTCGTGCGAACTTGTGTCTCGCGTCTATATTTATGCATATTTAGCACCAAATGCGTACGGTTTGCCGGGAATGACGGGTAAAACAGTTCAAAGTGTGAAGAAACAAGCACCAATCTATTCTATGACCGGAAGAAGTAAACGTGGTGGTTTTGATGAAGATTTACAACGAACACCGGGCCCTGGTAAATAGGAACTTTCTCTCTCTAATATCTTTTTCCTATCTCCACCTATCTTTCAGGTGCATACAGTGTCACAAAACCTGGTATTTACAAACAAGAACCACCTCATTACAGTATGATTGCTCGAAATGAAATGCCTGGTGATACAACACAAAAGCCAGGACCAGGAAAGTATTCACCTGAAAAAGTTTGGCTTCACAAGCAACAAGCACCTGGTTATTCATTTGGTATTCGACATTCCTTATACGAAGCGCCATTGATCGTCGAAGTCAAAGAATAGATCTTTTCTCACTTCCGCTCATAGATTTTTTTTCTCTTCATCGGACTTATGAAAACGAAAGAATTTCAATCTTCATTTGTTGCTTGTATTATCTTTTTCTATTTTATTTTATATATATATACATCAACTCTCTTGATCGACTCGTTTCTCTTCATTGAAAATGCAAGAAAAATTGCTCATCTCGATCGTTTTCATTGTTAATGCAAAAGAGTCAAAAGTAAACAATATATCACGTTTCTATGTACACGTCATATAAATAAAAACGCTTTTTAACTAAAGTAGATAAGTGCACATTTGAATGCCAGCGATCTTCGTACTCGTTACTTTTACGTAAACAAAAGCGTAAATGAAAAGTTCGCTTCGTAACACAGATAGTCATCTTACTGATTTATTGAGTTAGAGAAAGTTCAAACATGACGATATAAATATTTAGAAAATAATCGGAAACACAACGAAAGCGGAAAAATCTAACACGCTTTGATATTTGCAGAATAGGATGCTGCTGCGGGAAGATCATCGGTACTAAATGATTTTAATAATTGATAACGATGATTAAAGTCATTCGACTGAGATTGAAGATTTGTACGACGTGAGAGAAAAAAACGAATTCTCTGTGGAGCATATAGGAATAAACATATTGTCAGTATCATACATAAAAGAATAAATAATATTCGAGGTTGCCGATATGTTTCATAATGATCGATGGAGACCTTCGTTCGATTGATAGATTTTAATGGATAAAAGCGAGTTTTATAAATCATGGCGCCAAGTGTCCATTGAACGTCGTTGTTGTTCACAAGTGAAGCTGAACGTAGACGTTGATAATTAACGGGAAATTTGAGACCATCGTGAAGAAATGCATAAAGCCAAGCAGATTTGAAACATTGTGACCTAGAATTGTTAGCTATGTCATCTATCATCGATGAAACATCGAAATCAACTCACATTAATCGATTGAGATTCGCCTCCGAAAACATTTTCTTATCATACCATTGTTTGATATCATTCCAATTTGCGTTACAATAGTTCTAAAAGAATGATCGTTGTTTCACGAAGTGAAAAAAACATCGATTTGACTTACTATTGATGCATTGAGAAAAGTTAACCGCGCATAGGGACCACCGATCTTGAGAACATCTAGAATACAAATCAAAACTCACTTCAATGGAGAAAAGTTCGTTCCAACCTTGCATTGTATACCAAAATTCCGAGAATCCGTAGAAATCTTGTGAGGTATAGTTAATCGAGGGTTGATAGACTCCATTGAAAGAGCATGGTTTTCTTAGACACGTCGCGTTTAGGTTGAGTAATGAGACTAGATGCTTTGAACAGTTCGCGAAGTCACCTTCACCAGTGATTTTGACGCTGATATTACTTTTTGTGACATTAGTTGAAAATCCACGAGGCAAACAATCAGCATCATTGATTTCAAGATGAGATTGATCTTCTGTCGAGGATCTGGATTAGAAAAAGAAATTACGATCGAATATACAGCTTTAACTGCTTTTACTTCATAGCGATTTGCACGATACGATCGATATACTTTTCATAGACTTTATTGACACCATAACCAAGAAATGTGGTCACGTATATTTTATATTTCAGTGACTCTTGACGTTCATCATAATCCAAATGGAACTCTGCGATTTCTTCGCCAACTACTGGCGTCTGAAAATAAATTGAAGATGAGAAAAAAATACTCCAAGTAATTAAAACTTACATTGTCTGCAACCTCGACTAAAAACGAAGAGAAAAAGAGGAAAATTTTCTTTTGTCATGAAATCCACAGAAACATACAGGCAATTTGTGCAGATGCACCACCCATATCAAGAATCCCAACAGTTGATTGACGTTGTACATTTGTATTATTACGTTGAAACCGACCGAGAACGTAGTTTATTGCTATCCAACTGTAAATTCCTTCAAACTGACCCGTGATCACTTGAATATGCGTTTTTTCGATGAGAAAATTATAATCACGAACGGTATCATTGAACAGATCGGCAATTATACGCTTCTGTTTCCTAAAAAACAACAAAGAGACGAAGTCAATAAATTTCCAAAGCGCAAGAGACTCGTACTCCTGTGATAAAAAACGCATACCAGCTGTGGCAAGAATGTATACTAAATAGCAAATGTATCAATAAATAAAAAAGAAAGGATTTCAATGATATTTACAAGGCGTATCGGAATGCTTCTTTGGTGGAATCTTTTCTGCAGCAAAATCTTCAAGAAAAATTGATTCATCATCGTTCATTTGTGAATTCTATTCGAAAGAATGCATACCTAACAGTGATTTCAAGTATTCAGTCGCATTCGTCGGTGTATCTGCCATCGATGAAAGTCCTAATCAAAGAAAAACTTATTTCTACCATCTATCTCTAATCGATAATCTACCCGGTTCGATCTTTTTCACTACTGGTGCACCTTCACGATCCAACAGTTGTTTTATTTGTAATAATTCATTTGGATTTCCTGAATGATCTGGCCAAACATATATATACAATCGTGATCCACTACTTCCACAATCAATAACTATCCCATAATGTAAATCTGACAGTTCATTTCCATAATTTCTCGGGATATAAACTCCACCCGCATCACCTTGTCGCATAGCTTCCTGACTTTTCATCGTTGTGCTTCTTCCAATGGTTGCTGAATTCGTCTAGAAGAAGAAACCGTAAAAATACATTTCATTCTTCAAACTAGCAACGAAAAACTTTGTTTTGGAAATACTCCGAGAAATAACCTTACCTGGTTGAAAATTGCCCATAGAAGAAAACAGCTGATTGATATAGACGTTGCCATAAATAGAAAATTACGATTGCCGCAGGGTAACTGCACTGCCATGAACTACGAAAACATCTGAAAAGAATCATGTCATCCTTTCTATATTAGTTCCTACTCGAAGAGCAAAACATGACAGTTTTGCTTGAAAAAATATCAGTCACTTCGGGTTTTTTTTCTTATCCTATTAGGTAGGCATCGTTGTTCACCAATCAGAATATTTGAGTGCTAACGCGTATCTACAGGAAAGAAAGAGGTCCGTATGCGACATACTGTTCGTATTTATACAGATTAATTATCGTTCGATGCACAAGAATCGATTGTTTTGCATGATTTAGTCATGATTTTAATGAAGAAAAAAAAAAACTTGCGAATTTATTTATATAACAACAAGAAATCAAACATCAGCAGAATTTTGCTCGAGATTTTGTAAAAGTTCATTGGAAAGTAGATGTTCTTCTGATAATAGTGATATTCCTAGTTGATCTTCTTGCCTTAATGGTTGTGCCATGTCTTTGAGCCATTTTTTTACAATCTGTACACATTCTTCAATTGATAAATTCGCCAAACTATCACTTAAATATTCTTGAATCCATTTTGGAATCTTTTGTCGTTTATCTGATCGTACAAATCGTTTATCTGCGAAAATCATGATACCATAATCGCTTTTACCACGTAACACCCGGCCAACGCATTGTGCGGCGTGTCGCATCGCGTCAAATGTTAAAAAATCATTTTCACGTATATGAAAGTTTTCTCTAAGGTAATCTAAACGTGCTTGTAATATACGCGATTGCGTGTAAACATATGGAATACCGAACATAATTACACAACGGCCAAGATGATTATCAAAATCAACACCTTCGCTCACTTTTCCACGTGCAACAGATAATAGAACTGCACCACGACCATTATCGCACGCTTTTTGATAATTATACAAAGCTAACGACGTTTCGACACTATCGGGGGTTTCAATGAACAGTAATTTGTGCTTCTGTACTTGTCCTATTATGCCTAATTCATACCAAGTTGCAACGACATGCTCCATGTAAGTGTACGATGTAAAAAAACAAACAATGCCGTCGGGAACATGTGTACACATTTCAATGAGTAGAATTCCGTAGTTTCGAATCACAGCTTGATCTTCACGTAGTTCGAATTTGGATGTGATTGCGATTTGATCATTACCACGGGTGACTATCATCGGAAGAATACAGGGTCGTGTTAAGGTCATTGTAAATGATTCCATAATTGCAGGTGTAAACGAGAGAATTTTCGGATACATATCAATTGGTGAAAGAGTTCCTAAATAGAAATTGAAATGATCGATCATGCAAAGATAAGATGATTTTGAGAAACGATTACCTGATGTGATAATAACTGATTGAAATCGATCAAAAACCGGTTTGATTGCAATTGATGAATCCAAACAAGTAAAATGTAAAACAGGATTGTAAACTGTTGATTTACTATCAAAAAAGGGTTCGATAATCAACGTAAAACCTTTTGTATATGTACTAATAATCGTTGCAAAGTTGCAAAGTAACATTAATGGCTGATAGAGATGAATATCTTTGGTTTCCAATGTTCGCAATAGGGAACGTAAACGTTCCGAACAAAATCTCAATGGTTTTCGTTCAATACATACGCGTACTTGTAGATCCTTCAAAAACGATGGCGGAGATTCTTTTACAACATGTTGAATGTTCATTCTCGTTTTCATATATTCTAAAAATCGTTTGATAAATATAAGAAAATGCTCCGCTTGACGAATATTTCCTGGAATGTTTTCTTGCAGGACATGTTCAGGTAGAATTGGATTGGTGAGAATAACATCCGTTTCGCGTTGAATGGCTTGTTCACGGAGACCTTTCACGAGATTTTCATATTCATTTTTCAATCGATTCGCATCTTTTTGTTTGTTATCCTGAACAATTAACTTCAAACTATCGATATTGGCATGAGCACGTTCGAGAATCTTTCGTGTTAATGTTATCGACATAGAATCAATGCAAACATTGTCAATATTATGAGCTTCGTCAAAAACTATAATCGATGTTTTCGGTAATTCTTTCGAAATAATCTCCGCGATCTTCGGATCAAGTAGATAATGGTAAGAATAAACAATGACATTTGCGTGTGTTAAAATATAACGTGTAAGAAAATATGGACACCAATGTTTTACTTTTCCATACATTTTCATATCTTCTAAGTTATAAACTCCATACGGAATACTTTCTTCGCGTCCGTTTTTATCATATTGTTCGTAATACGAACATGTTTTCACCGACCGATCTTCTTTGGCTTGTTCACGAACGTACGATGCCGTTAAGTTCATACATGCACTGTCGACTTCTTTCCCTAGACGTAATTGACTAACCTCGGGATGAATACACAAGTTTTTTCGTGAACTCATTGCAATGCCGATGAATTTCTGTTTTTCACGTGTTTCTTTTTCGTAATAGGCAATCAATCGTTTCATTTCCGACATGACTTTTTCGATTTCTGGTACAGTACGACTGCAATAGATTAATTTGTTGTATTGATCTGGATATCGTCTCATGTAAGCGATGATAAGCGACAATAGTGTAATTGTTTTTCCAGTTCCTGATGGCATTTCCAATACGCAATGGCCTTTATGATCGAGGCCACGTTTGAGTTCTTGCATGTACTTATATTGTTCGGGATATATGAAGTCATACGGCATGTATACAAGTAAACCATCGATATTCAATTTCATTTTATCTAGAAAGGTAAGAGTCAAATCAAAATTGAGATATAGAAATGAAATCGATGTTTAATCTTGTCTGATGAAATGTAACGAAAACACTATCACCAGTTTTTCACAATTTTATACTATGACATCGTGTATAGTGTCTATGTCATTTCCATAGAATATCACTTGATTGAATCATTATAGAGCAGAACATTGATGGTAGCGCCATCAATCGAGCAACATTTGTTTTAATCAAAAATAAAACTTTGAGTTTTAAATGAAAAAGTTCTTTTCTAATACTTCCATAAGATTCTTTTCTCAAATTTCACCAGTAAAAACTAAGTTTCGTCACCATTGGCCTGTTTCTACCAAACCCGAACTGTTTGAGAGTTTGAGAGCCTGTAGAACAGGAAAGCAGATGATTTTGAAAAGTAAATTTCTAGGAAACAGCTGCTCTCCTCTAGTCTGCACGATTTCTCTGCAAAAGCGCTCAGTAAGGTGAACACAAGAAGAAAAAGTCATAGAGCGGCTTTCAAAAATAAACACTTCTTCTTTCAATTCGTCATGAAGTCATACTTATCAACAACACGAGAGTCCTTCAAGACAAACGTTTGACTGTTAATACGTGTGAATACATTCAACACGAGTACAGTTCGATCAATAGTCTTTTGTGCACCTAACGTATTCGATTCATTGGAATATTATTCTTCTTTTCAGCTTATTTTAAAAAAAACCGACAAGAAGTTCAAGAAGAAATATGCGTAGGTTCTAGGGTCATTAGTTGGAATAGAAAAATAGAAATATCATACAACATAACTAAAGAAAAACTCCCATATATATATATCACAGAGGTAAAGAAGAAATGAGCAAAACAAAAACTAGTTCGTATCTCACATGAAAGACAAATTTCGAAAGAATATTCACATTCTTCATTCTTTTGGAAAGAAATTCGTTCATGTCCGTGTTGAATGTTTAATATAAGCATAGATTGGCAGTGCAAAACAGCCGACTACTATGAGTATCGGAACACCGATCGCCACAAGTGCGATGACCGCAGCAAGAGCGATCGGTGTCAAAATAATCAGTCCAACAAGTATTGATCCTCGTATAAGCCAACGTAAAAGAGCACAATCTGGCCATAGTTTATATTTACATCCAAAAACGGAATACTTCGCATCGTGTCCAATATAAAGTGGCAATCTCATTCGTGATCCACAACGATAACAAAATTTCGAATTGCATTTTGTACATAACATATGATCACATCCATCGATTTTTTCGATGTAAATCAAACACTTCGGGCAACGTTGAGCATTTCGTTGTTGATTATCCGTACGACGTATTTGTGCCCACATGTCTAGTTGGGTGTGATTTTTCTTGAATTGTCGACATGTTTCATTCGGATGGGATGGAGCATAACATGACCAACACCATTCTTTGTTACATTGACCGCAAAGTATCCATTCTCTTGATGGTCGGCGAGTTTTCTTTCGATTAACCAATGGATCATTTTCATCAAGAATAGTGATGAAATTACAATGTGGACATAATTTGATATTTGTATTTTGCTTTTCAGCTAGAGCTTCAGCTAACAATTCTTGGTAACGTTCACGTACAGGTAAAGGAATTTCATGATTGTATAATATCGATAAAGAATTCATTTCCTCGGAACATCCTGGACATTCGATTTTCACTTTTCCATTTCGAATGTTTGTCATTGTATGTGTCACAAGACACGATGAGCAAAAATTCGTTGAACAACATAGCATTTGCTTGATTTCATCGATTGGAAACGTCGAACAACATATGGGACACTCGAAAAGAGCTTCTTGAGCTGATGGACTTCGTTGGAAGCTTGTTGTTACAAGATCACTGTAAACAGAAAAGCGTTTAAGTATGAATACAATCGAATGATTTACTTTTCGACAGATATTCTGTTCATATTTAACAATATGATTGTCGATTTACTCTCGTTTTCTTTGACAAAAATTGCAGTTCGGAAGGGTAACGGTGTGCTTTTGAAATTTTTCCAAGCAAAAAAGAAAGAAGGAGAATCGAGACGTACCTATATTTTTGTTTGCCGTTAATTGTTGAAAAAGTTAAAGAATCGCGTATTTACTCGATGAGATTTTATTATGATTTCTTATTGAATTTCATTTCGAAGCACACTCGTATTTTTCTTCTCAACTCTAACCGAAATGTGAGAGTTCTGTTCCAGTGGAAAACATGTTTCTTACCCTCTATCCATTGCTAGGATGACATGATTTTGCGGTGGATGGAGTGTTTTCGAAGAATCAGTCACAAATATTGATTTTAATGATTGATGATGTGTTAAATTACGTTGTGAATTAGCATTGAATTCGGTCGGAGTATTTCCGTTCGGTGAAGGACGATGAAATGGCCACGTTTGTGAATGTCGATTTTCAGATTCAGCCATCTGCTAGAAAAAAAAAATTGTAAAGAAAAATCAACAGAAAGAAAAGGAAGTGATAGACGATTGATCGTTCATTTTATTTTGTAAAACTGAGAAAAATAGGAAAAAGAAAGCGATGTGTTTCTTTCCAGTAAAGGTATTTCCAGTAAAAATGACTTTCTCGATCATAATGAGATGAAGAAGAAAAAAGAGAAATGAGTTCGGTCTCGGCACAATCCATTGTATACACACGCAGACACATATATATACCATATTCGTATTTTATTCATTCTGTTTGTCTACTTACTTGACTGTCATCTCAAAAAGTGTACGTCAGAGTCATGAAGGTAAGCACAAAAAAAAAAGAAAGAAAAATTGTTCGTGAGAGTAATACAGAATAATATTAAAAAAAAAACGCGAACATCACATAAGAAAGTAAGTGCGCGAAAGAGCAAGAAAAGAATAAAGATGCAACGAGAGCACAAGACAGAGTGTACCGTAATGACTCCTTTCTTATCAGTATAGGAAATAGAAATATTATACACGTGTCACCAATATTTGTTCGCCTATTCAATTAATTGTCATTTCGACTGGTTACAGTTGATAACTACACGTAGTACACACTACTGGAACAGTCATTTTCCAATTAATCAAGTTAATCATTAACAACTCATGTTTTTTTCTTCTATATCCTCTATAATTTTCTCTTCCGAATAAAGTAAAACCATGTGATTTGCTGCGAAATAGATAATATGTCAAGGTATGAGGTGAAATAAGGACATAATTCTTCCTTCCTTCGTATTATTGATTATCTCCATGATGATTCGAAAATATTTATTGACATGATTTACACCATCCGATGGTCATACGATAGAAAAGTATTCAAAATTAATTATTCTTTGTGATATTATACATTTGTTAATATGACATAATCATCACTGACGTCCATTGACATATGCGTATGCGTAATTTATCGTTACTGCATTCGAATACCGTCGATATGGATCTATCACATGTGACACAAATTGTCGCCTTCGTTTATTTCGCTTTGCAATGATAAAAATACTATGATAGATGAGATGAAAACATGTCGCTGTGTGTATTTACAGATGATTTTCAAGTAGTTGCCAATCAGAGAAGAGATGAGTTCGCTATCTCACTTGAATATCGTTTAATGGGAGAATGAACATCCGCTCGAAGTTCTATCTATCCACTTATTTAACATTGAGATTTGTCACAAATTCATGTATTCAGTAGTTGGAACAATATATGAGAAGAAAAGAACGAGTAATCGTCAGAAAAGGGAATTGAATAAACGCGAATGTCCGCAAGCATTTGTCTTCGCATCTTTTTTCTTGCTTGTAAACTGTCTGCGTCTATGCTTTAATATATACTTTCCAGGAATAAGAATAAGAAGACGAGGAAACAATGAATTACAAAAAAAAAAAGATGCAAGTGATCTGAAAATCGTCATTGTCGCCTGTGTCGACTACATGGCATAGAAGGAGCGCAAGCACAAGTCAACATGTTACTGCTGTTACACAGTTCGGAATCCTCTTTACATCATCATCATGCATGCATTGCTATTACTTCATTCCGTCGTCGTCGTCGACGCCGGCATTCTGGTCGACACTGCCGCCGCCGTCGTCAGCACCATCGTCATCCTTCGACTAGTGGGTTGCGCGTTGCCTATCTAAGAAATGATGAAAACGACATGAAGAAAAGATGAGAAAGAAAGAGAGAAGAAAGAATAGGAGAATAGAAAAAAAAGAATGAAGGAAGTTTCTGTATGTCGTTGCTTATTCCCTTAGCTGGCTTGCCACTATTTCCAAAAAAATAAAACAGTCGACTATTTCTCCATGTTCTGTGTATATGCATGTATGTGAGATCCTCCCTCTCAAATTGTCATTATTCTTCTATATGCATTCCATTCCATACTAATCTCATCTAGTTTAAATACAAGAAAAACTTCGACAATTTTTAAGTAAAACGACATTTTAGTAGATAATTAATCAAGATAGATAAGAGAAAAAGAATTTATAGAATGGTAATATTTAACTAGCATCTTTTTTTTTCTTTCCCCCTCTCAGATGTTTTAGATTTTATCGGTAAAAACGTATGTCGCATCGTCTTATCGACATTGGTTATCATTGATACACCGATTTCCTGTTTATGGTTCAGCAAGTCATTGACGTCTGTGATGAACATCGTCTCTCTTCTCTTCTGTGATCATTCCAATAATCATAACAATAATATTCTACCTATTATCATCACTCGTGATCGCTATCGTCTTCTATTAACTTCTAAGAACATCCAGCGAAGTTCTATTCGTCATTGCTGACACTTATTCGATATTCATCACTTCAATAAGAACGATACAATCTAATAAAATTTACCCGGTGGACAACGGAAAACGAGAACTAATCAGACGACGTCGACTCTTGCCGGAAAACTAATGCTGGCTGAGTCTATGCGCTGATGATGCAAGTATGAAAAAACAGAACGTTCGTACCTTAACACTTATTGTTTCAACATTCAGGTTTGTCGACATAAGACAAGAAAAAGAAACCTTTTCGAATTTCTCTTCTTTCGTCTAGTTACCTTCTCGTCGGCGCGGCGATCTTCGACGCACTCGAATCGAATACCGAAGATCTGTTGCGCAAACAATATCAAGCAGCTGAAAAGAACATGCTCATTTCATACAATATCTCACCTGCTGAATATATCGAACTGGAAGATATTGTTATCAAATACCAACCACATAAAGCTGGTGCACAATGGAAATTTCCAGGAGCGTTCTACTTCTCCTTGACTGTCATCACAACTATCGGTAAGATACCTGATTGAGAAGATGGATCCGTCTTTTTTTAAGTTGCTTTTTTTGTTTATCGTTTTTCTTTTTCTATCAATTTAAAGATTTATTTATATTTATATATATATATATATACACGTCTTATGGGAATAAGAAAATGATAAAAATAAGGTACCCATTGCGTGTCAATTAAGGCAACTCGCGATTCTCTTATTTATTCTCTTTACTGATTAAAAAAACCGTTCCTTACATATTCATGTGTCAGAAATGTATGAAGAGAAGCAAAGAGTATATTCGAAAAAGTTGTTGTTTAGTTCTAACGATCGACGTTTAGATTACAACTGCTTCTTTTCTTTTCATGCATTCCCCTACTGCTAATTGTCGACGTTTTCTTCTATTTACGAAGACAAAAGGAAAAAAATGATAGGCGGGACATGAACAATTTGTTAATCTCTGTTGTATACACATGCACGAATGTCATTCTGTTTTGCGGAGAAGAAAGAAAAAAAGAGAAAGCCTAGATCTTCGTTGTTACCAATGACGTTCGACTCATTAGACTCCGTTGAGTGCGTCCTGTCACACAAATCTATTTGCTTGTCGATAGAAAAATTAGAATGAGGGAGAGACCGAAATAATTGTCAAAAGCATGCTGATAGAATACCAGTGTCTCGCAGTGACGTCAATGAATGAGTGTCATGTCTCTCATAGATGCGCACATATCAAGGTGATGACATAGAGTTGATGCGGAAACCATTGGTCTGTTTAATGTATGATTACTTATTGAAAAATAAGAATATTTTGTGACGAATAGCTCGAGGCAATAGCGTCCTTGATATATGTGACATGAATTCTCCATTTCTTTCTGACCTTGGTTCATGTGATTGTGCTTCAGTAACGAGAGATGAAGTTATTATGACCGATTGATATCGAGTGTAAATATGTCGAGAGTTTTGGAAAGAAATAAATCAATCAATCGAGGATATTTATTAATGAAAAAGCCGTTATCTAATTCTCTAATGTATAGAGCTGACTTTCTAATGACAGTTTAATAATTCTGGACGACATTTATTAGAGCCAGAGGATTATTATAAAAGATTTTCAAGAGCAAAAAAAAATATTATGGCATTCCCAGCGTTTCTATTCTATCCGTTAATCTAATTTCGTTCGAATGATTACAGAACAAATGCGATTCATAGAAAACAAGAAAATATTTTCCTCTATTTCTAGGCTATGGCCATTCGTGTCCTACTACAAGTAAGTTCTCGATTGAATTCAACGATTCCGAGCTGTAAAATTTGCTTTAGCTTGGGGGAAATCCTTTTGTATGCTCTATGCTGTCATCGGTATTCCACTCTGTCTTGTTATGTTTCAATCTGTGGGTGAACGTCTCAACAATTTTGCTAGTTGGTGTATAAAAACAATAAAAAAGTGTTTGAAATGTCGTTTTTATGACTCGACACAGACCGAACTTGTGATTGTCGGTACTGTTCTTGCTGTCGGAGTTGTTACAGGTGGTGCCGCTATGTTTCATCATTATGAAGCATGGGGTTACTTCAATTGTGTTTACTATTGTTTCATAACATTAACAACTATAGGTGAGATATTAGCTGGAAGAGAATTTTTGCAATTGAAAACGTCTTGTTGTTTTCTCTTCTTAAGGTTTCGGTGATTTTGTTGCTTTGCAAACTAATGAAGCCTTGAATTCCAATGTTTTTTATGTAGTTTTATCTATGACATTTATTCTGTTTGGTTTGACAGTTGTTGCCTCGTCAATGAACTTACTGGTCTTAAGATTTCTAACTATGAATACGGAAGACGAACGACGTGAAGAAATTCAATCGGCTGTCGCTCGAAGTTCACTCCGATTCGGTAGTGATATCATAAGTGCAAATGGTAAAAAAAGATCATGAAGAATCTCTTTGTCATTAGTTTCATTTTTCGAATCGTTTAGGTACATTGATACCGTCCCTGACCGCTGATCAGTTAGAATATCTCTCCACGGAATTAACTCCATCAGAATCTGAGCCATGTCATTGTTGTTCTTGTTTTATGCGTCGACGAAAGGAACGAAAGAAATTCACTGTACGTCGTATGCCAGGGAAAATTGCTCATCTCGTACCAATGCAACGTTTTGATTCATCAGCACCAAAACGAAACTTATCAGTAGCTAAACCGTCCATTACTGATCTTACTGTTCCTTTAGCAACGAAAATGTCAACAATGATCAACGCGTCTACCGACAGTCCTTCAGTGATCAAACGATCATCACTACTGACTGATCAAGCAAGCCATGTGAATAAAAGCAATTCAGACAAAAGTTTATCGCCCGCGAAAATAAAGACAATCCTCTCTCGTTTTCGGCCAGATTTCGAAATGATTCCAGTTCGATTCGATGGCAGTATCAAACGCTCTTCCGTGTGATTTCTTTTTCTTTCGATTTTACATCATTAAAAGAAAAACCTATTCTAGTCTCTTCATTCCGATTATCATTATTAGCAACAAAGAAAATAGGATTACACATAAACACATCAGAGAAGAAAAAGAAACCAATGAATATTTCATGTAAAAAAGAAAGAAAAAGAATGATAAGAGATTCATACGACACACATTGGATTATCTATTTAACCTAAGAAACATATTTGAATGAAGAGAAAAATGAATCTTTAATCAAAATCGTCATCGTCTGAGATATGATAATTCTTCTTTGCATTATTATCACGTTGAATACGAGCCTAGATGAAAAACACTGTTGAAGATTAATTTCTCTCAAATGTCGTCGTACCTTTTTGGTTGCATTAGGTGAAACTGAAACAATAGCAATGTCATCATCTTCATCACTATCCTAGAAAAAAGAAATCTCATTTCGGTTATTTGAAGGTTTCAAGAAACGAACGAAAACTTACAGCTGAAGGTTTGGCTCGTTTGCCGGTTTTCGTTTCCTTCTTTGCAGGTTCTTTCTTGGTTGTTGATGCACCAGGTTCTTTCTTTGCCTGGAAAATACGAAAGAATAACGAAGGAAAGATGATTGATACATTGACTTACGCGAGGCTTTTTTGGTTTTTCCGTTTTATTCTCATCTTTGGTTTGTCGATTTTGCATTAGAACACTCAATGCATTTTTCTTTTCAGGTGACTAAAAGGACAAGATTTGAAGACATGATTTGTTTTCTCGAGAATTTACTTCTGCTTTGGCTTTAGATTTACTCTTTTTGACAACCTTTTCCGCTTCAGAATCGCTACCGACATAATCCGATTCGTTCTCATCGAAATTCTCTCGATCATCATCATCCTCATCGTCATCGCTGCCATATTTAACTTTGCCTTTGACTGTTCGTTTTGCAGGACGTTTCGGAGAGGTGATTTCATCTCTTGGATTTTCGGAATTATCTTTTCCATCAATGGAAACAATGGACGTATTACTGTTCTCATCCATTGTGCCATTCATCTTCTTTTCTTTGGTTGTATCACCAGATTTCTTTTCTGAAAAGAAAAACAAAGGATTAAGAAATGAAAACAATGAAACAAAAGCTAAACCTATGCCACCGCCAACTCTCTTCTTTTCCTTGCAACGCATTTGCATAATTTGGGAAATTTCTTCCGATGACACGCCTTCATTAACGAGAAATTCGATGATTGTTCGTTTATCAGCAATAGCTTTTTCTTCCTGAAGAAAATTTCAATAAAAATCCGAAGATGAAGGAGTCGAAACATACGCGATTGCGTTTGTTGAGTTCTTCAGCAACTTTTTTCACAAGTGCCGGATCGATTACCGGTGCGATACGTTGACCATTGGGTGCAGGGCGTGTTTCAGCACGTTGTGGTTTTGCTAATTGTTTCTTACGACCCTTACCATCGCCATCAGCGCCACCAGCTTTCTTTGTCGTATAGTGAGCTACTTCAGACATTTCATCAGCACGTTCTTTGGCGATTGCCTACGAATTTCGAAGATATATTATGGGGTTTTTTATGAAGGAAAGGTGAAATTACTTTGTGATATTCTGATTCGAAATGATCTAGATCATCTTCGTATAAATCTTCGGGAGATTTCTTTTGTAACGCTTCGAGTTTTTCGTGTTTTTCTTGTTGCTCTCGAAGAATTTCATTACGCCGTTCTTTTGTTAGATTACGTAACGACATATTGATCAAATAGTCATAATACGTTGTATCAACTTTCGTTGTTGTCGCTGCAGTTGTTGTTTTCGGTTTTTTACGTTCGTCAGATTCGTTCTCTTCATCATCATCCTCTTCATCGTCTTGTTTTTGCTGTAAATCTGCTAATTGATCCGGGTTGTCGCTCGAAGAACTCGCTTGTGAATCGATGGAAAACTAAATTTCAAAACAAGTTCACTCTTTTCACAAGCCGCTCCTTTGTTTTACCTTTCTTCGTGCTTCTTCGCGCCAGACTTTTTCCGGATCTCGATCGTATTTTCGTTCGATAAGCATTTCTACAACTGCACTGATCTTCTTGTTCTCTACACTGATCACATTTTCGATCTTTTCTTTGATGAATCTCGCGATATTATCCAACTTCGAACATTGAGATTGCAATGTACCGACCATATATTCTTTTCGTTTGACGTACATTTGAAGACGAACAGTAAAAAATTCTTCGCAAATTTCGTCCGGTGTTCGGTAACGATGTAAAATACCGTGATGATCAAAGAGAACCATATTTGTTAATTTAAATGTTTCCTGTAAGCGAAAACTTTTATGTAGACCGGCTTCGTTGAATTTAGCAAATTGTGCTTGAGATAATTTGACAACAAAACGAACTGTTGTATCCGTATGATACTCTTAACAAAAGAAATTATGGAAAATCTTGCTCGTCACTCAAGACTTTGTCTTTTCACGGTTACCTTTGTAATCGAGAATACTCGGTGGAATATCGTTTCGTTTTGGATGAAGCATTCCTTCGAGAACATTTTCTTTATAATATTGTGTCCATGTTCCGATTGGTAAATCCGTTATTTCGAGCGTTGCATCATCAAGTTTAGCACAAACACCGTTGATCACCCCACGTGAACGATCGTTATCTAGCAATCGAATTTCACCTGTAAAATTTTTATACCAGGGAACTAATTCTTGTAAGGCCAACGCATCGGCATAGACATTCAATTGACCAGCTGGATCAGTGATCTGACGTTGTCGATTGCGTTCTTGTCGAATATAATATCTCATATTATTACTCAGCACTAATGGATTATAGGATGGAATATCAGTTGAATAACCAGTTCCGACACCATGTGCGCCATTAACAAGAACAGTTGGAATCACTGGACAATACCATTCGGGTTCAATACTCATCCCATCTTCATTCAGATAGGCTAATAACGGTTCATCGTTTTTGTTGAATAATGATAGAGCAAGGGGACTAAAAGATACAGAAAATAGAACGGAGAGAATTTGATGAGGAGTTGTCTCTACCTGAGTCGAGTGAAAATATAACGTGCCGAAGCCGCATCACTACCACCGTGTAATCGTGTGCCGAATTGACCAGCTGGGACGAGAAAGTTGATGTTGTTCGAGCCGATAAAGTTCTGTGCAAGGCCAACAATGGTATTTGTCAATGATTGTTCACCGTGGTGGTAAGCCGAGTTTTCAGCTACTTTACCCGCTAACTGTGCAACTTTGATTTCACGTATGAGATTTTTAGTAAAACAGACGAACATGATTTTTCGTTGACCGGGTTTGAGACCATCCTAGAGAACCAAAAGTTTCTACTAAGGATTACTGAAGTTTGTCTTACCATGATACTTGGAATGGCACGTTCGGTACTCGATTTGGAGAAAAGAACTAATTCTTTATTGATAAAATCGTTAAAATTAATCTGTTTCGTATCTTTTTTATATAAATAATCAGCCGGTAGATTCTGTTCACGTCTTTGATTTACATCTTCCGTATGCCATTTAATCCAATCTTTTCGATCATCACTCAGTGCACTATTGAACGCTAATTGAATAGCCAAATCGTCTTTGATTGAATCATATTTGAAGATGATACGATGACGATCCATATTGGAAAAATATTCTTTTGCTTCTTTGGCAGTCGATGTACCCAAACCTGGAAAATGTTTTTCACGTAAACTAAGGAATGTATAACAAGGAAAAAACCTTTGTAGTATTTGCATTTCCATTTTTGCCAATTTGGCGTCGATGCTTGCCATTGTTCGAATTCCGGCATGGAATAAAATGGAATCACTTCGTTGCCTTTCGTGACCTGAACTCATGCGATTAGTTCATTAATCATTCATGAAGAAAAACTTTTCTTACTTTAAGAATTGGCGTAATAAATACTTCGATATAATCATGTTTGAGTAGATTCGGCCATTTGTAATGAATGAAATTGATCACTAAACCTTTGATATGACTACCGTCTTGATCTTGATCAGCCATGATCATCAATTTTCCATAACGTAATTTAGTTAGATCACTTTTATTTACATATTTTTCTCCGTAATTCAAGCCGAGAATTTTCACTAATTGTGAGACTTCGCTGTTTTCTGTCATTTTTTTCGTTGTTGCTTCTCGAACGTTTAACATTTTACCTTTCAAGGGATATACACCATATCGATCGCGACCGATCACACCGAGACCAGCGACAGCAAGTGCCTTAGCTGAGTCTCCTTCGGTAACAATCAATGTACAATATTGTGAATTCTTCGTTCCGGCATCGTTAGCATCATCGAGTTTCGGAATTCCTTTCAATTTCGACGTTTTCGAGCCACTTTGCTTTTGTAATTTGGCGTCTTGTTTATGTTCGAGCCAATTGATAACTGATTCAACAATTCCCGTCTTTTTGATAATATCTTTGAAGAAAGTTTCATCATCTTTCAACGTACATGTCGATCCGAAATGTTTGCGTTCAGTTGCCAATTGTTTCTTGGCTTGAGATTCAAATTCCGGATTTTCAATTAGACAATTAACGAAGACAAATAGGTGACTTTTCAATTGCATTGGTTTGAGATTCTCTGCTGCTGCTTTACTTTTCTTTTTGATATGTTCGATTAATTTCGGACAAATTTGTTCAGTGATGTAATCAACATGTTTTCCACCTTCGGATGTTAGAATTGAATTGACGAAACTGACTTGGGTGAAACCATTATTGTGATCATTCTTCGCCACACCGACTTCCCAACGATCATTGACTTTTTTGTAAACAATTTCTTTCTCGCTGGTTTCGAGATACATCAACATGTAATCTTTCATATTTTTCACCTAGGAAAGAAGAATGAGTTGGGTTTTCTGGCAAAGGGTAATGCAACTTACGGGAATACGTTTTCCGTTCAGGGTCACTTTACAACCGGTGGACACAGCAACATCATAAGCACGTCGTTTGAATAAAGCAACGAGATCATCATCGAATTTGTCCAATTGAAATCGTTTTAAGTCAGGTACGAAGGTAATTCGAGTGAATTCTTTTGGATTGTCGCTGGTTTTAGTAACAATTGCATCTTGTGGATCGCGCATATTATTTGTCCAAGTCTGTGGAGAAATGGAATTAGTTAATTAAAAGGAAGACAGAAAAAAAAGCAAATTTACTTGTTTGAAAGATTTTTTGTATTCTTTTGAACATGTCTCAACGGTAAATTTTGTACTAAAAATATTCGTTACTTTCGCACCGTAACCATTACGACCACCTAGTTCAAAACATAGTTGAATGTCGGCTTAATCAATCCCTGTCTTACCGGTGATTCGTTTCTGATTGTCATTGAAGTTATCGGATGTAAGAAGTTTGCCGAAAATCAATGTTGGAATGTAAATCGATTCATCCTGTGCCCATTTGCGTACAGGAATACCACGACCATCGTTGCAAATTTTAATTTCACCCTTTTCCCTAGAATTTCCATCAATAGCGTCTATTTTCTTCTGAATATTTCAATACTGACTGATTGATATCGACTTCGATCGCTGTCATAGTTGCATCACGTTGTTTATTGTCAGCAGCATTGACTGTACAACAGAAAAAAAAATGGAAAAAAAGTTTATATGAATTCATACTTACCGAGAATTTCATCAAAAATCTTGTATAGACCCGGAACATAAGTAATCTGTTTTTTGACAATTTTTGGTCCTTCTTCCGCTGTCTCGTCCAACACCCACATTTCCTATCCACAACAAAAAAAAAAGATCAAATCTTTCTTTGTCAATACTTGATTTTCTACTTCGTGACATGGTTTATTCGACCCAATATAAGTTTCCGGTCGTTTAAGGATATGATCAAGTTGTTCGAGAAGTTGATAAGTTTCTTCATCTTTATTTGGTGCATCACTAATCGATTTATTCATTGAGGACGCCATGAGAAAAACAACGTCGTTCAATGAAAGAACTAGAAGAATGGATTATGTGTACATTCAACGGGTAATCGACAAATGAATACAAACGACTTTTGTCTATTTCTTTCGGTTTAAATATCTCTTCGAGACTTTGTTTTCCAAAAGTCTTTGTTAAATTTCGATAATCCGTACCTTGGAAATCGGTCGTCTAGAAAGTCAACCGACCTGATTTCTAATGACTTTTTCCATTCAACTCGATCAAATAGTTTGATTTTTAGTTCAATTCGATAGATGCCTCTCTTTGTCAAGTACAAATCTGTTTATATTCATCAGAGGATTATAGTAGATGTGTTTCTTTTCGTCGATGTAATCATTCCACCTACGCCCGGAAAACATGCCTATTGAAAATTATTCCCAACTTGCTCCGTCGGACATAAACTTGTCTGATGTCTTTATTAATTACAATTTGATCCTCTTAGAAAAAAAATATGTCACATGGTAAATTAAACATTATATCAATAGATTCAGACATTTATATTTCAACAGTTAGATTATAATCGGAACTTTTCTGACGTACGTTTTCTTTTTGACTGAAGTCATTCCGTATTCGAATGTGACGAAAGGACTTTATTACTCAATTGGTTATCATGAACAAATTTGATAAACAAATAGATGTTGGTTGACTTTTCGATAATAGGAAATCAAAGATCTATTTTTAGTGAGGAAAAAGTCGGATGACGTCACAATTTCAAGTAGGAGTATGTGAGAGGTGTGAAAAGAAATAACAGTACAAAGTAATTTAAGTTAAGAATTTTTTTCGAGCGAATGATGTATCTCTCGTTACTTTTTCTTTTTCCTTATCTATGCTTACATTGAATTATAGCCTATATTTATTTCCTTTCTTCTTCTTACCGCTTCGTTTAATTATATATTGTGAAATTTATGAGACTTACAGATTACTTCTTAACAGAAAACATTCGGCAGATACTTTTATGCATTTTCTCTCTCACACATCAGATCAAAACAGAAATCTGTCAGCTTGTATTAGAAGTACAAACATTTCGATCCGATCGTATTCGTTCAGTAAACTAAAGTTGCATATTTACATCCACTACAGCAAATTAGTTCTTTCTATACTCTCAATCAACCTACGAGTATTTCGTATGATTAGTTTACTCGACTAAGTTGACATTCTCGTACTCTTTTTTTAATGAATTCTGTTATGACTCATCTTTTTCTACCCGTTATTACTCATTCCAAATATTGAGTATATAAAAAAAGTCGAACTCGGTTTCTTGTTTCATTTCAGTTCAACCGAATGTTTTCATCTCACTCGGCAAATCATGTCTCTCGAGAAGCAAATGAATGTCATCAACACAAGCCAGTCAAGCAAGTTCGAAGCCACGACGATACTCATGGAAAAAGTATCAAAAAAGAACAAACATTAATCAGACGTAATCGTTCGACATCCACCGGTTTTCGTCAATCCATCCGATGTCTAACTTCATGTGCTCTAGCAAAGTAAATTGCTTACGAGTTTTGATCTATTTGTCTCTCAGGTACACGACATCCGACGATGCTTTCTTCCTCTCTTCTATATATATATGTGCTTGACAGCCTAGTCGTTCAAACCCGACATTGAATACTTTCTATCTCGCCTAAGAAAAAAATCGAGAAGATAGTAAACAGAGTTTGTTTCTCTCGTGGAGATTTTTCCTCTTCTTCTTCTTCTTCTATCGACTGACAAAGAAGATCTAATGTTGCCGTGAGCATTCCTACGGTATGAGAAATGATGTTGATGTCACTTTAGTCAATTTTCTAACGTCTTGTTCCTTGCACAATCGCGCGTTCGTGTCTTAATTGCAGAAGTGAGCTGTCAAAAAAAAAAGAAAAAAAAGGGCAAACGGCAGAAAAACAAGATTTTCAACACGTGTCTAATGAATAAAAAAGTGGAAAACGGGTAAATATTTTTTCAAGAAAATAAACAATAGAACTCCTTCATCTTCTACACTCATCAGAAATTACAAACAGACAAAAAAAAAGTCCTTTTCATGTTCATTCATCTCGAATAAGATAAGAAATTCTTCGTTAAGTTACTCTTTGATTATAAACAGACGACAAGAACAGAAGAGACATCGATACTATTTCCATTTATTATTGAAAAAAAAACTGAAAAACTACACCGCTGTAAGTATAAATATCTTTCTTTGCAAATACGAAGCGATATTGGACGGGAAGAGAAGTAGCGTTAGTCGCGAATAGTATTACCATTCTTCTAATATATATAAAATGTTTTACTCGGTCGACATCAGCCAGTTGAATCATTGAGTATTGCCACGACTAGATGCTGCTAGAGAAGAAAAAACAGGAAAACGAACATTTATAATCGATTACTTTTTTTTTTCTTTCAATGAGGAAAAAAAATGCGAGTGTGGAAATATGTCACTACATCGACGATAACTTTCTTAGTTTGATGTAACAGTCGAGAATGTGCAACTTACTTTCATATCAATATATTTTTACGTTATTTCGATTCATTTGATCAACCTTTCATCTGCTAAACAATTTCTAATTACTATTTGAAAACAAATGTTATTATTCAGGTAGGAGAATAGGCGTTTACAATGAAATCGTTTCAAATGTAGACGAATGTAAGAGAAAACCTGTAATGATCATCAGACTTTCAACCGGGTGTTTTTTTTCTTTGTGTGGAGGTGTAGAAACTACACTTAGTTTTATTTACTCATCAATCGGAAATGCGTTTTTTCCGATTAGTTTCATCGGATACATATCGATGATGATAATGATGATCAGCGTCAGCTAAAGTAAACAATAGATTTATTTAATATCATGATAAGATCTGATCGAATGTCAAGCAAACTTAGACGAGACTCGATGAATGATACAATATATCAGAGATTTTCTTTTCTTCTTTGGATTACTAGAAAGTAAGTATGGTTTAGCTGATAGCAGAATGATTTAAGAATCTCTCTTGAGATTGAGATAAAATCATAATCAGTGAGATTCTCTTCAATTTAGACGAAAAGCCGGTCGAACAACCAATTCCGATGACAATAGTTCGACAACAAACGACGTAACCGGCAACTTTGACGAAATTTCCTCACGTTCATCGAAGACATTTTTAATTCCGAATGAACATTCTCCCTCACTGGCATTGAAAAAATCTTCTCAACATATCGAACAGTTAAAAAAAACAGCGAGCGATGGTGGATCAACATCGATTCCACTTCATAAACAATTAGAAAAAAGAAATAGTAATCAATTATATTCAACCACATTCACAGGAAATTCTCCATTACCAACACAATCAAATCCTAATGATAATGTCTCAATACTCAATATCCGTAAATTATCAAACAAAGAGGTATGAATTCATTCATTCACTCTTGATATTATCTCATTGAGTTCAGTCTAATCGGTTCATACGACACAACGTATCTTCTTCGTTCAAATTTGTATGCATATCAGTAGAGCTTATAGCTTTCTAATCTTCTTTACATGTCGAATTGAATTCGTTGAAAAAGAGAAACATATTTCATTGTCTTAATTCGATTGCTTTCAATCTTCTTTCTATTTTTGCTTTAGATTAGTACGAGTCTTGTTAATCTTATGGGCACTGCAGCGGATTCAGTCTCAGTGAATAATACGACGCAAATGGCAAGTAATCAAGCAAAAGTATGTGTTCAATATATATCAGAGAAGGTCGCTTGAGAAGAATTTCGAAGATTGAGACAAACTGAACGCAAAGTGTATGGCGTGTTTTGGTTTGTTACAATCTCTGACCTTGTTTATTTCATCGGATGTCTATTTTTGTTGTTGTTGATGTCACGTCAACAAGAAAGAGAAAAGAAATCGATGATGAACAAAGACGCAAGACGACAGAGATAAATACAATCGAATAGCAGATGAAAAGAAGAAGAAAAAACCCGGGCGAACAGAGAATTTTTATTATCAGACAAGCAAAGCACGTCGCAACGAGAAATTCTCGCGCACCGCCTGCTATTCTATAGCAAAAATATTGATAGAGAGAAGAAGAAAAAAAATTCTTGCCTTTTTCTTCTTCTCTCTTTTGTTTATTGACTATCGACGAACGTCGGTTGTTATTGTACTAAATCATAATGATAATCAGCGGAGAAAACATAAATTGATCTTTCTCGTCGTGAATTTCATTTTAAAGAATGCGCCGACGAGAACGAGTACTCGATGCGGAAATTCAGTTCAAACCGAAGTCAGAAGAGAAATTATCACCTTTATTCAGACATCGACTGATTAATTTCTCACCATTGTTATCCATTCGAAGTCAAAACTTTTTCGTACGATTGAAAATATATCTTCATTCATAAGAATTTCTTTTCCTTTTTGTCTTACAGCAAATTTCTGCAACGTCTGCTGCTTCAACAGATCGATTAGTAAGAAGAAGAAAGATCATGAATGTTATTCCAAGATTTTGCATTGATTTCTTCAGGCCTTGTTTGGATCAACATCAAACGTCGGAGCGACGAACACAACGGATTCAATATTATCACAACGAACAGTTAATACAGGAAACAATCCTACTGCTAGTACATCAAATTCATATTCATGGTGTTATGAAAGTTCGCCGACAAGTCCGGAGGAATGTTTATCTCAATTAGAAATCGACAACAAACCATTGATATATCGTCAGCAATTCGAAGGATTTGTATGGGAAATGGATTGTTTGGTTTGACAAAAAATAAATTCATGTTGTGTTTTCTAACTTAGGAACATTTCAATTGGTATGGAATTAGTGAGACGAATGGTCCTGTGCTGATTTCATATCGATATGCGAATGATCAGAATAAACAAAGATACATTCTGACAGTTGTCCGGTGAGTAATGCAAATGGGTGAATGTTCATTGATCAACAATGTCATTTTTCCGTTTAGAACTCGACAACGAACATTTGTAGAATCTTTGTTCGATCTACCATCGTCATGTTCTTCTTTAGAAATCCTACGTCGTATATGTAATCAACGTGCTTTGACTGATATAGAATATTTTGATCCGATATTTTGTGATGGCGTAAGTCTTCTTTTGCCAAAGTAAAGCTTTTCTATTCATTTCCCGTTGGTAGGCTCGTGATCTTCTTTTAAAATATGATGAATCGCATGTTTCGAATAAGCATAAATTCGGTGTTGTTTATCAGCGCGCTAATCAGTTAACTGAAGAAGATATATTCAGTAATGAAACTCACAGTCTTTCGATGAATAAATTTCTCGATCTCATCGGCACTCACGTTAAACTCAAAGACTTTCAAGGGTAAACACTCTTTTGAAATTTTCTAGATTCATCTTGAGTTCTCTTTAGATTTCGCGGTGGTCTGGATAATAAATCTGATCATACAGGAACGGAATCAATTTACGAGCGATTTCATGATCATGAAATCATGTTTCATGTCAGTACATTATTACCCCATTCAAAAATCGAACGGCAACAACTTGAACGTAAACGACATATCGGAAATGACATTGTTGCGATTATTTTCCAAGAAAACGAAACCGTTTTTAATCCCGAATGCATCGCTTCGCAATTTTTACATGTTTATATCATTATAACACCGTTGGATCCAGACGGAAATCAATTCAAAGTTGCCGTTGTCTATCGTGATAGTGTTCCACAGTTTGGGCCTGCTTCGAACTCAACGAAAATCTTTCAATGTGATCAAACATTCAAACAATGGTTATTAACAAAGTTAATCAATGCAGAAATGGCCTCATATCGGTCAAGTACTTTTCAAAAATATCAAGTAAATTTTGTCATTTTCGATGGGAATTGTTCGTCAATAAACAACATTTGTTTTGTAGGAACGAACAAAAATGAATCTATTTGACAATCTCTATCGGACTTTGCATGATAATAATCGTCCATTCATGGACTTTGTTGTTAACCATAGTCAATATAAACATGAATGTGAAATTGAACAACAACGTGAAGATTCTATAGCAAAAAACTATGATCGTCACACAGATAATTCTATACTTGGCACGGTTAAACGTCGTCTCATCGCACCGAAACTACGTGTACAACATACCAATTCTCCTACGACTACTACTTACCTCATAACATCGTCAGCAACGAATAATGCGAATGATGCGAAGCCCAAAGTACGTACATTGGCTGACGATATCAAACGAAATATACCGAAAGAATCAATGGTTTCCAATGGGAAAGTGGCATCGATCTTTTCATCATCCAAGGTAAATATTCATCGTCTACAGTTCTATTTGAACGACGTTTTGTTCTTTAAAATTCAGAGTTCGAAAACAGAGAAACCGAATTCAAATCGTCCAGTGCTTGACTCCGAAAATTCCGATTCCTCTTCAAAGTAGGCACTCGTTGTTTGTTTGATTATTCATCAAAATCTGAGTCTAGTTCTCGTTCTAGTATAAAATTCATATTACCAAGTATGAATGATTTGAATTCAAATGGTGATTCGAATAGTACTGTAACTTCTAATAATTCATCCAGTGATGACATCGATTCCGATCAGTATTCCATTGATTATCTACAATCTTCAAGCAAAGATGGTTTGCATTGAATTTGACGTTGAAAACCACCGAAAACAAATCTGTCTATCTCGTTTTAGATCTGATTAAATATGTTCTGTCATTACAACAGCAGAATTCAATGAAATTAACTCAAATTCATTCTCAATCGATTCAGCAATTGAAAAGCCAAGTGACGAAAAAACAAAATTCTCTGGACAAAGAGCCACTCTCCTAGGTAACTTCACTCGAACGACATTCATTCCGTCCTTATCATTTCTGAAATCTCGATAATTTGATGTTTCGCATTCATAATCTTCGACCGCATCGTTTTTCTCGTGTCCTTGTTTTTTTTTTCGTGATTGAACGTCAACGACAGTTTGGTAAATGTAAAAATAAATCTCAATATTCTTCATCACGATGTTATTTTATTCTCGTTTTTTTTTCTGTTTTAAACAAGAGTACGATGAGCAGCGCTAGACAGAGGCCAGATGCTTTTCAAACACAACAAATCACGACATGAAAGAAAGAGAAACTAGTAATGAACAAATGTAATAATAAAAAAAAAATCGAACAATGTTATATTGAAGATATTTTTCGTCGTTTGATTTATTCATTGTATTTTTCTTTGTGATTGAGTAAATATTCAGCAAGAAAACTAATGGGCTTCGCTGGCCGTTCTTTAGCAAGTTGAGACATTGCTTGGAGAAGAATAGGAACGACTGTCTGATCCAGATAAGCACGTGTTGGTAATGTTGATAAATCGAGTTTACTTTTATCCGCTGATGGTTGCGAATTGGCGTTGTTTTCCTTACTGGCATCCGATGTTGCTGTTGTTTTTTCAGTGTTGGATTGTTGTTCGCCTAGATCATCGACTGTTTGAGCTTCCATTTGCTCGGATGTTGGATTTACAACATTCTTTTCACCTGATTCATTCGCAGGTGCTGGTGCATTTTCACCTGAAACTTCGGACATTGTCTTTCTAATCTAAAATTCAACGTAAGAACAATACAATGATAAAAATGACATCAGTCGAATACTATCGAAATATGTTGAATAAAATCTGAGAATATGAACACGATAAAAGAGAGAGAAAAAAAGAATTTTATTCGCCATATTTTTCCTTGTTTTGTTGTAAATACAAAGCCAGGTGTTCAATTGGTTTTACAGGACGATCACGTGCGAGTTGTGACATACCTTGGAGAAGAATAGGTACCACAGTTTGATCGAGATATGCGCGTGTCGGTAAGGTTGAAACGTCAGGTTTTTGTTTATTTGTTGCTGAATCATCTTTGGAATTGTCTCCGTTACTTGTCATCTTTGCTGAATCGCTTAAGTGTTGATCCATCGCTTCGATCGGTGAGGTTTTTTCGGTTTCAGTACCATTGACAGGTGTCTGTCCGTTTTCCGGGTTGGAATTAGGTTGACTTTCAACAACTGTATCTGACATAGTTGCGAATTGGTTGATTGTTCTTGTTGAACGAAAGATAGAAGATGATAAATGAATGAACAAAGAAGCGTGCCCGTCGAGTAGCCTTTCTCTACAATCGCCATTGTTGACCGACCATCGAATGGCATTTTCGGAGAGAGGCCTCGAAGAAAATTTGACAAGAGAGGAACAAAATGAAAGAATTTACACTTCCTTTTCGTCGACGGTAACACTTTTAGAAAACAATTGCAGATTTAGAGAAAATGGGTTCGGTTACTACAGATGTCGCAAGCCGGTGATGTTCAGACTAAAATACAGAACGACTCGTCAATGGAGTCTGCATTTAACAAGATAATTATTTGAAAGCTAAAAACATCGATTTATTGTGGAAATTTTTGAAAAATAGATCATTGGCAACAACATATAAGACGGTACGATAGATTCACGAACGATATGAAAAGTCTCTGTAGTGTTGAAAGACAACATAGAAAAGGCACAATAGTTGTTCGACTTTACAATATATAAAAAAAAACAGAAGTAATTTTTTGTGTTCAATTCAAGATGTAAATGGACATGAGCAAATGACAATGATAATGGTAACAACAGCGAGAACAAAAATAAAAGAAAAGAAATGCATCATATGGAAAAATAAAAACATCGATTATATTCAAAAATAGTTTTTCGTTTCAGATTCACTTTCGTGGATTACCTCTAGAAATGACAGAAGACAAAGATGAAATCTTGTTTTCTATTCTCATCAGATCTCACTTATTTCCATCACTTCCACCGCCTGATTGGACGGATGTAGTGTTGACTGCATTCGCTGCAGGTGTCACTGGCGCCGTTAGAGGTTGGGTTTTATTGACAGTATTAGCCGCAGGTGTGCCTGCGGCTGCTTCACCTTTATGAGCTGAATCATCGGAATCATATTCATCTTCACTGCTACTGGATGATGTACGGAAATAGTTGTCTTTGACAAAATGAAATATTCCACTAAAGATTAAAGAAAATCATTGATGTGAAGAAACATTGGACAAAATGCATCGTCGTACGTTTTCTTTGGTACTGGATTAGATGCGTTTTGCAAAAGATTACGATATTGTTCTGATTGAATAAAACGTGGGTAGCTGTTCTTCTTCATCAGTTCAATAATATGTTTTTCAGCTTCAAGAAATATTTCGCTAAAAGAGAAAAATGTTTTCAGATGAAATCTTCCTGTCGGAGATTCGTACCGATTAGGATTGCTTAACAATTTAATAATCCTAGTTCGAATTGTGTCGTTGATGTTCACTTCTTGTGGAGCATTTGGTGCTAGATGTTCACTGAGAAACAAAAAGATCATGTCTCGTGTGTTTAAAATTCATTATTTTCCGTTTCTTACCGATAGACAGCATCGGCTTTCTCCTTGATGCTCGCCAATGAACAATTACGTATTTCTTGCACGTGAAGGTAAAAATTTAAACTTTCAGTTGAAAAATCCGCTTTACAAAACTTCATGAACTCGCGAACACCCGTTGGATCAGAAAGAAGCTCTTTACAGTTGAACGACCAACGACGAACACGCAGTTGGGTTGGATTTTCCACTCTACAACAAACTTCTTTGTTTGTTCGGAATTCAACATAATCTTCTACATACAATGGCTGCATCAGATCCCATCGATCTGTGTCCGAGGTTAACCATGGATTCGACGGTGGACAATGGCCCAAAAATGGATCATAATCACTGAATACTTCAAAGAATGCACATAAACTAAACGAAAATAAACGATAGAGAGCTTTTGTTCGAACAAATCTATGCAATACAAAGCATGGGGGATAGGAACATCGATTATTTAGCAGATAACATCAATACATATAGAAAAACCTTTGATGTGTTTGTGATGATTTCGTTCGGACTCGATTTGTCAAAGCCTGTTGAAGATATTCAAGCTGAAAAGAACAGCAGTTCAATGATTATATTTATTTTTGCGTTGTTTTGCTGTGAACATCAAAATTACAAATTCACTTACACGACGTTTCAAAGCTTCATCGCGTCTCATTGGCCTAAACGTGTAAAGATCGTTGCGAATATCCATTTCAAGAACAGATGTTTCATCCGGCTAGAAATATTGATTTTACAAGAAATAGTTTCTGCAACCAAGAATAATACTTACAGATGGACGCATTACACGCCAAAACGCGCGCTCTTGACTGTCAATTATGGTCTTATCTGTCTTTTTACGATCTTTCAAAACTCTAAAAGCGAGAAATGACGGCTTTTAATCGTTAATTTGGCTCCTCTTTACCTGAATTGTGCTTCGGCTTGCATGGTGACAAAATCCCATTGATGAAGTAGCTTCTTCTTCAGATCATCCAAGGCACGCTGAAAACGAAAACAATAAGAAAACTAAGTAAGTACATCGTAAATAATCAAACCATTTCATGTTCCTCAAGGCCATGCCGTTGACGATTTCGTAATGTTCGTTTGATTAAATAAATAGCTGAAAAATGAATATTATTGCACATTTCATAAAACAAATTAGGATTCTGAACAAACCGTATTCTGTATTTCCTGTAGTCCAGTTGGTTGAGACCCAGAAATAAGGTGCTTGAAAACGAAATAATTCGTTGTCTTCTTTAATCTGCACAGCGCCGTTTGTAGTTACATGAAAGAAGTACCCGTAATAACATAGCAACGAAGCTAAGTGAAGTGCTTCGACTAAAGAAAATTCCTCACATATGACGAAAAACAATGCAATGAGACGTACCGGAATCTTTGACGCCCAGTTTTTGCATAATCCATTCGGTAACATCATTGCCGGTGAACGCATTAGGTACTGTCGTAAGAAAAAGCTTTTGACTTCGAACAGGCACACCTGCTGTAGGATGTTGCATGGCTTTTACAATTCGTTCCATACGTTGAAATTGAAGAGAACGTGGCAAACCTTTTCGTTGTGTATTCGTTGTCACTTCCATGATTGTGCGGATGTTTTTCTTTGTCTGAAAGTAAATTGTGTAGATGTAATATTAAATAGAATTTGTTTTCACAGATAAGAAGAACATGATACACAAAAAAAGTCATTATTATATCAAGAGAAAACATCGTATTAGATACCGAAGAAGATTATTGAGAGATATATGTAGAGAAAAAAGAGGAAGTTTGTGTTTTTTTGTCACAAGACACAATAAATAAAACGAAAGCCACCCGAATAAACAATAATAAAGAAATATCTGATACAAGGAAAACATCACACATTCTTTCAATTGTTCTGCGTTTTGACAAAACATCATAATATATCTAAGCAAGTATGTAAAACGAGTCGAGCGAAAAAAAATATTTGTTCATCACTATGTAAGTGTATTCTTAAATTGTGCAATAGCAATTTAATCCATATTTAGAATGCGTAAAGAATGAGAACTATTAGAGCAAGAAGAGAAAGTAAGTCGAAGACAAATACAGGTAAGAAAAAGAGAATGACACAGCAAAAGCATTGTGTAATAGAAAAATAAGCGATGTAAAATGAATGAACGTCCATTAAATCTTCGTTTGTTGAAGGTTGTCGAGAATAGCATTGAGAATTTCTTGTTTGGCCTTTTCGATTTCTTTGCGGAATTCAGCGAGAATTTCCGTTTTGAATTTTTCTAAATCATTCGATGTATATGGAGATTCCGTGGTTTTTCGCGTAACTCGTGGTGAAGTAACCGCCGGTGTTGTTGGCATACATGATGTTACTTTGGCTGGAACTTTATTCATCGAATTGTTTGGCTCGTTTTCGTCGATAAGTTTACGACGTTGAGCAAATTTAGCTGCCATTTCTGACATCAAATCCATCTGCGGTGCAGTATTAGCTGTATTTGTTTTTCGTACTGTGTTAGTATTAGAAAGAACCAATGCAGGTGCAGGTGGTGGTCCATTACCGAAACCGTTTGGTAAAGGTGGTGGAGGAGGAGGGGGCGGTGGTGGTGGTGCAGCTGGAACAGTATTCGAGCTAGCTGGAGTTATCATCGATTGATTTAATGGCGGTGCTGGTGGAATATTAGGATTGGTTTTATTATTGGCACTTTCTCCGTAATAGGAGTAGGAATCTGAGATGAGAGCATAGTTTGTTTCTTCATCGTCATTTGATTGGTGCTGCTGCTGTTGTTGACTGTAATAGTTATTATTATTTATTGACATTGATGTCGAACTTGTCGGATTGGAATTCTGACGTAAATGATTGGGATAGGGTGATGATGAGTATTGTTGTTGTTGTTGTTGTTGTTGTTGCTGCTGACCATCAGATAGATTCGAAGTAGATGAAGGAGAAACGATAGAAGCCGTCGTCGTCGTTGTCATCGGATGTGTTGATGGAGGCTGACTGGATTGACGTTTGTACGGCGGTGTACCCACATTGCAATTATTGTTATTATTATTATTTAGCATTGATGTTGATGAACAGGGAAGAGTCGCTCCACCGTTGACCATCATATGCGATGATGATGCATTGACATTTTCAAGAATTTTCATCATTGTACTTCCGAATTCTTGTGCGTCAAGTTTCGATGAAAAATTCAACCCATAAACACATGATTGGTCTCGCCATTGATGGAATGTTGGTGTTGCTTGATTGTATTTAATACCTTTCGTTATCGAATGGTTTAAAACCACTTCATGATCTTGAATTTGTCGGCCAACAATCCGATAGGCTTGGGTATCCGGACAGAATAATAATTGAATCTTCGCTGGCCCATTCGGTGCGCAATGCAGCCATTTCTTTTGAGCATCATTATAAATCATCGCCGTTGCTTTGCAACTGGTTAAAATATCTTCTCTTGGATTGTTGCCAACCATGATTGAAATGAGATTAATTAAGTAGCGTAATATGAAAAAGATAGAGACGGACTAGAAGAATAACAAAAGAAGTTTTGATTGACATCTAACTAAGAAAACAGGCTCATTTTACGTAGATTTCTTTACATTTGACGTAATGGAGAACAATACTTGAATTTTGTATGTTCGAAGCACAATCTCGAATAGCAAAATCAACATCGACAAAGATGGTATCGTTGTCTTAAAAAGATATTTCTTTCTTTCTTTCTTTGCTCTTCTTCAATGTTTGCGAATGGCTATACACTAATGATTGCCTTACTGATCTGTACAAGTAAAAAAAAATGTCGAAGTGCTATTAACGATAAGATCTAGTAGTATGCATATATCTAACCGACTGATTTTTCTATCGGGAAGATAAAAAAAAGGAGATCTATATAGTCGTTGCGGTGTTTTTCACCGTGTGTCAATATTGATCATGTTTTATTGGAATAAAACGAAAGAGATGATTGATGACAAGACTATGTACATCTGTATTTCTCACCTGAAGCATTAGTACAAGCACAGTCATGATTAACTCGAATACGTGTGCATTCTAATGGAGGAAATCTCGTATTAGAAAAGTCAATCAATTAGATGAATGTGTGTCTGTTAGGAGCGGTATTTTTTAAATCTCGGCAGGGTTTTGTTGTTTCTCATTCATCTAATTGAATGGTTTGCCCGCGTACCTGGTGAGAGTGAACTTACCTGATAAATAGAAAGCGATCACGAGTGAATTTCACGTTAGTTCTGAAGAAAAAGAGAAAAAAAAAGGAGAAGCGAGAATGAAAGTGTCCGATGAGTTTGTTTATTCTTACCACGAAATAAAAAGAAATTATTAGCACTTCGAAGACTTCAAAACAACTTGTTTCAGTCATCTAGAAAGAGAAGTTGTTTAACAATCGAATTAACTGAACATCTGTTCTCATCTTATGTTCAATAGACTCATTTTTTTATTGACATGACCTTTTTATTTATTTCATTGGGTGTCATCGTTTCTAAGAGAAAATCTTTGTTGTTTTTTAAATAAACTGCACTCAATAAAAAATAAATTAAAAATAAATTCGACATTTCATCTGCATTTGACATATGATTTCATCATAAATATGCATAGATATGTTAAATACGACTGTGCGGAGGATAACAGCTCGATTCTGATTGGTCGATTCAATAATCAAGATCTACACGCACATACAAGCAAGGAGAAAAGAGAAAGTTGCATTGCATGTTACTCCAATCATACTTCATATGTACTTTTATACGAGGGACTCTTCTGATGTTGATTGAATGTAACATGTCAAAATATTGAATAAAAAATATCTAAGTATAGGAAGATAACCAGAGATATGTATCATGGCAATTAGTGTCGTTTTGCGTCGGCATAATTGTTCGTAAGCGACGAGGTTGATTCGCTCGAGGAGTTTTCGAGTGAAGGATTATTATTCACCGATGTCTATCAGTCACTTGACGAAACAATTACAACAGGAATACAAAATTTGTCCACATAGTCATCGCGTTCAGGAATTGTGACACATGTCCATCCAGCGCTGAGTGGTACTTGCAAGTTGAATGCTGCGTCTTTCGTTTGTAATACCCCGAGGGCCTTTGATTTCATATCAATTTAAGTATGACACGAAAATTTTCAAAAAACGCTCTTCATGCATGAACCGTGTAACACATGTACGCCAATCGACCAATGAAAATGCAGCTCTCTTCCTCTACATACTCATTCGTAGCACATTTGTCGATGGTGAAAAAAAAAGGAAAGAATCAATAGAGAAGCATGATAAACAGCTGGTTTATATAGAACGAACTTGATGCTTTCTCAAATGTAATTTTTTTTAGATAGATCCATGAACATCTTCAGATCTATCTTTTGAATGAAGAAACGACGTCGAATTGTTTTAATCTAACTCTTTAATAAATTACTAAAGCATGTCAGCTGTAGTTACTGTTCGTCAAACAACAACAACAACAACGACTACTACTACAACCATGAACACAAATAACAACAACAACAACAATAATAATATTAATAACACAAATAATGACAATAATAATTCACAATCATCTGTACGTTCGTACGGAATAACACAACCGATATCAACTAAATCACCGGATGCATTCGATCATGTTCAAACACAGAATTTAGAAGATACGCTACGTTCGTATGATTACTTCGAATCGAGCGAAGAACTTTCTCATCGAGTACAAGTGATGGCTAAACTGAATGTACTCGTTCGAGAATGGATTCGAAGTGTTTCATTAGCAAAAAATGTTCCAACAGAAATTGCAGACAATGCTGGTGGTCGTGTACATACATTTGGTTCATATCGGCTTGGTGTTCATTCAAAAGGTACTGAAAGAGAAGTCAAAAACAACAAAGTATTTCTAAGATTTGATTCGTTTTAGGTGGTGATATTGATACTCTCTTGATCGCACCACGTCATATCGATCGTACAGATTTTTTCACGTCATTCGTAGAGTTTCTCCGTCGACAGCCTGAAGTTCGTGATTTACGTGGCATTGAAGAAGCTTTTGTACCTGTCATCAAACTAACATTTGATGGGATAGAACTGGATATGTTATTTTCTCGTTTGGCACTAACAGCCATACCAGATAACTTAGATTTAAAAGATGATAAGATCTTACACAATCTCGACCAACGCTGTGCACGTAGTCTGAACGGTTGTCGCGTGACAGATGAAATTCTTGATTTAGTGCCAGATCGTGAAACATTTAAATCCACCTTACGTGCAATCAAACTATGGGCAAAGAAGAACGGTCTTTACAGTAATGCATTAGGATTTTTCGGTGGTGTAACCTGGGCTATGCTTGTCGCACGTATTTGTCAACTATATCCAAATGCTGTCGCTTCGACATTGGTACATAAATTCTTTCTTGTCTATTCCCATTGGGAATGGCCGACGCCTGTCCTATTAAAACCAGTTAATGATTGTCAGTATGGTTTTCCTGTTTGGGATCCCATGACTAATGCATCCGATCGCTATCATTTAATGCCGATCATCACTCCGGCATATCCACAGCAGAATTCGACGCATAATGTCACTCAATCCACACAGAAAATTATCGTTCAAGAAATCAAACGCAGCTTGGAAATTGTCAATGACATCATGGTATCGAAAGCTGAATGGAAGCAATTGTTTATCGGCACACCATTTTTCCAACGTTATAAGCATTTTATCATACTGTTGTTATCAGCGCCAGATCAAAATCAATTCTTGGAGTGGAATGGTTTAGTTGAATCGAAAATTCGTTTTCTAATCGGAAACTTGGAACGAAATGCGTACATTGATATCGCACATGTGAGCTCCGATAAATATACGCCCGATGAAAGTATTGTCGATCAACAAATCTTGAATAAAACACAAGCAGATAATGAACCTTCGAATCGAACAAATGGTCATAGTAGTCCAGGTAGAGAAAGTGTTTTTGTCATGATTTGATTACTTTATTGTACGATAGATTCAGCTCAACAGTCCTCCTCGTCTCCGTCGAATCCTTCGCCAGTCTACAGTGGTATGTGGGTAGTTGGTCTTCAATTCAAAAATGTCAACAAAGTTCAACTTGACCTCACGGAAGAAATTCGTGTGTTTCTCAGTGTCGTTTACAGAGCTGCGAAATGCAACATGAGTCGAGAAAATCTCAATCTTGATGCTCGGTAAGACTTGATCGATGGATCAAATGTTCACCAAAAATGAATTTTTATTTGAACAGGTATATTCGTCGTCGTGATTTGCATACTGTTTTACCAAAACATGCAGGATTGACATCAAATAACAGTCCTCGTCTCTCGAAAACAGTGTCAATGGACGAAAAATTAGAACCCAATCCACAAATAAAACGAGCGAAATTGAACTCGACCTCATCGGATTCAGGAATAGTTGCTGACTCCGATGTCGATGCGAAAGTGAAACGACCAAAAATTGAAGAAACTGCCGAACCATCTGAAAACAATCGTGATACAGTTTAATCTAACAGAAACATTTTAACATAATACTCTATCTCGAGTATTATATGATTTCATTCGATATATGCGTTTTTCCTTGTTTCTTTCATCATCACCTATTTATCTTTTTTTCTCATTTGTCTCTTTATTCCATTTTCTTTCACTCGAGTAAGAAAAACAAAACAAAAAAATGAAAGTTCCTTTTTCTCTCTGCTTGTTAAAGATCGTTCGTTTCTCTTTCTTCTTTGGTTTGTCTATCTCTGTGTTCTTTGTTTGGTTCATCTGCTGTATATAGAAGCGCTTGTGGTACCTACAACACAAAATGAACCCAAAAAAATTATAAAATTGCCTAGTAAAGTTCAACAAAAAAATAAAACGGATGCACATATAGAAAAATCTTATCAGTTTATTTTCTCACCGACATCGATCGAAATCTCGTACATAGCAGTAGTGATGCAATGCAAGTCGACTCAGCTCATCGTCTTTATTCTCATAATACTTCAGTTCACTAAGTACAAACGGAAGTTGTTTCCTCATGTTAGAGCGTTTGAAATTTTTGTGACTATGAAGAACGTTTCATTTCTACATCTATTGAATAAGATCAATTGTCGAAGTGGCTGCTGTTTGCAATTCGTCTAATGAGTTATTTAGAGCAGTCATTGTTACACGAGTGAACTCGACTACTTTCAAAGCCAATCCTACAACCGGAATAAACTCAACATATTCTTTAGCGATCTTTTCTTGCGCATGTTTAAGCAACTCCAGCACATATCGTTTTACATTGTTTTTGAGTAAACTACCACCTTTCCATCCACCTGTAAGTTTGGCATTCATTTCATCTAGTAACAAATTGTAATACTTGGCTAATTTCTCCCGTGATTCTTCGTCCAAACCGAATTTTGTAATTTAATATAGTTTTACTTATCAACACACAATCCAACACTAATGATGCACCAGAAAGTGGAATAGCATTCACTCCTAGCGTACTGGTAAATCGTAGAATATCAAATGTGTCTTTGTTGAATGTCTGTGCCTTCGGATTTCATTTATGACTTCTGCGACACCTTGTTCAGCAGCGCGAATGTCATCTTTACGACGAAAAGAAATGCCGAAAGTATCGAGCAATGTATACATAAGTTAATAGGTTTTCCTTGGACTAACACCGCGAAGTGTATTTATCAGCACTGACTTTCCGCTTCCAGACATACCGGTTACTGCAATCTTTAGCTACATGTTGTCAATGTCTATGCGAAATATTAGTAAGTTAGTAATACGAATCGTAAATCATGACAAAACAGAATAAGAATGTCGACGTACTATTCAACTTGTCAACTTTATGTCGTTTGATGTATTCTTCAACTAGAAAGGACAGTTTTATTCAATATGTCAAATTCATATAGAGCAGATTGTTGTTAACAATGAGTTACCTGCTTCTTCGTCTGTTAGGTTCGGACAAAAATGTTTCTAATCTTCTCCATATCCGTTGAACACATAAGTATAATTTGCAAATAGCATAACAATCGCGATGGTTTTTACTTTCTTCGTAGTCATTGTGTTGATTGACATTGAAATTGTTCAGATATAGATAAATGTAGTGGAAAAATAAAGTTTTATGAAAATCATGACTATTTTTACGTTATTGGTAAGGTATATTCCAACAGACAAAAGTTGGCGGTTTTCCTAATCATATATATGCGATTATTGTGATGCCATGTGGCGAATACATATACATTTTTTGCATAGTTAGTCATTTGAATATAAAATTATTGGCACACTTTTGAAGTTTTCTTTCCAAATTGAAAATTTGCAATTTAGGATCAGAGTACGCAATGGATATCAGTACGAATTTTCACACTTACCTATAACGATCGTATTGAATTTGGATCGTGGTAGAAAGTATTCTATTGAGTCGATTTGTATGGCAAATTTATTCCTTGAACAAATAAATCGAGGTTCAAAAATGCAGATCACCGGTACACATACGAAAAACAAGCGAAAAGAAAGCATTAACAAAAAGAAATAAATCTTTGGGTCTGTTGTTTTTGCGTTACGAATAGATGGTTACTTTTGTTCGAAATTATTCGCGATTTCAACAAAAAATACGGCGAAATTCTCTACAAATTCATGAGTAATATTGGCATTACCAACGAGATGTTCAATAGCATGAGGTTCCTTTTTATCTTCATAATTGGCTTGATCGGATATGAGAAATAATCGCAGTTTATCATTATCAACAGTTAACTTTTTCAGTTCACTCGTGTCGCTCAATGAACGATGTGTAAGAAGATGTATTATGCAATAAACCAATAATCGATCTTCATGATGAATAGCGAATTGACGAATATATGCAAAAAGTTTGCTCAAGAGTTCAATAGTGCCACATTGAAACTAAAGTAATCAAAATTGAGAGATAAAAGAAGGAAAGAATCAATCTTTACTTTATTCAATTTTGATAAGATTGTCATAGGTTCTTTCACGTCGCTTTTTGTAAATAATTTATAGTCTTGAGTGGTTATAACCGGATGCTAAAATGGATATGAAAACGTTTCCTTAACCATTCATGTTTTGTTCTTCCGAGTTTACTTTTAATAGCCTCAACCAAGACCATAAGAGTCCACTGATGATACAAGGGTCAGTTTCTCCAAAAATCTCGTCAATGCCGTTATTTGTTTTATTAATTTTCTGTTTCCACGTTGAGATTTTCATTTGTTGATCAGATGTAAGAAAGTCCTCGTTTATTGACATAATCAGACAATTAATTATCTGTTCGTATGGACTAAAATTCTCATGAGATAGGCGTTCGTGTTCATAGAAAAACGACGGGACAAAATCCAACCACGTCGCCTTCTCTTCATCCGTAAAACTTTGAAAACTTTCGCGGATAAATACAGGTTTTGCTTTACTACGACGGTTGATTGTCAACAGAATTGTATCAATCATGTAACCCGTACATAATTCAATCAAACGTGCTGCACAAACGAACACAACCTAAATTGAAAGAGATTATCTGTGAAAACTTCTGCCGTAGATGGTCTAATTCAGTTCCAGAGGGAAAAGACGAACCCTGGGTATGTATTTGTAAATATATGCATCACGACCATGAACGAACGCTTGTTGATTTCGTAGATGTTCATCGAGAGAAAGTTGCGTATTCACATCAGCACTACAAGAGAATCATTTGGAAAAATAGAGTTCGAAGATGTGAACATACTAATCAGTAAAAACACGTCGCTTAGGTATGATAAATCGTTCATATTCTTCTACAGCTAGAAGAAATCGAGATGTGACGATCGTTCGCGATTCAATGATTCTTTACCTTCGATTTGTTTCGTCATCTGAACACTTCCAGGTCGTTTGGCACGAATATAGTGAATAGAATGATGAGCAGTCATACGGTATTCATGTACAAGATACGAACAAATAACAAAACCAGTACGACCAAGACCCGCATGACAATGCACGGCTATCTATATCGAAAAAAATCAGTTAGTGATTACTTTCTCTTGCGCAAATGAACACGTACTTTGCCTTGTTTCATTGCGAAACTCATGACTTTCATAATGTCGAGTACAGTTTCGACTTTGACTGTTCCGTAATCTTCCATTGCGTAGTTATAAACGAAAACTTTCGAACAAGAAAGAAGATTTTGTCAATCGGATCGATAATCTTTATCTTACTTCCTACATCCATAAATTCACTTGGATCATATGAGAAACCTGAGGAATGATTTCCATGACCACAAGAAACATGTTCATCTGGTGTTTCTAGATTAAATATAGCACGAATGCCAGCACTACAAATGACCATATAACGTTTTTCTAGTAAAATCGAAAACCTTTACTCATGGAACAATTTTTTCAACGACTCATGTCGTGTAGTTGGTCGAGAACAAGCCAAAATGCTCTCCGTTATCCTAAACAGCAAAAGTAGCTCAAAGGAAATAAATGAAATCTTTACCAATGAGAAAAAATCCCAGGAATAGCCATCTGTTCCGGCCGCCAATAATCTGATCGTTCATATTTACAATTTGCTCCTCGACAACCTAAATATTCTTCATAAAATGTATATCAAATGTACTTCACTTTCAATTTACCCAGTCGACAAGCTGTTTTTTCTGGTAATAACTTTTTCACTGCTTGAGATACTGCTGAATATGCACCTTGTGGTGCTGATGATGGTGAATCATATTCTTTAAGCCAAGAATCACTTGCCTGATGTGCTCGTTTTTGAACTAACCCCGGATCAATGAATGGACGGATGACAGGAGTATGTCGCGACCGAGTTGTGTTGAGTGAACTATGAGAAAAATCATCCTGTCCAATGCCATTTCTATTTGATTCCAGTTCAGGATGCGAAATTTGATCGTCAACAGTGAGTGGAGCAAATTCAGCGATTAAAATTGAATTCTTTTCTTCTTGCTGTTCATTCTCGATGGATATCGACGAGTCAACTGTTGCCATATTCACAAAAGGTTATTCATGAAAAATATATATATATATATACAAATTTTTAAAAAAATTCAAACAATCTACAACAAAATAAACTTTATGTCCGAAGAAACCATACGTGTTAAACCAAAAAGCAGGTAGTGTGTTGAAACTACTTTGCTTCTTGGTTACATATTGTTGTTTTTTGATAGAGAAGTCAGGTAACTAATTATAAAAATTAATTCTATTCTTTGAAATTCTATCCATTGATCATTGAATCGCATGTGATACCATAGTTAATTACATTTCTATTGAGACATCCTCCTCGGATTCAATCTAGCGACATTTATTTAAAGAAAGGTTCAGTTCACATTCTCATTGGCTCACACGAAGCCAAATAATGATTTGACAACAGTTGATGATGGCATCAACAGATTGAATTTTCTGACACTGCATAAATTCCTAATGAAATAAGTCAAATCTCTAACAAAAGTTCTCTCCTACTATGCAGCATCTCTCAATCCTTCTCGCTATTCTACTCACCATTCCTTTCCTTCAAGCCAAAAAGCCGCTTGATGAGCAACACTGTGAAGGTAAAATTTTCCTGTCGATTTCATCCGTTTTCTACACTCGATCGTTTAGTTTGTATCAAAACCATCAATAAATTCGCTGAGACTTTATCAGCCGATGACAAGTCCAGTGTCGAAAAGATTGAAAAAGGATTTAAAAGTTTTTGTAAGAAAGTAAAAGTCGATTCCAAAGAGCATCGATTGGTGAGTTTGCGCGACTAGGTGATGATTGTTTTCAACCAATTTCGATTCATTTAGTGTTATTATGTTGGCGCATTGGAAACTTCAGCTACTTATGCGATCGGTGATTTATCAAAACCACTTGCGTGGGGAATTCCAACAGAAAAAATCTGCCGCGAACGACTTTTCAAAACCAATCCGCAAATTTGTGATCTGAAATATGGTAAATGAACGAATTGTTGTTTTGAAAAGATTCAGAAGATCTGTTGAATTTTAGAAAAACCGATTGATATCAACGGAATCGATTTGAATAAACTCAAAGTGAAAGATTTGAAGAAAATTCTGACCGATTGGGGTGAAACTGCTGATTTTATGGAGAAATCTGAATATATTAGACGTATTAACGAAGTCAAAGATAAATATGTCAAACCAGCATCAGATACTGAGAAAAAAGATTTGTGATAATTGATCTGATTGTGCAGTCGTATGCTTGTCGCTTGTTAATCATATTTTCTTGTTTTTTTAATTTGATCTGATAAATGTCAAATTTTAGTTTATTTATTAAATCCGCTCATTTCGTGTTTGTGAATCGATTCCACCTTAAAATTCACCCTCTTCATGTCAATCCGAGGACTTTGACATTGTACCAATTCAAGTGACCTCACGTTTTCTCATCAATTTAACAAAAAGATGATGAAATTTCGTATTTAATTCGATCTCTATGATTTGTTTATTGAAATAAAAAAAAAAACAATATGTTTTTACACAAAACGAAACCTTTCTTCGACGCACGGAAGGTATTCTCTAATCAAATTACCTTTTGGATGTATATATACACATAAGCGAACAAAACTCACGCCATTCGTTGTTGTTTTTTATTGATAATAAGTTGGTCAATCGACAAAATGTCTTCACCATACGCTCACACCCATGTTTCACACTTAGTGAAGAAAAAACGGCGACGATCACAATCTTTAACCTTGCCGAATTTCAATGATTTGGATTCACAAGTACAAAATGAGAGCCAGGTAAGTTTTGCTCAGTTCAAAATTCCCTTTCCCAACACATTCGATAATTGTAGAAGAAGTTTTTGGCTCAACTGAAAAAAGAACGACAAAAACAGCAGAACATTCAAGAACATGACAATTCCAAGGACCACTCGCGCTCTGACGATGATGATTTCCAGGCAACCGTCACTCGAATACCTCGTACATACACTTCCGCGTCAATGAAAAAGACCGCTTTATCTACAACAGCCATTTCCGTTTCGACCAAACAACAAATGTCAACAACAACAACAACATTCCGAGCTGCAGGTGTTTACGACAGTACTGATGATTTTCAACCCGTAGTCACTCGAGTGGGTACAACGGCTACGGCGCTGTCTTCCAAAAAACACACTTCAACTACGGGAAAAGATATTCTGTCTGCAGCTCATAAAACAACTAATCTGGATGAAGGTGATCTCAATAGCAGTCAACAAACACATATAATACGAATTCCACGAGAAGAATCATCGAAATCAATGAAAAATCCATTTTCAAATCTTTATGGAAAGTTTCCAAGTGGAAGTCTACCAAGGAAAGTTATGAATACCACTTGTGATACACCTATATCACATAATGATATCGACATCAACTCATCCCAGAACTCGTCGAATCATTTTGATTCATCGACAACAAATATACTCAGAAAATCTGATGTAGTCGATCAGGAATTTCGTCTCGATGACGGAAAAGACCATGCACGAAGGAATGATGCGAAAAGTCATGGAAGTATCAAAATCGGCGAACGAGAAAAGTAAGTATCCAAAAAAGAAACGGTATGAAAGCATTTTTCTCTTTTATATTCTAATAGCTACTATGCTGTTCACGGTAAAAATCACACAACCAAAACCAGCGCAAGTCTTATGGCTTCGATTATTGCGATCCTGATCGGCTTAATTGCCTTTGCTTTAGCTCTAACAGCATTCATTCTCGTGCTACTACTTCGATCGACTGTCGATGCTAATCTGGGTAAGAATCAGCTTTTTTCCTGTTTTTCTCAAAAGAAATTTTCTTCTTTCTTTTAGTCATAACACCCAAAAAGTCGATCGGAAGTTTGCCATCTGCCTGTTCAAATTACACCCCAGTTGATGATCCAACGCGAAGTATAAATGCACCAGGTTACGCACTCGGTTGTGATAATACGGCACCATTCGCCAATCAAAGTAGTCCTGCTTGGATACGATTCATCGGAACCGGAGGGACAACACTCCCATTACAAACACCAGGAATGAACATCTGCGGATCCGAAGGTACTGGCTGGTATTATGGTACAATGCCATCAATAACAGGAGAGGTTGTTAATGGTACTGCATGTTTTTCTTGGTACACGTCTGTTTGCCGATTTTCAGTTAGTATTATTGTTGCCAATTGTGGCTCGTTTTATATTTATCGTTTGCCCCCAGCACCAGCATGCATGATGCGATATTGTACAATTTAGATTTGAATAAAAGGACTTGTTTGATTTTTTCGTAGTTGTACTTTGAGTATACTGAAGAAGTAATATGAATGTTGTGTAGGACAGAAATAGTATTGAAATATTTACCTTTTCTGATCTCATTTAAATAATTATTTGAGACAAAAAAACAAGAAATTCCATAATTATTTTTGTATTCTTATTAATTTTCAACATGAAGTCAAATAAATAACAAATTCGTCATTCGAATTGATTCGACGCAGAAAGCAAAATGAACTTCTCTCCAAAGACACGAAGCACTTCTCACGCAGTTGTTACACTGAAATAAGATCTAATGATTTGATTGTCATAAATCAAGACATTGCTGTTGACATCTGGAACAAATTTTTTTCCATTCAACGATACACACTCCTTCTTGACAAAGGAAAACTTTCATTCCGTACTATGTGACTCGTTTTCTTTTCACACATTTTTATGATGTCGTAAGCAGCGAGAGTAGGCATCATTTTTTAATTTCAAATCGTTTACTTTGCCGAAAGTGCCTGCCATTTGGCAGTTTCTTTTTTTTACCGAATGGTCACAGTAGGTGGTCTAGTAAGTGAGAGAATCTCTAGCCGTTTTGCTCAAGCATAGCGCTAGACAGATGAACAGGAAAGAAGGAAAAGAACGCTTGTGGCAATCGTTCAATTAATAGAACTTGTTCGTCGGCATTGTCATCTGAGAATCGATGGCCAGTCGGTAGCACCCTAACGAGCACAAAATCTGCTCGACTAATTCGACGAACATGAACATCCTCAATGATGTTCTTGTTCCCAGGAACAAAGTTCTCTTCGGGTCCTTTCTTCTTCTATTGAAAAACAAGTTGCTTTCTTGCCTTTTTTTCTCTTTCTTTCATCGTCCAATAATAAGAAATCTCTTGCCATTCGTCATTTTTCGATTGGCTAAAAGCAAAATAAAGAAGATCGAGAGAAAAGAGAAAAAACCGTTCGACGAAAAGAATAGAAGAACTACATTGATTCTCAAGGGCCTTGTGAGTTATGCCGTTCGTGAGTATAAATGAGTGGGAACAACATTAGCTTAATGGAAATAAATTTCATTCGTTAGCTCAAGCTTTTATGAGTTCTCTTCTTCCGTTAACGAAGTTGTCTCCTTCGTTTCGCGTTCGAGTACTCATCGGACGTTCTAATCTATCCATCTTATCTGCCGTCGTCAATTATTCCTTACTCTTCTTCTTCTTCTTTTTTTTCTTCGATTCTCGATCAATAAGTATAAGTGTTGATTTGTCGTCTAATAAAGTTAGTCACCTCAAATTAAGAGTCTTAAAAAAAGAACTGTAGTTCTATGATCATCATTATTACATCAGACGAAAGCAACCGAGAGAGAGAAAGAGAGAAAAAGAAAGAGAAGAAGCGAGCAAATCATATTTCAACCACTCATTCACTTTTCTCTTTACTAAAATAATAATCATTATCAATGAATAATAAATAATTCGATTTAGACTAACCATATATACACAAGCAAAATGTCAAGTTTAACCAATAGTACTACAAATCGAATCTCATCTTCATCAAATAATCCAGCATTTATCACCAATAATGATACCACTAATCTTACGAATCCTTCGGAATCATCCGTGCAACCTACTCTGACAAGCATGGGCTTAGCTGCAGCAACAGCTAATCATACATCTAATATTGAATCTGATTCGAAACGGAAACTTGAGGATCCTTATGCTAATTTCTACGCGCTAAATCGAACATTACCACCTCCACCGATCGGACCAACAACATTTAACGTCAATAATCAATCATCTATGAATAATTCACCATTCATTACTAATTCTACAGGTGAACATCACTAAACATTTTGTCTTTCATCAAACCTATTCGGCATGTTTTTCCTTCTATAGATCATTCGGACAATGGAGCATTTAAAAAGATCAAGCATGAATCTTTATTGTTAAATACACATTCTTATTACAATTCTCCTTATCAACCGATTCCTCCTCTATCGACAAATAACATGTCTCCAGCTCATTCTTCAGCATCGAGTCCATCATCTCATCATTCAGTATCGAATTCGACAAATCATTGTTCAACACCGGCGCGGCGCCGACATCGAACAACATTCACTCAAGAGCAATTGGCTGAACTTGAAACAGCATTCGGAAAAAGTCACTATCCCGATATATATTGTCGAGAAGAATTAGCTCGTGTTACAAAATTGAATGAAGCTCGTATTCAGGTTTGTGCTGAACAAGTTGGCAACGCGAATAGGAAAGACAACGAATGACAAGACATTCTTCTTCTTCTTTTTTTTTTCTCTTCTTTGTCATATGATTGACAAGCATAAGAGGAAATGTCGAATGAAGCATCGAGCACAGATAGACCGACGCGAATGCACGAGCGAGGGCGTCTATATACATCGTCTTATAATTGAATCATGTTAGGCACACTCCGTTGTCGCGTAAGAATAGATTTCTAATGAGTATGTGCAGTCGAGCGACAAGAAACTACATCAATACACGAGAGAAAAAGACAAGTCGTCGGCTTGTCGATTAGCTCGTGCATTGACAATTGATGAATAGTTTTAATTGAAAATATCTTCGTTTTTCTCTTTAAAAAAAATCAAGGTTTGGTTTCAAAATCGACGAGCGAAGTATCGTAAACAAGAAAAACAATTGCAAAAAGCGCTCTCGCCCGTGCTCTCACCATGCAACGCCATGATGAGAAACTTCTATCAAACATCGACTGGAAGACCTTATCAATACGGAACATCTACCAATGGACCAACTAACCCAACATCCAATCAGATTCGTTACCCATCATCTGCAGTTGTCTATTCACAATTCTCACCACTAACAGCTGCTGGCATTCGACAGGTTCGACAAAAAAACTCAGTCGATGTTCGCTTTTCATACTCGTTTTCTCGTTTAGGATAATCCGCTGTCGTTTCAAGATACTGATTGGTACAATAAGAGTCTCTCGTCATTTCGCGTCGATCATACATCAATGCTTCATTATCCAGCTTGAACAGTGTGTGTGTGTGTGTGTGTATCTTACCTTTTTACAGTGAATATATGTCCCTTTTTCTGTTTGTATGTACGTGCCATTTTGCTCGATGGATAAAATAGAATAAAGAAAGCAAGAGATGGAAAAAAATGAGAGATTTTTCTTTTTTTTTCTCACTTAGTTAATTTCATTGTTGTAATAACAACTAATTCAATATTAACTTCAACTCCAACGAGTTCACATAGAATCGCGTGTGTCATCGACACTTCAATCGAAACTGAAATCCATATGGACTTTAATCAACTTCAACATTCAAATTAAAAACTAAAAAATACATCGGGAATGACCATTTTTCGCCTCTCTACTGTCTGTGTACTTGTCAATATGTAGAAGAGTTCAATAAGAGTAATCAAATTTGCAGACAGTACAACAATCTAATTTTGATCAACATCAGTCTTGTTAGGAAAAGAAGAGAAACAACATCCTAAATGTATAAACTTGAATTCATCTAACACTTCTACAGATTTCGATGATAGTCAAGTGAAGTCAATCGTCTATCAATATCACCGCTTGTTTGTAATTTTCATACATAATAAGTCTTTGAATATCTTCCGCTAATGCAACAATTGCTCGTTGATTATGTTCGCTTTTTCTTCTCTCTTCTCTTCCTTCGTGTCGGATCAAAATGATGAATGAAACATCTCGCCGATTGGTTGTTGATCATCTTGTTGAACGAAGCACATCTTCGACATAGCCATTCATCTTTTTTCTTTCTTCTCGTCTTTCCCCTTTTCCTCTTGTTTCCGTATGCAACTTTATTTCTCCTTCTAATCATTCGACGACAAATACTTCACTTGTCCGATCAATACAAAAGAAGAAGAAGACGACGACGACGACGATCCCAGTACGACATTAAGCAAGTACAATCGAAGTAACGAAACTCATGTTTGAGAACAGCAATTGTACGATCACATCGTGTAAGTCGATTTCCATCTAAGACAATTTGCACTGCGTTTTTCGTCTAGTGAATTCAGGAGCGTTTAAACGTATGAAACAAAATGAGAGTTCATCGATCAATCATTCCTTTCTATCACCTCTACCCGAACAGCAGCAACCACAGCGTAATCATTCATCTGCTCGTCGTCGGCATCGAACAACCTTTACTCAAGAACAACTGAACGAACTCGAGATATCCTTTGCTAAAGGTCATTATCCCGACATATACTTACGTGAAGAATTAGCTCGAACAACGAAATTAAATGAAGCTCGGATCCAGGTATCTTTTTTTTTTTTGATGAATCTTTTTTTCTTCTTCTTCAAACATCCCAAGAGATAGTGATGAGAATTTTCTACTTCGAGATTCTATTTGCAGCGATTTTCCACTTCAATCAGATGCCGTCTGTTATGGTAACACGGTTCATTTGATGGTATAATTTTCCGATTGCTTCTCGCTTGTTTCACACATCGAATGCATTCTTTCACTTTTCTTCCGAGATCAAGACGTGTCATTTCGAACAACTGTTCACGAATCGACAAATAAAACTTGGACATATGGACTTTTTCTTTTCTTGTAATCTAACCTTCTTCCACATGTCAGATTCAATTAGACGTCCATGCTTCGACGATCAGTAATCCGCGCATTATTTCCTAGGTATGGTTTCAAAATCGACGAGCCAAAGCACGGAAACAATCACATAATTCCTCATCATCAGGTAGCACATCCACATCATCCTTATCATCCGTTCGTCTCTCGTCGAAAGCGTTTTCGACCAATCCAACATCATCATCATCATTTCATCAGATGTTCAATGGCCGAGCAAATGCATCAACATCATCCCCAACGAGTTTGATGATGACCACTGACCCAACGATGTTCTATCCAACGTTTCCACCATCAACATGTGATTTTAATGTTCGTTCAACGATTGTAAATTCTTAAATAGTACGACAAATTCCTATTCTTTATTTTCGCTTTATCTTCTAGGAGAACACGATGTCATTTCATTCGCCATATCCGCCACAACATCAAACAGCTGAAGATGAATATACAAGAAATATGCGCATGCAGAATTTAATCACTCATCATCCTAATTTATACCATCATGGCTAGAAGTGCGAGATCGTCTATGGCAGGTGATCAACATCGAATTGTTTTCTTTTTGCGCTGTGACTTTTCTGTCTCTCTATGTGCGTGTTTTGTTTACTTCATATGACACTTTAATTATTAAACTTTACTTTACACTTATTTTATTGATATGATTTATGAACCGAGTCATAATCGATGTTCGCAAAGATCAAATAAACATCCAGGAAATCATTTGCTAGTTTATATAAGCTTTCTTTATGAATTAAAATATGAAAAAGTAAAGAAAAATTGCCCAATAAATTAAAATCGGTGTTAACACTGTTGCCCCGGATGCCGGTGAAAAGGTGACTTTGAGTTCCGCTAAGCCAGTCGTTGAATCGCATCCTTGGTACCAAACTAAAAATGTGTTCTCTGCTGTTTTCTTCCAACCTTCGACGAAAATGACTAATGGTGTTAAACCACGGTCAGTCCATACGCCGGATTTGTTATCACATTTTTCCCAGTCTAATTCAGGAGAGAACAACGGTTGATCACTTCGTGCTAAAACGTTTGTTGGATCATTTCCATCCAATATCGCCCAACCTAGATTATATTCCAGATCCCAATTTGGTTTCGGATTGGCAATGTTCGTTTTTCGCGCGGAATTATAGAGAAATAAGTAATTGTTATCACTTAATTTCAAAGGTTCAGGTCCAGCTTCCACAAGTGCCGAATCGAAATAGTTCGATCTTGTGCTCAAAAGAAAGTCGTTTGTTAACTCATACTTAAACAGATCTGTAGTTCGAGCAATAGCAATGTTTGAATCATTGAAAAAGAGATACCGATGTGTAGCGTTATGAATTAACAAACCACCGCTCTTGCACCAAAATACATCAGGAAATAGAGGACCTACGTTTTTCCAATTGTTCTTCTTCGTGCAGTTGACTGAACAAGTTGCTAATGCGAGTTGTGCTCGCCATCGATCATCCGTTGTTTTGCTCACAGCCGTGAAAAATCTAAAGCATGATATTGTTTGAATTGATACTCAAAATTGGACTTTGACTTACAGATAATAAGTCCCTTCGTGCAAAACAACACGAGGATCTTCCGCTCCGAAAGATCGTTCGGGAATATCAGTATCAATAATAATATCATCTTGAGTGACGTGTGAGTATTTTAAATAAGATCCATCGGTACTTTGACTTACAGCGATTTTACTTGGTCCAACATCGTAAATTGTCGCCGGATTCGTGTTTAAATCTTGAACACGTACTAGCAATGTGGCAATATCTGGATTGCTCACTGTTGGCATAAACGCAACATTGTAATTATATAAAAAATCGGAATTTTTGTCCCATGCAGAGATGATCGGTTGATCGGAAACACGCTTCATTTGAAAGCTTGGAGGAACATAAGCTGAACTCGCTGAACTCCATTGCATTATCAGGTGCAAGACGATATATGCTGTAAATCTTGCCATAAAGAGATTTTTACTGAAGAACTGAAATCAACAGGTGCAGATTTTATATGCTACTGTTGTGAAGGACGAGATGTTAAGTCAATAAATGCTGCTGGAATGATAAGCGCTCGCTATTATCACCCACATTCTCAAATGAAGTGTCAATAATCGCATAAAACATATAGAATAGTTGAAGTATTCTCGAAGGAATATTACAACCTAATTGAGATATCTTTGAGCTCTTTTTTTATTTAAAACGGACCAAGATAAAAATGGAGTAAATAGCATCAAAACAGAAGGAGTTGCTTCGTGAGTTTTAGCCATGCGTTGCAGCGTTACGTTCCAGCGAATATTTAAATTCCTCGTAACTGATAAATCCATCACGATTCAGATCTTCTTCTTTCAGAATATCATCAATAATATTAGTTAATTCTTCGTCAGGTAAACGTGGATTGTGGGTATTATTGTTTGGATTCGTTGCGGCATTCTGTGTGCTGTTCTCTTCATGAGTATGGTCAAATGCTGCAATGACTTCCAAACCATCTAAACGATTATCGTTGTTGGCATCATGTAATTTGAAATAATAAAAATTTTGTTCTTCCGGTGTCATTTTTTCAATGGGTTTGTCGATCTGGTGTTCGAGGTCATGTTTCATATGGCTAAATAAGATCAGAATAGGAACGCATCGTAGAGAAATGCTATTTTACTTCATATCATGAACGTGGTCTTCCATTTTTCGAGATATGTGTTGTGGACCATCAGTCGAAGATGGTGAATGTTGACCATGAGCATTGATACAGTAGACAGAGAAAAGGAGAGGAAGAAGATATCGAATAAACATTTTGAATCGTAAAACAGACTGAACAGAAATCTCGTGCGATTATTTTTTGTCTCCTATTAATCTATACGAAAGTATCCGCGTCTATATACTGTGAATGTGGGTGAAGACACGCCTGTTCTATCATTCCCTTGGCGCTTCATTTTTCCCTGGCGTTTCTCTGATGAGTCACGTCAATATTAAATGGATGTCGCTAACAACCAATCATATCACACAATCGTGCCTCGTTTCGTCAATCTAATGCATAATTAGTTTAAAAAGGAAACTGATTTTTATTTCGTAATAACAAAATAGAAAATCGCAAATTATCCTCTGAATTTCATTCAATATGCATAATTCTTTCGTCCTCAAAGAAAGACTGTCTCACTCAATAGAAGTCCTCGGGATTGGTTAATCGAAAAACTATGGATCATAAAAACTGGAAAGAAAAGAAAGTTGTTTTATGCAAGTCAGATAAAAGCAGTTATTGTTGCAACGATGACTTTCTTAAATCCAATCAAAGCCATTCTTTTCTATCTAATGGTCATATTTGGAATTAGTTACAACCTCCTGTTCATCATCACACCTGGTGTTCCATTCATTTTTCTCAACCGACGACTTTACTTCCGTTGGTGTTCATCCGCTGTGGGTTATTATCTACTAATGCTCACAGTAACAGATTTCTTCATTCTTTGACTTCACAATTTTGTTTTTGTCTTCAGTGTTTACTAGAAGATCTACTTGGAATTCAAGTTGTTTTGACGGGAGATAACTTAATCCACGACAAAGCACGCTCAATAATTCTGTTGAATCACCGCACGAGACTCGATTGGCTATACGTCTGGATGTTACACAGTCGATTTCAGATTCTAGGACAACTCAAAATCGTAATGAAAGCCAGTTTAAAGCGAATACCTGCGATGGGTAAAAAACACTTGTTTCGAAAATGTTTTGTCTATCATTCAATTCCAGGTTGGGCATGTCAACACGCTGGATATCTTTTTCTTCAACGGCATTGGGAACGAGATCAAGAAAGAATCAAGAATATCATTGGATACTATCAATCATGTCAATCACCACTTTCCGTACGTATTCAGATGCTCACCGATTACTCTTCTGTTCAGAAATGCAAACGAAGCTGGTCAATCTCCTTCTAGATGCTTTCCGAGAGCGAACGACAGTGATACGTTCATGATTGAATTTGCAAAAGAAGCTCCTAAGTTAGTGTTCATTGCATGATAACCAAGAATAGATTATTAGATTCTGTAGAAGTGCACGTTTATTTCAGTAGTTAAACAAAAGTTTCAGCCCGTTCGAGTTTGACCTTGAATTACATTAAAAGAGGATTATTTTTTTCTATGTAGTTGTTAATCTTCCCCGAAGGAACAAATTTAACCAATGAAACGAAGACTAAAAGCAATAACTATGCATCGAAGCAACAAACTTACAATCGCCCGTATGAACATTGTCTTCATCCACATGTCACCGGATTTGCGTATTTAGTCAATGCAATGCGAACAAGTAAATCGTCAGGATCGAGATTGAAGTTTTGAAATCATTTTGATCCGTTTAGGTGGAATCATTGATGCGATTGACGATGTCACTATTGGTTATGAAGGGAAATTCCCGATCACAGAACTTGATTTACTGAAAGGTCTTTTTCCAAAAACAGTTCATTTTCATGTGAAACGTCATAAACTCAATGAAATTCCTCAAGATGAACAGCAAATCGGCGATTGGTTACGCAAATGTTGGGACGACAAGGAAAACCGCTTGAAAAAGTAACACAACATTTCTTCTCATTTCTCAAAATTCAATAATTTCTCTTGCAGTTTCTACGAAAACAAGTACCAATTCGATTCGACTTCAAATCGATTCAATAACGAACAAATGGAGTTCACCACTCGCTTCCAACGCCGTCTATCCTTAGCTTTCTGGATCCTCTTCATTCTCTTTTGGTCCTACTGCATCATCGCTTTCGTGAAGATCAAACTATACGTTTGTTTAGTTTGTATATTTCATCTCGTAATGGAAACCTATGCCAATGGTGTGATCGACTTCGTCTGTCAACTCGATGCAAACTACCGACGAGCTCGACCAGCAATTAAACACGATTGAATGCAATCTCACTGATTAATCTGATTTGTATCCCAGAAATTTTCTTGTGCTCATGAATATTTTCAATCATTTTACGAATGCTATTTTATACAATTAAGAAAATACACTTTTTTGTTTTAGATAAAACAACTCTAAGAGTTATGCAGATCTTTGTGCGTACTCTCGATGATCGAACATTAACACTCGATGTTCAACCCGAAGATACCATCAATGAAATCAAAGAAATCGTTGAACAACGTGAAGGTAAACTCGCATGACTCTTCTCCCTCTGTCCAAACAATGTCGTTATCATCGTTTAGGTATTCCCGCTGATGAACAGCGTTTGACATTAGGTGGAATTTCATTAAATGATGAATTGACACTTACCGAATGTCAAGTCGAAGATGAAAGTACACTCTATGTTTTACTCGATCTCGAAGGTGGTGGTAAAAAACGTAAGAAGAAATCTTACAACACACCCAAGAAAAACAAACACAAACACAAGAAAGTCAAACTGGCTGTTTTGAAATATTACAAAGTAAAATCGATAGTTGAAGAGAAGTAAACTCTGAATTGGATTTTTAGGTGGAAGATTCTGGCAAAATCCGTCGTTTGAGACGCGAATGCCAATCAAAACAATGCGGTGCTGGTGTCTTCATGGCCGCCCATCACGATCGAAACTACTGTGGCAAATGCTGTGTGACTTATATGTTCAACAAACGTGAAGAAGATCAATAGAGATGAGCCAAGCCAAGCCAAGCCAACGTTGTTTTGAATTGAAACAGCATCTATCACTTTTTCTTGCTTGAGAACATCCGAATAAAAACAAAAGAAAAGAAAAGAAAGAATTTCTTGATAATTAGTATTTAATTATCTTTCAGATAAAGCATTTTTCATTAGCAAAATGACAACAACTCAAATGAAAACACCGTTGAACCCCAAACCCTACATCAATGAATTAGTCGGCAAGAAAATTCTCGTCCGTCTCAAATGGGGAATGACCTATACCGGTAAATTCCGATTTTCTCTATTGAATCGCCTCTTTTAATCCTTTGTCTTTCAGGTATTCTTATAAATTTTGATCAATACATGAACGTTCAATTAGGCAATGCTGTTGAATATATTGAAGAGCAAAACAAAGGTCCATTAGGTGAAATTCTCATTCGTTGTAATAATATTCTCTACATATCCGGTGTTGATGAAGCCGAAGAAGATGATGATGCCATGGCATAGAGGAGGAAAAAAAGCGAAGGACGATTAGAAAATATTCCTTGTTGTTGTTATTGTACGTTTTTTTTATACTTTGATGACATGTGCGTTTGAAAAACAAACAAAATAGACGTGAATATGTGTCATTAACCGTTGAATGATCTTTTTTTTTGTAAATAGAACAAATTCCTTCGGTTCCTAATCAAGACAAATGAGATTGAATGAAATTTGAACTTGAATTTATCAATAAATTCGATTGATGTAGTACGAAGGTTTGTTCATATCGAATTTCTTGAAAGAAAAGCCTTGAAAAGATGATTTTATTTCACGAGTTAATTGAAAAGAAAAAGAACGAGATCGGTCTTATTTACATTCGTCTAACTGTCTATGAATCTGCTTCTGTTGATTTGATAATCACGGAATTTTCTTTTTCGATCGTGGTTTCACATGAACGTAGCGGTGGTGTTTGTGGTTTACTGCGTTTTGAATCGGGATTGATGGGTTTTAGTTCAATACGTCGTTTTTGTTGAGCTTTTCGTAGGGCAATCAACGAGGAATTCGACCGACGAAAACTTAATTGATTTAATTTGTCTATTGAGCGAGTGGGTAAGGAAAATGTATATCTTTCCTTTAGAGCTTTCAATTTTCTCAAACGTTCTTGAGGATCGTCTGGCTTAACGCGTTCCTTTCTCTCTCTAAATTCCATTGATTTACTCAAATTCGCTTCGGAGTTTGTTGCTAGAAGAATTGATTCACTACGAATGATGATATCAGTGGTAGCAGATGGTGTCGTAACTGTCGATTGTCGAGTATTACTTAGTCGAGGTAATGTAGTACCGTTAGCAGGGGGTTGAGCAGGCGCTTCTTTCGTTGTTGGACGTGGTACAACTTTATCACTGAAAAGTTGGTTATCATCAAGTACCATACGTTCTTTATCATCACTTTCATTGTAAATCAAACTGTAGTTTTTCAAACATTGAACTGGTAGTATTGGGCGGTTGTGTTTGTATTTATCGAAACATTCAAAAACGATATTCAACGTTTCTTCAAATAAAGGTTTTGTTGTTGTATTGACTTGTGTATTGCCCCAACTGATAAATGTCAATGAGAACAAGTCAGACGAACGTGGATATGACAAAGGAGAACTTACCCAACACCGGGATTGTCGTTTACTTCCAATAACCATAAACGAAAGTTTTCATCAAGAAGAAAATCGCAACCAAATAGACCGAAATGACCAGCAATACGTTCTAATTTATGTTTACTAGCACGAATCACTTGACGAATAATCGTATGCATACGATCCTAAATGATATGTTTTTCAATTTCTATCTGTAACATTACGATCTTCTCTTAAAGCAATGAGAGATGTAAAATCGTAATAAAATTACCTGCATGACTGTTAATACCCAATCTTCGCACAATTGTGGATGGAATGGTCGGAAACACTTGTTGAAATATTGACTGAAATCATATGAAATACAAACGAAATATTCAATCGATTTTCAATACTTTAATTGCTGCATCGTCATTCCTGTGTCTTCTTGTGAACTTGCATATCGATAATGATGTTCTTGTACTGACTACAATCACAGTACTTGTTCTTTCTTTCCCATTATCACTCTCAAATATCGACTTACTAAGTTAGTTAGATGTGTTGCACGGTCGAAATCATATTCTCGATAAAGATTCAGCGATAGACGAATGACTGATGCATGATGATTATAAAAAACAATCAACGGTTTCGTCCAAGCAACGAGCCAATGTACTCGCATGTCAAATTTGCGACCTTTGATGAGAAGTGGTCGGGAAATGTATCTAAACGGCAAATTCCATTGAAATATTCGTATGAAAACTTCGAATGATGTTCTTGTACTCTTGCATAATATGTCCGGGAAATTTCGGCTGAATCTGTGTCCGTTTACCAATACTCGATTGCACTTTGAGTACAGTTTCCAGATTCGAATTGCCGGAAAGGACATGAATACCTTGTCCGGCATAACTGTACCGTGGTTTACATATCCAAGTTCGGTTTTGTTCTAAAAGAAACATGTTCAACGTCGTGTACTGATATTTTGATTAGGTGTAAGATAGAATAAGCGAGGTAATTAAACACTTCTGGACAGTCGTTCTCAATATCCAAAATAGTTCGCGTGCGTAATAGAAATGTTTTTCAATCTTGATCTTCTAAGATATTCTGTAAACTTTGTAGTTATATGCAGCATCAGAATTGGAAAACTAATCTTCTAGGAATCACTCAGACGATCTTTTACACTTACTTTTATGGATTCGTAGAAACTCATTAAGCTCATTCGCATCATCGAGCACAAATGTCATTGGAAGAAACGTTTGAACATGATTTCCGACAGCATTTCGTCTACTATTGATATAATCTCGTATTGTATACCATAAATTAACTTTATCCGCAAATGTAATTTGACCAGGTATGTTATTAATCAATTGTTTGCCTTCTTGAAACTTTTTCCAATCTACCTGATGTTCGAGACACCATTTAATCGTGAAATTCGTCACAGCATGATCTCTTGTTCGTGACCAGCCACGTTCCTCAAGTATTTCTGTAATACTAAAACAATGAAAGCAAATTATGTCTTGAACATGTTTCTTCCTTTCAACTTACACTTGAGCTTTGTCGGTACACGCGAAAAAGACCAAACTAGCTCCTGATTTTCGTCGTAAGAATTCACCTAATGGAGTGCTTTTTGAACGGGCGACCTTCTCTTGATGTTGTTGTTCTTGTTCTTTTGGAGGATCTTTCTTTTGGCCACTTACACTTCCATTCCCCATTATTGAAAGAATCGCTTGTTCGTTTTCTCCTCGTGTCTATTCAAAAACTCTGAACATTAATTGTTGCTAGTAGAAACATGTTTGAAAACAATTCCATTTGTCGCAATCGACGATGTGTTTTTTTTCTCTTTCTTTAGTTAAATAAAACGGTAACTAACTGTGTGTTGTTTTGAGAACAAGAGAGTTCGTATTGACAATCTGCAGATGTTGGCAGAGGAAGAAACAAGATGAATGGAAGGCATTTTGACTTGATTTTTTTTCTTTGAAGAAAAGTTCGAGAAAGAGAAAAAAATAAAGTGAAATCAGGCAAAATACTTTTATATGATGTAGGTTGGTTTTGTTTATACATTGAATAATGAAAAATATCAAATAGAATAAAGATGAATGTTTTTCTTGCAAATAGTCATAACTAATTTCAATATTTTAATTCAAAAGTATTCTTTGTTATTCGAAAAACAATCCTTGAGTGGATTTTCATCGTCAAGCTTGTTATTAATCTCCGTTTTACTTCGCTGTCGGAAGTTAGAAGAAGTACTGACTGTTCAATGCTTGCGGAAAGTCATACGAATCACATAGTTCATTAAACTCGTTTTACACGTCATTTGATACGTTTACAGACAGCTGGTTGTATGATATATGATATCTTGCAATGTCGAGGTTCAAGTTTAACGCTATTTTCCTTGAAATTTTCTTCGGCAAACATTGTCGTGACTAAAAGTTATTTAAAAAATGCCAACACTTTTTTTTAATTGAGAATTAACTACTAGTCTCTAATGAGAAAAGATCAATTCAAGGTATGGAAATAGACAACGCTGAAGAGCATTCATGCATATGTTTTAATCTGTTAGATTTGAAAAATCGAATTGATGATGTATTTGTCAAAAAGATAGAATTTCGATTGTGTAATGGAAAAGAAAAAAAAAGTCTCTTTGTCGAAATCAGATACATATCGTATTCTGATTATTCTCATTGGCTGAGAGAAAATTCAATTAATCTTTTCTAAAAATATCCATATTGATGCCATCATATTTAATTAATTGAGCTGCAAATAATAATTATACAAATATAGCTCACTAAAGTTTTTTTATATATCGACTATTACGAACAAGTCAGGTGCGTATGCACTATAATTCAAGGTTAAAATCATCATGATTACTCCAATTGAATTAGGATCACAATGATTGATGCACTTGTCAAGCTTTAAGCCATCAGGAAAGTCTTTTTCTCCAATAAATATCTGCGAAATTTTGTTTATAACGCAAAATAGTTCGCAGTAAGTATATCTGATTCTTCTTATGAACTTGCATATCAATAATGCTGCTCTTGTACTGATTGCACTCAAAAGTTCTAGTTCCTTTTTCTATTATAGTTCTCAAATCTCGACTTACTTTGATACGTAGTCGTGTTACATGAGCGAAATTATATTTCAGTGATAGACAGACGAATGATGTATAGTAATTAGGAAAAAGTATCAATAGTTTGATATTCAAGCAGCATACCAATGCAGTCGCATGTCGAATTAGCGACTTTGGGCGAGAAGTGATCTTGAAGTACGTTTATCTGAGTGAAAATGTAATTGTGTAGAAGAAGGTTGTTGCCATAGAACACAAGATTCTATGAAGAAATAATTAAATATCTTCTTATAATTCAGTCGGTTCGCTGGAGAGTTGTCGTCTTTCACAGAAGTTTTCATAAATATATCTGTTTCGTATGATAAGAAAGAACTCTTCACTTCCGAATTTATTTCTAATTAGCTTTCTTCAAAGAAATCCAAACCCTGGAAGAAAATCTTCTTACTTTGAAAGGAAATACCAATTTAAATAATCCATTAGCATCTTCCGATAGAGACATTGTCTAGAGAAGTTTCTAAATTTGACTATCATTCACATATATATATATCATTTACTATTCATATAATCTCCTATCTTATATTGTAAGTCAACTTAATCAGGTTCGTTAACAATGAATTTCTTTTGTAGAAACTTTTCCCATAATTTCACCTTAAAGATAATCACAACGTCATGCTTTATTTATAATCCCCCACACTATTCAAGTGTCCCAATAATTAAACGGAATGAAGCGCAAGAAGAGTACGAAGTACGCTTTTATTTTTCTTTCAACACACATTTGCGCTTTGGGAGTACAGAAAAATGCACTAAGTTAATTTCTATTTGTCTCCCTCTGTCGAAAATTCTAAGATTGAGTATTTTCCATGCGTGAAATAGTACCCGATTGTTTATTGCTCGATAGCGTGTTGATATTTAAAATTTTTCTCGGCATTACAAATACATAGTCAATTATTGAATACCAATAATCGTTATTTTCACTTCATAGTATTCATCTTCAAGGTTATTACTTAATGAAATCAATCATGAGACGAGACTAAACAACTTTTTGTCAAAGAAACTTTAAGAGATAAAATTCTAAATGTATCTTGTAGAGCGATCCTTCTATACGACCGAATGAACAGATCCCAAAGATTGATTAAGGATGAAATGTTTGATAGAAATAAGCAGAAATCTTTGCTCGATAAGAAAAATGCAATCGCGCAGTAATAATTAATAATTAATTCAAATACTTTATTCACTAGTAGTTCTAAATGTTTCATGAAGATGATTTTTCGGAGAATAGCTCGTTCGTCACGACAAAGAATCTTTCTTTTCATTAACACAAAGATTTTGAACTGATTTTAACATTTCTTTCTGAGTGACTTTGTAAAACATTCATGACTCGTTTGTTTTTAGAGAATTATTTACTCGGTATGTACGTTGATGTTTATTTCAATCGCCTTTCGAACGATATTTTCATTATCGACCAAAAATTATATGAACCAAGATCCATGATGAAACGGAAAGCATCTCGGTGGGATATTTGTATTGTAAAAATAATTCATTACGCTTCTTTGCCTGTTACTGGATACTTGTTTACGACATTTACAGATGAAATTTGATTCTTTCGGAGATTTTCATATCAATGATTTCAGAACTATAATGATAGAAGAGAAAAAACTTCATTATGTAAAACGATATAACCTTCGATGTCATCGATCTTCTTTGTGACCTTTTTTGTCAAACTTTTGGATTGACTAGGCGGTTTTTCTGTTCATAATTGGGGGATAAATATTGGTTACATATGACATGATTTTACTAATTACATGTTCCTATAGCAGTTTTCGTTTTACAACAGAAATTTAGCTAGTTTTACAAATATATTTCATATTTCCACATCCTAATAAGTGAACAAATTGAGTAGATCATAGAATTATCACCTTCCCTCTCATTCCGGCTGTTTAAAGTCACGAAATTTGCCGAAGGATAAAATGATTCGCGAGATTCCTCGATTGCGCTGAGAAAACAAAGAGTAAATGTACTCTGAATGACAAACAAGATTAGCTAGTATAATCAAAGTTGCGTGTTAGTATGTACATATCACAGTGGTGACTACTCAGATATAGTTACTGATATAATCGATGCGCTCCGACATTTATCTTTCAGTACAAGCGCGAAAAGATGCGATCGAGGTAAAGATTTTTTCTATACTCATCAACGTGTAGTTCCCGAACGAATAGACATTTGTCAAACATCTTGATCACGGTTGTCATGTGACAGTCGTGAATTATTCAGTTTCCGTTTACTGTCACAAATATGCTTTACCGTTCAACCTGTCGAAGTTTACATGGAAAGATGTTTGAAGTCGAGATAATCATATGTACCGGCAGATATGCAACAGGAAAGACGAACCGTATGTTGTAATTTTCAAAATCATTTTCTCCGCTAAGCATGTAAACTATCATTCTAATTTTCTCTCTACTTTATCAAGTATCACGCATTCGTTTCTCAAAGGAGAAAAAAAAATATCTCTTCATCAAGACCGGTAATAAGAACGTCATGTTTTATTCATCAATAATACTTTCATTATTTTATAGCAGAAAATCTCGAAGGTTTATGGACTTGCTTTCAGATCAAATGACTTTTTTCTCGAAACAAAACACGCTGACTGTTCGTCAGGTGAATTAATATCGTGACCCAGCGGATTCCGTGTATTCATAACTTTTCTCAACTACATTCACACCGTTCACTTTGGCACAAGTGTGATTAAGACAAAAAGAAACAAGTTCCTTTTATCTTTGACGGTTGTATCAGCATGGCATCAACAAACGAATTATCAACTGAACCACTCGACAATTCAACTATATGTGCAGGTTAGGGAAGATTGTATGTTTTTCCGAAATTTTCATCTGAGTGTTTTCTAGATCAACTTATCAGTGAATTGCTGGATGGTCGTTTAGGTCGCATTATCTGGGGAATTCTTCAAATAGTTCTTACAGTTGTTGGAGATATAGGTGAGAACGCATTAATCCAAGATACTCATATTTAGATACAATTATTGCGTGACTTTTCAGGAAATATTCTAACGTTAGTAGTACTTAATCAGCGTTTGATGCGGAAAGGTGGTGTTAATAATCTACTTCAAGGTCTTGCAATCAGTGACATCGTTGCGCCAACTTTTGCGTGCATTCCACATCTATTCTATTATTATGGACCTCGAGAAAACGATAGTTTGATAAATTTCATTAATTTATATGTAACACCTATTGCCACAGGTGCAACCTTTTGTTCAAATTGGATTGGTAGGAAATGTGTACTAAGTTAAATGATAGAAATCGTTGCCTTTTTTCCTTTACAGTTGTGACCATAACAAGTTTTCGTTTGCTGATTGTGCTCAAACCGCTCTATTCACAGGTTTATTGTTCCATTCGGAATGAAAAGAAAGTGTTAATTATTATTGGTCTATGTAGCATTCTTTCCATAACACCTTATTATTATTATCATCGAAATCCGAATGCGATGAATGTCCTACGCGTCATATCAGCTGTTCTCTCGTTGTTATGTCCGTGGGTTGTATGTGTAATTCTCTGGATCTTACTTCTTCGTATTGTCAATCGAGAGATTGGTACGAAGAGATCGAATGAGTTTACTCTGCATCCAAATATTACTGCTCAACGTTTGAAATCGAAATCACGAATAACTAAGATGATCTTAATCATCTGTTTTTTTAATATCATTTGCCAATTACCGGTCTTGATCTTAACTGTATTGAGTCTTTTGAACGAAAATCCATGTACTTATGCACCAGCTATCACCTTCGTTTGTCTACTTTTTCTATCTAATATCTTATTAATCGTCAATCACTCAATCAATTTCATCATTTATTCCTTGACAAATACTAAATTTCGTTGTGCATTGAAAATCATGTGCCGACGTCTCTGTTCATTCTATCATCACCGACTTATTCACCAACAAATCACTATTTCCACGAAATACGACAAAGTGCAGAACAAAATCGAACGTTATCCTCGATCGAACTCAAACAGTTTCGAAAATCCACGTTTGATTATATCCATGCGATCGATCAATTCCACAAAATATAATATGAACAAAACGACACATTTGCTTGTATAGATTTGCTGTTTAAATTTCTTAATAAATTATTCATAGAAAGAATATATATCACGGACGTTTCGCGGGCGGATGCATGATATAAGAGTTTCACTGTTCGACATATGCAGCGATTCCGCTTTGAATTCTCATTGGTGCAAAAAAACAGACCAATAAGAATCGATCTAAACAGAGGCTTCTATTATGTTTATAATCATTCATCAATGGCTGATCTAAACAAACGAAAATTTTCTTGTCGACGAACTTGTATATTATTGTAAACATCAATCAAAATGACCGATGATCTTATTCAAACAGTTATACGAGATCCTAGCCAGCGTTTTCTTCTCGATCTCGAATTTGTTCAAACACTAGCCAATCCTCAATATTTGAATTTTCTCGCTCAACGAAATTATTTTAAAAATCCAGCCTTTATCAATTATTTAAAATATTTACTCTACTTTAAAGAAGAAAATTACATCAAATATGTTCGTTACCCTCAAGCACTTTACTTTCTGGATCTTCTACAACGTGAACAATTCCGACAAGAACTAGCCAATGCTAGCTATTGTCGATATATCGAAGATCAACAGGTGCACGCTTGGCAGCGACTTCAACGTCGAAAAAATCAACTTTTGACCAACCCAACGGGCATTTCCACATCAACTGCAAATAATAACAACAATAACGAAACAGAAACACCCAATACCCAAAATAGTACGAATGCAATCTCAACCTCCACAACAGCAAATAATCGTTAAGATATGAAACTTCAATTTTTCTTTTTCATCTTTTGTTATTTGAATGAGATATTCAGAATAAAGGAAATACCTTTCTGATCAAATCAACCATTTGCTTTTCTTTATTCTAGATAATCATCATGGATGATAAAAATGCAGCTTCCTCGACAACAAATGCTCTCATCCTACCTAATGTTGTCTATCCTGTTCTCGAACAAATGGATAAATCTGGTTATAAAGATCTACAAAAGGATTTACGTCAACATTTTTATCTACTAGAACAAATTTATCCTGGGTTCTCTCACTGTTTTCTTCAATCGTTCCTGCGTCAGCAAAATCCACCGTGTACGTTGAATCTCAATGAATTAACACTCAAATTAGAAAAATATTGTGATAAATCGTCCTATTTGATCTCGAACTTACGCAGCGAAGCAGAATTTCAAGAGTTAAATCTCCGCGCGAAGAATCTCAAACGAATCCTCAGTCGCATTCCCGATGATATCACCGAAAAACGTGAATTTCTCGAAACAATCAAAGAAATCGCCAGTGCTATCAAAAAAACTCTCGACAGTGTTTCTAACACTTATCAATACTTCAAAACATCGGATGGCAGACAAGCTCTCGAGAATGAAAAGAAAGAATTCATCAAATATAGTAAAAATTTTAGTAATACACTCAAAGCTTATTTCCGTGATAATCAACGTGATGATGTTTACATAGCGGCGAACCATTTACTCGTCCAGACCGATTATTTGCTACGTACAATCAAATTCTACTGTGAAACAGATGCATTTGATGAATGTTTGTATCCTCTGATACCTCATCAGCAAACATCGAATCGTCTCACGCCTGCTGTACGTTACAATCACAATGATCATCGACCAATTTCGTCAGCAACGAATCGGCCACATTCATCTTATGAAACGAATTTTACTTGACTGAGATTTCCGTCTTTGTATATATAGTTGTCTTCTAGTTAAACACGTGGGAAATATCTTATGCTAATTGTCTCTTCCAGATACGTATGTACAGTCAAATTTGTTTTATTAAAGAACAAAAAAAAAATCACCAACGATGAATCTCGCCTTTTTTTTTTGTTGTTGTTGACTGATGTCTAGTCAGGAAAAATATAAGAACATGTGCATTGATGTATAGACGTGTAGGCATATGCAGCAGCTCGACTTTATTGATGTATAGAAATCTAAAGAATGAAGAGGAGAAACAGAAAGGCACCCCCGCATTTTCTCTTTTTCTCCTCTTTGAGCAGATGTCAGACTCGTTTTTACACTCGTTCTTCGTCGTCCTCTTTTCAATCGTAAGCAATCCTCGCGATCGAATGAATTAAATCTAATAAACGATCATGTCGACTATCTCTCGATTTCTTTTTCAGCAGTAAACAATCACGCGTTCCGACTATTGAATGACGTCATCATACTCGAACGAGAAGAGTTTTCTCTCATCCGCTTTGATTATGTCATAATCGATGCAAAAAGAAACATTCATGTTGATTTGTATGTTTCAGATTGATAGACAAACAACGATTAAATTCATTCAACGAAAATATGGCACCTTCATCGAATGTAGATAATCGTACCTTTAAACAACGTAAAAATTTCGGTAAGTTTCGTAGTTTTATCAAATGAAATGTCTGAGGCTTGTGGATTTTAGCGACGCGTAAAGAAGAAGTCGCTGGGATTCGCAGCAAATTTCCAAATAGTAAGTCTCTGCATATCTAATCTCGAAAAACAAAGATATTAATCATTCACGCTCAATAGAAATTCCTGTTATTGTCGAACGATACCATAAAGAAAAAGACTTACCTATCCTCGGTATGTAACTTCGATTAATCCGATTACTATTATGTCCTTCTTTACAGACAAAACGAAGTTTCTGGTGCCACAAGAATTGACTATGTCGCAGTTCGTTACAATCATTCGGTAAGACACGGATTTCTCCCAAATTCTCACATAAAAACATGTACCATTAGGAATCGAATGCAGTTGAATGCTAATCAAGCATTTTACTTATTGGTTAACAACAAAAGTATCGCTTCGATGTCGACTTCTATGGCAGAAATTTATCGCGATGACAAAGTAATTTCTCTTGAAAAACTTCAACTGTATCTGAAAAATCTTTTTCAGGATGACGATGGATTTCTCTATATGACATATGCGAGTCAAGAGATGTTCGGAGGAATGTAATCCTCATCAAGCGATCGTGTTTATATATATATACATAAAAATTTTTCCTCATTGTTGTTCGTTTGTCTTCGTAAACATCATTGATTACCTTGCTCATCAGTTTCGAGAGCAACCGGTGAGCAAACGAGAATACCTTTTCCTTACGTGCAATTTTGATTCTGTTTTTTTTTTGACATAATACCAACATACAACTATCTACTTTTGCATATGTATTCGGTCGACATATATATTTTTCTTCGTCTTTTGTTCATTCTATAATTATTGTGCATTTTTATCTTCTCTTTCGCTCTGTGTTGTGTCTTCATGATTCTCTTCTGCTTCTTCTTATTGAGATGTCTTGATCATAAAACATGTTTTATTTTGTATTCTATAACAAAGAATCATAAGAAAAGGAAATATACACACACACATATATATATAAGCAGAAATCTTTCATTTGCTTTGCATGTAGGAAAAATACATGAAGGATTGGGTTTGAATTGTAAATGAAAATGATTTGAAAAGTATTTTGCTGTTTTAGATACATTAAGGGTGAAACAGAATGTTTCACAAGTATAATTCAATTTCGAATAGTTTAACACCCTCCGATCAAGTTTCTGCTTATGCACCACAGGTTCGAGAATATAGATGATAAATTGGAAAATCATATATTTTTTCTGTAGGGATTTGGTACAAAAGAAGCAACAAATAATTTCTTTGTTGCTCCACAACCGAAAGGTCGACAACCCGGTGGATCAGGTCCTCTTTCTGCAGGAGCTTTAGCTGCTCGTGAAATGTCGATCAGTCGTTTCTTTCTGAGTAAAATTGGTCTGGGTGGCTCATCAGCTACTTCTGCAGTCGAAACAATAGCCGATAAAGCTCAGACAGTCGTTGAAAAAGCCCAAACAGTCGCTGCAGCAGCCACAAAAGCCGTTGCAAGTAACGTTAGTAGTCATGGTGCAAGTCATGCTCATGTTGCCAGCAGCAGCAGCAGTAGCCATGCGGCTCAAAGTCATGGTCATGGCCATGATTCTCATGCAGCTCCATGGGAAGGTGTGAATCTTTGGCGTACACCTTACAAAGGTGATACGGATACTATTACACAAGTGAAACGTAGTAAAGGTTCACTTGATAAATACGTCGAAAATCGCACTCGTCGTATTCAACAACTACAATTGTTTGCCTTGGTAAATTACTTTTTGGAAGCTATTCGTAAGCTTTTTTTCGTCATTATTTTAGCGTAATAAAAGTACACCTACTTGGGTTATGATGCCACGAGATAAGGCTCTTTTTGCAGTGCAAGGTCTTATCGTAGGCTATGTTTTGTATCAAGTAGTAACATCTGTGTATCAACATTTGAAAGCCAAAGATCGTATTAAACGTAAGTGAAAAGTTAATTATTTTGTTATTAATTTTTAATCATGTTTTTTAGTCCTCAAATTACTCTACAAGGACAATGTCGATTAATTTATTTGTCGTCGATTTGATTCAACAACCGCCAACACTTCCTTGTCCTGTAAAACGTCTTTATTTCTAGTTTGTTTTTCATTCGCTCCCTTTTAAAATAAACAACATAGACAGAATTTATGAATAAATCTGCTTTATTTATAACAAAAGAAAAATATCAACCTAGGTTATTCCTTTAATTACACAACAAAAGAGAAAAATAGCACAATTTCATGTTTGAACTGTCAGTTTGGATTGTACAACGCTGCACTATTATCCATTAATCTAAAAAGAGCAATGTAGTAATTGACGTGTGAAGTTTTTCAGTTGTGTTACTTCATTAATTGAATTAGAAGATCTTGCTTCATCTTTGGTGTTGATATTCGATCAACAGGCGTTTGACAGATGTTGAACAGAGTTGATTTTTCATCTTGGGAAAGATTTGTGATGTTCAATGTAATCCATTCGCATAGTTTAAGTGTCGCTGAAAGATGTTCAGTCAATTCGGGGCTATCTAAAATCACAAAATGTTCTCTTTTGTATTGCTTGTAAGTTGAAATCCAGAGACGAAATTACTTTGATGGAGAAGATGAATAGCCATCGTTAGAATATTGAAACATACTCGCCAATATGTACTAGAAATGATCTGTCGAGCCCGAGGTGCATCAATTTGTGCCAATAGATGACGAAATAGATCATCACGAGATAGAATTGTCAGTAATTTGAATGATGATTGTCTCATTCGTTGTAATTGATTGTCAATCGATCGTGCAGTTGAATCAGCTAAAAGTTAAATTCAAAAGCAGCCATTTCACAACAACCGTCGTTTGTCCTACTTGATGCATCGAGAGTTGAAACCAATTTGAGAACTGTATCAATTTCATGCAGACTGCATAGATTATCCAGTGGACTCGCTAAGATCTTCAGGATTAATTCGGTTAATTGATTTACGAATTGATAGACCTAAAGATCATCGATGTACAAAAGAGACATTTCGACATGTTGTACCTTTTCTTTGGTTCGAACGCTTGCCAATAATGCAGCAACTGTTAGATCAACAACAAACGCAAGTGTTCGGCCAAACATCCATCGACCATTTCGACTTGATTCATTCTCACTAGAAACAAATAATTCGTTCGATTCTCAAGAAGAAATATCAAACAAATTCTCACTGTAATAAACGTCGAGTGTCGACATGAAAGTCCATCAATGGTAACAGCGCGTCAAATACATTACTTGAAACAAGTAATTGAGCACCATTATTAACAGATGATATACGTAACAATAAAGCCTAAACAACATTCTTTCAAAGTATTCTTTTCTGATTTCAATTTATCTGTTTTTACCATATAGGACGAAAACGAATGCCAGGTTTTGAGGTCAACTGTGCCAGATGTTTGTAACGATTGTACAACCGCGCAGGTCAATTGCCGTAATTCCCCTTCGAGTGAACGTAGAAATGTTTGATGGAAATTACTCAAGATGATATCGGATGTATCCACTGTGATCAAAGAAGTCAAAAGACTCGATGCAGATGACTAAAAACAAAAACGTCAATAGAGACAGGACGACATTCAATGAACTGTGGATCAATTCAGAACCACCCATCGGAAAACCGAACATTCGTCATAACTTACTCTCACTGCAGGCACACTTGAAAGTGCATCATCGTAAACGATCGTTAATAGATTATGATTTTGTTGAATTACATTACTAAATATTCTTCTCAAATCGTCTTGGTGTTGTTGTTCAACGCTTTCGATGATCTCAATCGATTGCACAATTGCACCGTAGATTGCTGCTCGACCTTTGGCTGTAAATCGCGGTTGAATGAAATCGAATAAATTCCTTAAAATTCCAATAAGATTCGTTCGATATTCTCCCGTGATATTCAATTGTTTAATTGCGATAATTGCAGTCAAGAATACATTCATCAAATGGCTAATTTGTTGATCATCAAGCACTACGTTTGTTTGATGGAAAATCTTCTCATATAAATAATTGCACAAATCGAATGAAAATGTTCTGATTGGACTCAAATTCAAATAGAGAATCAGTTCAACCAATGAACGCCATGCATCGATATGGGAATTTCTCCAGTAGAAATCAATCTGTTCGTTATTCAACTGATTCGCATAGGCGAGAATGATTTTGCAATCGTGAATGTAATTATCCTGGGCGTTGTTCATTTCGTTGAGTAATTCATTGTTATTTGATTGAGTGGTTTGTTGTATGGTCTTGATTTCGTTGGAAAGAAACTTCTGTAAAGACTCCAAACGATACAATTTCAAGTTTGCTCGCTCGTTGTATTGACAAGCTTGAAGAATGTGGTTGACTTTGGTCAAATCAATGTTCGGTGTTTTCAATTGTGATAGGAACTGATCGTCGGATTTGTGATAGGGAAGGTTCAATAGCGATGATGTTAGACGATTGAGTTTGATATCGATTAGTTCGAAAAGAAAATTCATTGTTGTGTCGATGAGATTTTTCGAAATAATGGTCGGATGATTGATTAAATGAAATAATTCAAGTGCTGTTAAGCGTAACAAGTAAGTTTCGATGGAATGTTTGAAAATGTTTGATGTAGACGAGGTTTTCAGTGGAAAATACGTCTGAATTTGCTTTGGAATAAAAACATGTTCATGAAGAATATCAAATGTAATTTTGATCACGTTCGGCGAATGATTTGTGCAGAGAAGATAGAGAACTTCATAACATAACGGTAAAGTCTTTTGGTAAGAATCAATTTTCATCGGAGATAAATCATCGAAGAAGTTCAAAATCGCTTGAAGACAATTATTCACTCGACAACTTTTACCAGTTAATGTAAAATACGAATCAATCGGTTCGAGTTGCTGTTGACGAGTAAACCCGCAAAGAAAATGACCGATATTTGATTGAACAGATTTAGTCAGCAACCAAAGTACTGTATAGCGCATTCGACCTTTCAAATCTACACAAGAAAATTGAATTTTTGTCTTCGTAATGCCAAATATTACTAACCGACTTCATCTGTATCGGTATGTTCATCACAATCTGGTTCTGTGAACTCCAAACACCGCACTAAACCGTTTCGTAGTAAAGCTTTGTCTTTCTAAAGCGAACAAATCGATGAAAATCTGGATTGGAATCAATCATCTCACGTGTTCTTTAGGTAGAAGTCGAAGGAATGGCTTTTGTAGTTTATCTTCGCTCAATGTTTTCGCAATGATTGACAACGATTGATTGGATAGCTTTGGGAAATAATCAATCATGTCAATTAATCTAAAATTGAGTCGATATGGATCGAATGTTCGACTGAACAAGAATGTCTTACTTCATTATGTTAGGAAATAGGTCTTTGGTACTCGCGTCCGTTACGATTCGTTCGATGGGTGTTTGACAAAATGTAAATGCTGATGATTTGTCCGTTTGTAAGATCTGTTGACTGTTGATTGTTACTGATTCGAGTAATTCCATGATTAAGATCAAACTTCGAGATAATTCGTGTTCACCTGTGAAAGACAAGTTATGGAAATTTCCATTGAGAAGACAATTTTGCCTACCGATAAATGAAGTATACTCCGCTAATTTGTCACATCCATCGGTGATCAATGCAGTTAGCTAAAGATGCAATAGGCGAGGATTTTTACAGCAAAAAGAATGTAGTACGAACTAAGTTATAGAGAATACCACCACGGAGTAAATCATTGACTAATAATTCACCAGCGGAAACTATGTTTGTTTCATTCGTATCGTTTTCGACGGCTTGGCTGGAAAAATAGTTGGTTACGATATCGTTTAAGATGATAAGAACGTTCTCAACGATTTGCCACTAAAAAAAACGAAGAGAAATGATTATTTACAGTGAATTTGACTTACTTTTTCTTGGATGGATTTGAATACTCTTGTCGGTATCTTTAGAAGAACATGATTGACTAAGAAAACAACACAAAAGCCCAATGTTCGCATATCCAAATTAGTTTTCAGTTGTTGTGTTATAATTGGCTGAAGAAATTTCAAGCAAGCTCTCAAGAACGTGTATTTCTGCGATGGAACTTCGAATTCTTCGATTTCATAAGCCAATGCCGGCATATCCGAATTCTCGATTGGTGCAAATAACTAAACAGCGAAAAGGTTCGTTTTCTTGGCAAAGAAATTGTTCTCTTACATCGATTTCTCCGATGATTTTCCAGAAATGTACGGCAATTTCTGGTGTTTTTGTAAATGCCGATAGAGTATTGAACAAAGCCGCTTTTAAATCCAATGAAATCCGACAAGACAACAAACCAAAGAACGCGCCCGTGATTTGCCATTGTGGATGTTCGAAAAAACCAATACGAGACACTTCATCCTATGATAAACAATTCAAATCTCTGTCCGGAATCTCAATGACTAAATCTACCTGCGATGCAATGACTTCAATCAGATTGAGAACAGCGATTAAAGCTGTAACTTCTTTTGGCGCGATCGTTTTCATTGCAGATGCAGATGGCGTTCCAGTAAACGACGTTTGAGTTTGTTGATTTAATAGCGTATCCGGGCGGTATGTATTTCTATAGAGAAGAAACGCTTGAAAGATCCGATTCCAACATGTTGGTCCACCAGTATCTGAAAACAACCGAAAAGATAAACGACGGAGACTTAATCAAAGTTTTACCTTTAGCAAATCGAAGTAATTCAAAGCAAGCATGTGCACTGGATTGTGTTGAAGATATACCCGCTAACATATGAATGTAGTGACAATAAAGATAAGCCGAGAGTGTGCCACCGGCTGATTCGACGAAATTGGCCAACGCTACCTAATGATGAAAATAGAATGAATAATCTTTTGGGTTTTATTTGAATGAGTCGAACTTGTTGCTGAGTTGGTGATTGCATCTTGCGATGTCCTGCTAAAGCATCAGCAGCGATCCAAAACTCTTCACTTAAATGTAAGTCCATGTGATCATTTGCATAGAACATTGAGAGCTGAAAAAGATCGGTGAAGTTCTACGATAAATTTTTGGATAAAGGCAAAACGAACCAATTCAAGAAAGTATTCATAATCTCTTTGTAAATTATCCGGTAAAGGTTTTCTTGCACGCTCGCAATCTTCGATCATTCGTGCTGTATCTTCTGCTTGAACACGTAATTCTTTCAATTTGAATGGTAAATAGTAGATAAAATCCACAAAAAGTGTGTGAAAACGTCGAATTAAAAATTCCTATATAAACATTTACAATAAAAAGTCATTTTTCCGATTTCTACCATGTCGAACTTACTTCTTGTTCGAATAAAGAACTTTTTATCACTGTTTCCGATAAAAATGCGAATACATGCGCTTCAACTGCTGTATCAGCTAATGTTTCAATATCTTCCGAATAGATATGTCCTAGAGTACATGTTAATCATATTGTTTTCTTGAAAATTCTTCGTACCATCAGGTAAAATATGCGATCGTGCTCGTAGAATAATCGCCCAAGCTAATTGACAGACCGCTTTCACTTCCGGTACGACCCAGCGTTCATCATTCGATAGAAGATCACGAATTGTTGTTAACAATGCCGGATCAATGGATGATGTCGATGTCGTTGTGTTATTATCCAATGAAATTAATGGTTGATCTAAATAACAAAGAATCTCCTTCAAATAAAAACGAAAATTTACTGTTCACCTTCTTGTAAACTGAATTGTTGATGTTTCGTTGTTAAAATTGACGACGAACCTGTCATTGCATCGTTGGGAATCGTTAGTGCTAATGTGATTCCATATAGAAACGCGCCAAGGATATAAAGTGTTGATTCATCAATAATTCCATCGTCTTGAACTGCCGAATGCTTCGAAAGATATGTAAGAATGGCAAGAATATGTGCTTGAGTTAGCCGTGTTTGACAACTGTAGAGAAAGACGGACTTGGCTTGGAATGATCGGATGTGTTTAATAGAATCCTGAACACGTCGACGATGTTTAACATTGCCTAAGCCAGCTTTTGAATACAATTTTTGCTCTTCGTTTCGGATTTGAAAGGAGATCAATTGTTTAATGATGTTTTCGATTAAACGCTGTTCGATGAGATCAGTGATAAAAGTCGAACAGAACTCGATTGATTTCGCATTTTTTAGTAAAGATTGAAATGTTCGACCGCTCAAACATGCCATTAGATAAGCTAAACATGCGGCGAGCCGTTCTTTTGATTCATAGTACAGCTGAACAGCTAATAGACCACGTGTACAATCGGGAAAATTCGATTGTAATGATTCGCCTTCGACTAATAATAAGAGAGAATCGTATTCGTTCAATTGGAATAGATCACTGATAGCGAAACATTCATCAATGAATAGACGTGGTAGTTTTCGACGTTCAGGTAACGAATCGAATTGAATACCATCAAGATCTGCACGAGAAAGAATCGCGCGTTGAGCGGCATTTTGTGGCTGAAGAAAATCAAGTCGAACATTCTTTCAAAAAGCAGATTTGTCCTACCGGATTGGAAGTAATATTCAATAAATTGCTTTTATTTGATGTGATGATTTGGATTTTCTCGGTATCGATTGATTCATTGGATGTTAATAATGAGCGGAGTGTATCGAAAAGGGTATTGAATGTATCAAACATGATCTCCAGATAGGAGATGTCTTCTTTTGTTTTCTTGGTTGGGAAAGAAAATTTCAACCGACGAGTTTGTGTTTAGAAATTTAACCAGTCACAGAACGGTGAATAGTCTACCAATGAAAACGACTTTATTCGTAAAAATTAGTCCGTTGGTGACTGTACTGACCATCTCGTGTTACTTTTATTGAAACAAAAATCAGAGCTAAACCGGGAAGAAAAGCTTCGAATGTTCAACTATCGTATCTGGCGACATCTATGTGGCATGTCAATAAAAGAACGGAGGAGTTGCATAGCGAGATGGGTTGCCTATGAAATGAAACAACTTCTTTATGAACATTATTCACCTCGTCGTGATATTAGTTAATAAATATGGTAGGTGTGACGTTTGTGTTGTCGAAAAACAATTTGTTTTTGTTATCTAATTGAATAGATTCTCTCACGAACGAAAGCTGCAGATGATCCGAAGAAGAAGGGAGCCGTCTCGAGTCAAGAGAAAAATAAGAAGAAAGTTGGTGAAGTCGAAGATTTCATCGCTGAAAGGGATTATACAGGTGCAATTGCCTATCTTGAAGTATTTATTACAATAATCAAACTTTCGTATTTCGAATCCTTTCTTTTCTCGTCCAGTTTTGTCGACAAAGTGAAAAAGAAGTCAAAGATCTTGACCTCTGGTTAGGATTTGCCGCATTTCACGCTGGAGATTACCAGCGAGCAAGTGAGGTAAGTCACTACTGAAATCTGTTCGTCACCAGAATGAACTGGAAAACGTTCTCTCCGATTTAGGAATATGAAAATATTCTCAAACGTGATCCACGAAATGGTCAAGTGTACATATATCTCGCTTGTTGTTACTTCATGTTAGGCAAATACGATGAAGCAGAGCAAACTGCATTGAAAGGTTTTAAATATGAAAGATTGTGGTTTTTTCCTATAATTTTGTTTCCAGGTACAAAATCTCCGCTGCAAACTCGTGTTTTATTTCATGTTGCACATAAACAAAACAATGAAGAGAAACTCATGGGTTTACATCGGCAATTACAAGACGTGGTCGAAGATCAGATGTGCTTGGCTAGCATGCATTATATGAGAAGTCACTTTCAAGAAGCATTAGATATATACAAACGTTACTTAGTTGAAAACCGGTAAGCTCGTTGTTGATTCAACAAGAAAATCTGCAAATTGTGCTGCAAATTTTGTAGGGAAAATTTAGCATTAAATGTCTATGTTGCACTTTGTTATTATAAACTTGATTACTATGATATTTCGCAAGAGATTCTCGATGTTTATCTAAAAAAGAATCCGGAATCGGCAACGGCAACTAATCTTCAAGCGTGTAATCAATATCGGCTGTATAACGGAAAAGCTGCCGAGGTAAATGTTAGGAATGCGGAAAATCGATCGACGGAGAGTTTATTTAGAATGATTTGAAAGTCTTTTTGGATAAAATGAGTACGTCATTCAACTATGCGAAGGAGTTATTTCGTCATAATATGGTAAATCTATTAGTTTTCATCGAAATCAACATTATGTCGCTTTTCGAAGGTTGTTTTCCAAAATGGTGAAGGCGCACTTCAAATTCTTCCATCATTGGTCGATGTTATACCCGAAGCTCGTCTCAATTTGGTCATTTATTATCTGAAAGAAGGTTAGCACTCATCGTCAGCGTCTGGATAGCTTTATATTCTAAATTATAGATGATCTTGATCATGCGTATGATTTAATGAAAGACGTTGAACCTTTACAACCAGCGGAATACATTCTCAAAGGTGTTGTCAACGCTACATATGGTCAGGAACACAACTCAGTACGAAGAGAAAAAGTCGTTTTTTTGTTCAAAATGATTTCGTTTTCGATTGTAGCGTGATCACATTAAAACAGCGCAATCGTATTTTCAATTAGTAGGTGGTTCAGCAAGTGAATGCGGTAAGTAATTTCTTCTGAAGAAGGACAAACATCAGATTTAGTAAAAGATAATGATTAGTTATCGAGATGTACCAAATGTATTTCAGTGATGGATAAAAATAAAACTATATTTATGTTCTATTTAGATACAATTCCAGGCAGACAGAGTATGGCATCATGTTATTTTCTTCATAAGCGTTTCGACGATGTAATTGTGTATCTCAGTTCGATAAAAGTGTGTGATTTTTGCCGGCCTGAAGAGAAAATTCTGCTAGTTTTGCTTTTTAGACTTATTTCTATAATGATGATGCATTTAACTTTAACTATGCCCAAGCAAAAGCCCATGAAGAGAAATGGAAAGAAGCCGAAGAAGTACAATTGATCTTTTCGAACGAAATTCTCCCTAAAATCAATTTGTCTTGTGTTTTAGGCGTTTTTACTCATTCAAAGTGAAAAATTGAAAAACGATTATGTGTATTTAAGTTGGTTAGCACGATGCTATATATACAATAGCAAACCGCGTCTTGCCTGGGAACTTTATCTCAAACTTGAACATTCTACTGAATCATTTTCATTACTTCAACTAATCGCAAATGATTGCTACAAAGTACGATGAAATTTCCCTTAGAAAATCCGTCTATTTACAAAATACGTATTAATTTAGCGCGGACATTTCTTCTATGCTGCACGTGGATTCGATATTCTTGAACGTATGGATCCAAATCCGGAGTTTTGGGAAGGTAAACAAGGCGCGTGTGCCGGAGCATTTCAACAAATCGTTGCCGGTCATGAACCTCGGTAAATGAAAAGACTCAATCCACTTTTCGAACTACATCTTTTCGTTGTAGCGATACACTTCGAGATATACTCTCCTTATTACGAAACACAAATCATCCTCAAGGTAAAAACGTGTTGATTACTGTATGAAAAAACAAAAGTCGTTTGTTTAGGAGATCATATGATTAAAATAATGCGATCATGGGCACGAACTAATAACATTCCTGTTTGAAAACGAACTGTTGTTACTTTATGGATTTTTTTTTATTATTACAGGCAAGACGTAAGGAGAAAAAATAAATATCAAGGGTTGAGAGAAAAAGAAAACATACAAATTAAGAAACTAAACAATCGGGCGTGCCAGATGAATGCTTTTCATTCGATGCGGTTCCCTTTTTTTTCATAGATGTTCGTCGGATGAGACTTCGACTTCGTCCAAGACCTTTCTCTGATTTATCATCGAATTCTTTCTTCTTCAGACGTTCGCTGACTTTTCGTCGTAGGATTGGACTCAGTTGTCTTGCAGCGGATAATTGTACGAGACTAAGTAGTTTGAGAAAGACATCGATAACTGACGCACGATCAAGTGCAGTACATTCAGCAAAACGACAGTGTAACGGGCCGAGCTCATTGAGCATTGCTCGAACTTGCTGTTCTTCGACTTCTCGAACAACAGTACGATCAGTTTTATTTCCAACAACAACGATTGGAATTTCAGCATAGTTTGTTCGTTGTTCTTTGATCTGTTCGATAATTCGACGAATTTCTTCGAACGACGCCAAACTGTCAACACCTACGAGAAACGAAACGTTTCGGCAAAATCAAAGATTGAATCGACTTACTATAAACAAGAATAAACGCATGCGATGTTGCAATTGATAATCGACGCATCGCAGGAAACTCCATATTACCTAATTGAAAGATCGAAAGACTTTGTTTTATCACGATTTAATGTTCCAATCTCTTACCAGCTGTGTCTAAGATGTCAACTTTGATATTTTTATCATCAATTGTAAACTCTCGATAGTGCAAATCTTCGACGGTTTCTTTGTATGTATCCAGAAACTTTCCATTTAGAAACATATGAATAATTGACGATTTTCCTGTCCGACTTGCTCCAAGAAGTACAAGACGATAGCGTGTGTCTTGATCGGCCATACTGAGTGGCACTGGTCGTGGATTACTTGCCAATGATGTTGAAGAATTCGATTTCTAAATAAAGAAAAACAGAGCGGTAAGTTTGCCTTGAATTTTTCTCTATATTCTATTGATCGACACTCGACACATACTAAGACCCAAAAATCTGAATGGCGGAAATGCAAGAGAATGACGAGGAAAAAGTAAGTTACATAGTAGAAAAAAAAAGTAGTGTCAATAATACACTACATATGTTTCCTTTGCGATGCGATTGATTGATTGTTATGGGGAGAAACAATTGAAATATTGACAATGTAAATTCAACTAAAAACCTTATCTTTACGAAGGGAATTCACATTCAAGTTGTCGAATTCAACATGCGGTATTTATATTAGAATTGGAAGATAAGGTAAGATGACAAAGAAGAAAAGAAATGTTGCATTTGATGGTTTTATATGTTCCATGCATACAAAAGAAGGAAAATGTGAATGCTTTTGTGTTTTTATGTAGTAGACAGGCACACATACATCGGTTAAGGATGATGATGAAGTGTAAGAGTTTCGTGTTTTTCTTTCTTGAAAGCATCCGAAGAGAAATATAGCCTACCTCATGATCTCGTATGTTCATTGTCGATTTGTGTAATAATAGTAGAAATGATAAAGTTTATTTGGAATATCTATAGGTAGAACGCGAATAAGTCGGATAATGGTAGGTTTTTCTTCCTATTCTTGATGGGAATCAACGTTCTAAGCTTGCAGAGAGGAATCAATGAATGAGAAGAGAAGAGAAAGCAATAATAATTGATATCAAGAGAAGATGAGTGAATGATAACATAAGAAAATAGAAGAAAGCACGGCGAGAATTTCGATGATTACTGGTGATGTTAATGCACAATGTACGATGAATTGAATTAAATGATGTTGACGATAAAATCGCTCGAGACTTCCAGTTTCTGTCTATACACACCGGTGTGTGAAAGTAAAGCACAGCAACCGAGAAATTTACATACTCCTGACTGCCTTCGGCTTTTTATAGAGAGAGGGGAAAAGGATATGGATCGCCTGACGGACGATGCGCACGACAAGACTCAGTAAGACTTAGAAGAAAACTGAAGTAGAAAAATATCAAATTAGCAGAGCTAAGCAATTTCAGTTCACCCAAACAAGATTCATAATATGGAGAAGAAAAAAAACTATTCTCAGTGCATATAATTTAGCAGTCGTGTCTAAGAAGAAAAGAGCAAATAGGCCGACTCAATAATGATTATATTGAGCTTGAATGACAGCAGTTTTTCTCTCCTATATGCTATTGCTTAGTCTACTTTATCAATCCATAGTTTTTCCGCTAAAAGTATTCATTTCCCTTCCTTTCACTTGTGTGTTGTATCGAATAAAGTAACGGTGAAGAGAAAAAAAATTAGAATTATTTCGCAAGTACTCTTATAATTCATCTCCTATGAGATAATTACAATCGAAAAGCTTATTGAATCTGTGCGTATACGTTCCATTGTTTGCCGAGACGAAAATTCTCGTTCTCTTGTTCGCTCGAACGAAATCTTCTGTTCGGTTTTAATTGTGATTAGAAGACTTGAGCATTGTTTTTGCATTCAATTCAAGCATGTAAAGAAATTCAATATGTATACGCGATAAGCGTGACATACGAACATAAACTCCAATGTCATTCTTTTCCTTCTTCTTCTTCTTCTCCATTTTAGTATATGTCAGTTACAAGGCAGTCTTATTCTCTCGTGCTCAATTAGATAGGAACTAATATTACATCGAAACATTGGCAACTATGGTAAATAAGATGAAGAGAAAAAGAAATCTGTTTGAGAAAAGTAACTGTCAAAGACACAGCTGAAGAGAAAGGTTTTCTCAAAAAAAAACAACAACAATGAGTGGTAATAATGAACGTAGAATTCGATTTCATTTCTAATGAGAAGTGTTTCCGACTATTCTTCTAGTCGACACGTCTAGGTGAACAGGTGAATTAAACTTCCAGTTGAACTTACATGTTCACTCACCTGTTCTTTTCGACGATGCGATTCAACTGGATTTGTACTCGTTGAGAAACGTCTTCATCTACAAGAAAGAAAACAGAAGACAATACTTATCTGACTGTTTCTATTTGAGTTTATGTGTGCGTGTACTCCGGATGTTGTTAGTATTCTATCATCCGCAAGATCTATGTATCTTTTAGGCGTAAAAAAAACGACGGAATCAAAATCTGTTCGTCTTACATATACTTTTTTTTAGATTAGCAAAATACCATCTTGAAATACAAGTGAAATTTGTCTAAAGATCAGACGGACGCGCACGCATGCCAATTTGACTACCATATGAACATAGCATCATCTTTGACACAAGTCTATCATCAAACTAATTGATGTCTGTTTTGTCTTTCCTCTCGTTTTCCTCTCTTTTCTTACCATTTAGTTGATGGTGCTAGAAGCTATCACGTTGACGAGGTAGACGAGTGTGAAAAACACTTACCTGTATCGATTCTCGAGGCTTATCGTGCAAATGGCTCGTGCAGACATCGACAGAAAGAATGTTAATATTAGTTGATTTTATTACAGAATATAAATGAAACGTCTTCTGTAAAACAAAATATTCGCTGATAATCTCGAATCGAGGGTGAAATATGAAAAGATCGAGATAGATTGAATTAATTGCTTTTGGCTTTAGTTTTATTTGATAATAATTAAAAAAAGGATGTACTTATGCCGGTAGAAGAAGATGTATTCGCCTTTATCCTCTTTTTTTTCTAGGTAAGATTATAAACACATGAAGTTTATCTAACGGATAAACATGAATTGAATATAATTGCGAAGAGAATTCTCATTTTTTTTGCATTCACTGCGTGTACCTCCTTCGATTCAGCAAACTGCGCTGCTATTGCCAAGCAAAGAAAGATAAATACATGGTCGAAGCTTTCCCTTCTGAGTATTGACTATTTAATTATATTCATTTGGATGATTCAACTTGAACCGAAGATTTCCGTGGACTGGATACGCTCTTCCTAGTGCTGAACAATAATATTTACTTCTTCCGTTTGTCATCAAATCTCGGATCTGACGAATTTAAGTCTACATCCAGGTAGCGCATCGAGTTATAGACTGTTCGGTCGATATGAATAGTTGATGGTTCTTAAAGGTCACAGATAATTAACAAAAACGATTCGAGACCATTAATTCTCGCATATCACATGTCAAAGAATAACATTCACTTAAGAATTTTTTGCACACATAACATATTCTTTTTTCATTCTTAATGAAATAGAGTTGATAAAAATTTATCATTGTGAAATATCTCAGCAGAATGCCACAAAGAAAGGTGTAAATTTGTCGGGGGAAGACATTTCTTTCCGAATAATGCCAAGTGCAAGTTATTGTTCTTTCAATTGAAATGAACTAGTTTGACTTTTTAACGTCGTGCACGGATTGGTTGACAACTAATCGGATGATGTAAGTTAAGTAAGATCATGAAATTCGAATCTTTTCGGTACGGAAATCAAGTTCGCATTAGCAATAGAACACACACACATAGAAGAGTAGTCGACGATTCCATTCCCAGTAGATTACCATCCTGATGATTTAATTATGCTTCTTTCGTGCATCGGAAGTAGTATAAATAGAGAAGAAGAAAAAAAAACAAGAAAATTGCTCGGTTTACATTCAACGGTGATAAATAAGATTCTTCATTTGTGAATTTATCTCTCTTAGTGTCAGTTACACACCGAAAAATCCTCTCAGGTAATGAATATTAAGTTTTAGTGGTCGTCAGCCGTTTACGAAGAGAATCCTCAAGACTTTTGCTCGATTATTGTGATAATTCTGTGATTTATTAATGTTTTACGTTAAACAGACAAGAATACTATATATAAATTGTTAATCAAAGTAAAAGCAATAAATCTATTCTTCAAATCAGTGAAGAACACGTTTCTTTCAAGTAGTCTTTCATATTACTTGTTCTTTCGATAGTAATCAATAATCTTCTGTATCAATAGACATTTCGTTAGATTTTACCTCGATATAGACGGACAAATATCTAAATAGATCCTATTTTCTTCTTATTTAGTTCTATTATCATTCATCAATGCTTTTGACGTATTTCCTTACCACAGATGATAATTACTTTTCTCTTTTTTTTCTTTACATCTTGTTTTTCAAATCAATATTAGGTAGAATAAAAATAGCCTATGCGAGTAAATAATTAATTTTTCTCCTTTTTCTCAATCTTTCGACGGAATTTGCAGATAGTTCGTTAGAAAATTGATGTGATTAGTTCTTATAGACATGAAAAGTATTTTCCATTAACAAAGAGAAATACGCCGACGGTTTGTTACTGTATATTTCCGTCTATTCATCGTTGATCATCGTGATGAAAAATTCATTATCAAATCTCAAGTAGAAAAAGCAAAACAAGCGAGAAAATTCGCAAAATTGACAAGAATTTGCAGAATCATTGTTTTCTCACGTGGGTGAATAAGCTTTCTATGAATAATGCATTTATCTAAACTAGCAAACATAACTGTGATGTTTACTCAAAACACAATACTGAAAATATTCGTTAAACAATTCTATTCAAGGCTGAAATCTGTTTGAAGAATTCCATTACTAATTGTTCTTCATGCTCCTTTCGTTCATTGATCGTTATTCTTTTATTTTCAGGAATAGAAATCAATTGTTTTTAGATCAGACATGATGTTTGCCGTCGAGAAGAATTTGAGCAAAATCTAAATACGTGTTTAGCTAACAGGTGTAATCTTCATCTGACAAAATATAGGAAAAGAGGACGAGGCTATATTAGATACGTAGTTGACATGAAGAAAAACAAAATATATTGTTTCTCTTGATGAAAAACGCCTAAGAGAAGTAGTTGTATGTTGTTCTGTGGGGATTTGTCTTCGATGATAGTTCAAGGTAGAAAGAGCCTCCGTTCGTTTTTCTTTCTTTTTGATTATTTGTTAAATGCATTTGCCGATTTTCTTCCTAACAACTTTGTTATTTCCGACAAAGGCAGATGCGTTAGTGAAGTTTAACCAAACGATTTCTATGTTAACAATCGACTTGTCGAAGTTTCATGTTCAAGCTCAGGTAAAAAATTCCTTGTTTTTATTCATTTCGAAGATCTCTGACAACAATTGAACAACCTTTATGTAAAATGTTTTCAAATGTCTTTTCGCGATAGAGATTTTCATATGATGCATAATCAATCGTTTTGATCGTTTGAAATTTCTGTTTAAGAAACGCATTGAGAGAGTAATCACCAGTAACATCAGCGTAAATCAAATCGAAATGTTTATCCGTTGCAAATTGAACACAAGAATCGATTAATTGACTAGCTAAACGATTCTGTCGATAAATAGGATCAACACCAAGAAGATAAACATGGAATAGATTGCTACAATGGAATTGTTCGAATAGATCAATATCTTCATGTAGTTTTGTCAGAATTCCACTAATGTGTTCATGTTTATGTACATATTGGGGATTTAAAATAGAATAAAGAATATCGGAATCGTCGTCATCTCGTTTATCATGATGATTGAGTGCGTAAGCAATAGGTAAAGATCGAGTATTCTTCGAATCGTACAAAGCTAAACTTATCTTGTCAGATTTAGCGCGTTGTAGGACATGTTTCAGCCAAGACATGTCAAGTTCATCGGGTATTTTGGTTTTCAGATATTGATTCATAGGTTCATATTCGAAAAATGTTTCCATAACGTATGATTCGAATTCGTTGGTGAATTCTTCTTCGTGTATTAAGCGACATGTGAAAGTCATCTAGGCAAAGACAAGAAAGAAATCGGCGTCGAAGTTGATTCTGAGAAGGAAATTCAGTTTGATAAGAAAAAGAATTTGTCTCCAGAAGAATCGATCGAATAATCGAAGGAAAAGAACAACGACGAATGAATTCTTCGAGAGTAGCATTCAATCGGAGCTGCTAGACGAGCAAAAAATATATTACTTTGTTCTTTGAACAAAGAAATTCTTTCTCTTTTCAAAGAACAAAAGAAGATAGTCATCTGCTTTGAGATGTTATTACAATCAGAAATACAAAGATTGAAGTACATTTACATTAGAAAAGATGCAATCTATCACGAGAGAAAGGAAAGAGATCGCTACCATTAGTTCACTAGAAAATCAATCATCTCGTTTTAATTAATCATCAATATATTCAATCAAAAGTAACATTTGACTGTTTTTGCTTCAACATGTCATTAGATTCTCTATGGATTCTAATTGCTTTTCTCAACTGATCGATTTTCTTCGATGAAGAAAAAAAAAAGACAGCTGGATTACTTCTACGTACAAAGATAATCTACAGCAGATTTACGAATAGCTGTCAAAGAGTATTATTTTGTGAACATCGTAAATGCATCATCGACATATATCCGTTTTCTTTCTCTATGTTTGTTTTAAGTATGCTTCACTAGAAGAATAGAAGATAGAGTGAAGCAAACTCGTTCATTGAAATACATACATCTCCTATCTTCTTATTTTCTTCATCTTCTTTTCTCTCGTCTTCGTCTTTGTCGTTCTCGCTTACTCACATCAAGACATATCTATATTCAAATGAATGCTTCGCATCGACCCAAAAACTTCCATGTTGAATGATTTGCATTTCTATTTCTTCGCTTATTTGATTCTCTTCTACATAAACAAATGAATATTTTATTTTCAGTCTGTTCAGAATGTTTGTATTTTTCTGTGTATTTATCATTGACTTGTTTTCAGATTGATATCGATTGAATATTACGATGAATATACCACTGAACAACGACGAGATCATTCGAGAGTTCAATCGATCTCTTCGAAATAAGTTTCCCAATCGATACTCAACATTTTCTCATCCAACCCGTTCAATCCATCCGAAAGACTTCACTCGATCAGAAATTCTTGAAATTTGTTTACTTGTGCTGATTCTATTAGAACACACATTTATCTTTCTTTTGACTTTTCAAAAGAAACCATCGAAAACAACGCGCAAGTAAGGCACAGAAACACAACAAAAGCGAATTTACACTTTTCCTTTTAGAATATCTAATCAATTTGCAATCGATCTGCCCTCGAAAACAGTTCTCTACTGTTGTTTACACCGAAATTGGATACGCGCATTTTCCTTTACAAACGTCTGTCTTTCATGTGTATATTTCGTTAAACTAACTCTCAAACATTATCATCCGAATCTTGTCCATCATTCGTCAATCACATTTTATTCTCTACCGTTGAATCTCCTGCAACAAATCATTGTTAATTTTAGTACATTTCATCTTTTAATCATTTCCATCAGTGTTTTTCAATATTTCTTACGATATTATCGTTTAATCAGAAATACCTATTCAAGTTACTTTTTCAACGATCAAAATCTCCTTTTAACGAAACATACCAACGTCGCGTTGATTTTAAGCGGCTCATTAGCGCTCATCTTCGGCTATAATTTCATATTCTATGCTCCTAAACATCCTCAAACATTGAGTTTACTTCCACTAGTGTCATTCAACATGATTCTCTTGCCATTAATCAATTTCACCATCTTTGTATTTCTGATTATCTGTTTTATTCTGAGTTTTTCATTCAAAACTGACCTTGCCTATCTGTCCGCTTATGATGATCCTGAAAATCTCCGATTAATCGTGGAGAAGAAGACTTGTATCAAATGTTACTCGAAAATCTTGCGGAACAACCCGAATTTGTTCCAAGACAACAACTATTCATATCGAAATCTCTACAAACATTTCTTTCCTCCGAATCTACGTTCATCATATCCGTTCCAAACAAAGCGAATCTATCACTTATCAACCAAGAAGGAAATCTCCTCCCAAACAGACTTGCCTCATGACGAAGCGACCAGTCCTGAAATCGATCCAATCGATATTCTCGTTTTCAAGAAAACATTGAATCAACTGGACCATCAGCATTCATTATGCCATTTATGTTATTATCTATTGGCGATTTTTCTCCTGAAATACGTTCTTTTGACATTTCCTCAATTTAGCCTTCAAATGTTATTTCATCTAAAACAATTTTATTACTTCATTCTGAAGAAGAACCATTCGAATATAATAACGGATTCATTATATGAAAATCACGAGATTCTCTTGAAATTATTTCATTATTTATTTTTAATCGCAAGATTCGGTGATAGTCTTCTGCTAATACGCTTATCGTATCTGATCAGAACATACTTTCCATGCTGGTGTCAGTTCAATTCGAAAATTTGGCGTCAGCAACAGCAACTATCTCATCAAATTTTAACAATGAAAACGTCCGTCTCATCGACAAACAATGAACAGATGTCTGCGAGTGATGTGTTGAAAGGAAATGAAACTATACAGGAACAGCCAATGGAACGATCACATTGGAAAAGAAAACATTGTCGGTTTCGGTTGCGTTTTCAGTTTGTGCCCTTATGGTCGAATGATCGGCCGAGATTTTTTAATATTGAAGACGAGCGGAATAAGAAAGAAAACATCGAGATTTTGTGAGCCATTTGCTTGTCTCTGTTTTCAAATAAATCATTCATAAAGATGTTCATCTTTATACAAGGAAAGTTCTTTAGGGTAATTCGATTGATGTTCTGTTTACATGATTTGTCCCCGGCGCAGACGTATCACTGCGAAATGAGTTCCATCCGTCGATGAATAGTACAAAGTTCATTAGAAAGTTGAGAAATTTTGTAACTCGGTACAACTAGTTGGTGTTAATGAAGAAAAGAAATACGTCAATTCTTTTTTTAATTGACACCAAGATGTATGGCCACTCAAAGACGAAGTTTATGACTTTTTCCAAGATAAAAACAGTCTCTCTTTTAACTAAAAACAGTGTAAATGTGATTCATGCGATAGAGAGAGCTGAAACTCATTGAACTTGATTTTAAAAAAACTTGCGTGATACTCGAAGCGAGGAAAAGCGTTATTCAATCTTCTGCAATAACGACAATGCTGAATCATTCATCATTCTGACCTGCAACACATCTGTTTTGTACACATTCATCAGTATGAATAATCAAATAATCAGAAACAGATCGTTTCAGATCTTAACAACAAGTTTGTTGAAGCCTTTTTAGTCATCATGGAGAAATTATTTGGATACGTATAACAATTAGAACAGTCATAAACAATCAGGGTTGGATTCGTGTTTCCACAATTGTTATTTATATCTCATGGATGGATTTTGACCTATGCGTCGTCTGTCGTTTTAATTACGATGTATGTTTAGACATTTCCGGCACCATTCTCACTTTCGGCTCTTTGATGGTTAAAGGTCATAGTGACCATTGTTAACTCTATTTTTATGTACGTAAAAGTTTTTATTTTCTGTTGAGCCATTACCAAGTCTTTCTGTACTCGTATTACAACAGATTCCTATGAGTTGAGCTGTAGGTGCACATACGAGTTCTTCTCTCCTATAAGAGATCTATTAGAATGTTTTTTTCACATATCTCGTATTCGTCGACATGTCACATACAAAAAGATAGACTCTAATTGTATCCTTTCTAAACATATTTGTTCACGATTTTCGTATAAGAAGTTTATCGACTAATTCAGCTAGGAGAAAAGATTAATTTAAGTAAACATGGATCTTTCAGAGCACGGAGAGATTCAATCGTATTAATCGTACTGAATTGAGCTTATTACAGAAAGATTGCTTGATGTCAGAATAATGCATGCACTCGTTAGTGTTGATGAAATCATCAATTATTTTCATGCTTATTTGTCGGAAGTTCAATTAGAAAACTCATCGGCTAATATCTTTTGAAAATTTTCTCAACAATTTACGTCATCGTTGAAATTAGCTTCAAGATCTTCGTGAACCAATTTGAGTGTATGAAGCAGATCAGTGAAGTTATTTTTACTGAAAAATTAGTAGATATATTTAGATATTTGACGTGAACTTTAATTCATGAGACAATCACAGATGTCTTGTACCCTATTTTGCTCTGACGATTGAGGTCATTGCTTTAAATCAAGATTGAATTTCAAGAGAAATATTTTATTTTAACAAATTTCATTACGCACAACACGAAAAATACAAAATCGAAAACGCTTTACACGAAAAAGTTCTTTTCACCTGTACCATTAACTCCTTTGTTTGCGCCGGCAAATATGTATTTTATTTACATATGAGATGAGTGCTCTTGGTCTTGAAAAAATTTATCCAAAGCATCTTCAATTTCTGTTTTAACTTCGTCGGTTAGTTTAATATTTGATTGGGATTTTAACGATTTGTTTAAAGCATTTTGCTCGACAGTCAGAATCAATGGCTTTGTCAGAGTATCCACTGAATTTTGACCAAGTTTTTGTGCAACATTCTTCAGAGCGATATCCAATGCTCGAGATGGAATGTATGGAAATGTGGTTGGATTTTTCAAAAGAATTGATAGCATTGCATGAGCAAGGTGATCGGCGTCAGTTTTAATTAGGTAAAAATAACGATGGAGTACTTCTTCGGCTTGATGAAATGTTTCATCCATTGAAAGTTTTGAAGAAATATCAGTGCTTGTTAATTTTTTTTGTGTAGGTTTCGTTAAAACAAGACCAACAGCAAGTGAAATAACGACTATATACGAGGTGAACATGTTCATACTGAAACATCAGGAAAGAAAAAAGTTTTGCAAATGATTATTACATTAAAAAATTTCAAGTACATTGAAGTTTTTCAATAGAAAAAACACGGCTTATGTGCTCCAATTACCTTAAGTCTGGAAGATGTATATATAGGAAACGGGAACTAAGATGATTAAAATAACTGAAGTTTAGGTGAACCGGTATTCTTATTACAATTTATAGCAAAGGTCCTATTGACCCGTTCATCAAGTTCAGCTCAAAACGTGAGTTTTTTTTCGCAAAACGTGTATTGAATAATATACCCAACGACGCGTTTTGTAACTTTCTCGAGAGCGGGTTTTCTCGAAGTCTAAAGTCAAGTGCTAGTTGATACTATAGTCTTAAACAAGTGAACATTTGTTGCTCGAAACCCCTGGGCCGCATAGAATCATGTTTATTTCATCGAGTTTATCTGTCAATAACTGTCATCATAATTCTTCTTGCGCGTAAATATTCATATGAAAATTTGCTCCATTGAAAAACAGATAAAGTGAAACTACCAGAGAGAAAGACATACTAAGAAATGGTTGTTTTTCATACCTGATCATCAGTTTGCGTTCTGTTGTATGTCAAGAAAAGGGTCAAATGAATGCTCTGATAGTAAATGTCTGTTTAACGACAAGAAATAATGATTCATCAAGATGACAACACCGAAAAAAAAGGATTCTCTCTGGTTTTGACCAATTAAACAAAAGCCGATGTTTTTCTTGTTCTCTCAATTTCTCTCTTGCTCGTTGACTCTTCTCTTCTTCTTCTTATACTACTCTCTCTTCTATTTTATTTTTAGCCTTCTCTTGAGATGGGCTTGATAAATCATACTGACATCAGAGAATTAATATATTATATTGGTACCGAAGTATTGTAATGTACGAACTTTTAATTTTAACTGATTATCTTTCTTTGATCAAATGCGCTGCGCTAGCAACTTTTAATTTAATCTAATCAACGTGTATTTAATTAAAAAGAAATAAAAATAAAAGTCATAGAAAAAAAAAACTTGGAACTGTTGTTTTGTTTTAAATATCAATCAACGGATGTGATGAATATGCAAATTATTTATCGAATCGAATAGAAAAATACAATTTAGATAAAAAATACAAACAGAAATGTACTATTAAAATAACTCTTTTTTATAAACAAATCCGTATTGACGACATTTCGTTGTTAACGTTGTTGATAATGCTGGTGGTCCACAGTAAAACACCGAAATTTTGCCTTTTTTCTCATTTAATAAATCCGTAAAAACCTAAGAAAAAGGAGGTAACTTAGTCAAATATCTAAGTAATACAAACTTCCCGATCATGATGTACTTAGATATATATGTATCTTATCTCTTATTAACACACAAACTATTATTAAAAATACCATGAGATCCTTGACTACGCTTCAATTCTTCGGTGACAAAAATTAAAAGACGTTCGTTTGTTTCTCTCGTAATACTTTTGACATCAGAAAATAGACTTGTTGATCTCGAACGTGTTTTATCTACTAACAAATAGTTCATCAATCTACATCGACGTAAACCTATTCATCCTCTATATTAGCGAAACATGAGTAATCATCTCTTAATATAGGTTTACGATGAAAAAAACTATTAGGATCGTTTCTTTAGTAGGAAAGTGTACACTAATCCCTTTGCATTTTAGAATAAAATCCGACTTAGAATATTTTGAAAATATTAATTAAGGCTAAATAACTTCGCGTCTTGCCGTCTCAAATCGATAATAGCGGAAAACGTTAGCAGAGTTTGTTGCTGTTCGACGACCCTTGTCGGTAAAATGTCAGTTTATATTAATAGTTGAAATTTTCGTTGATGATTATGAATAGTTCATAATGCGTGGAGAACGAGCATGTGATTTAGTAGGGAATAGGATACAGAGGAAGTTGAAAGTTCTTTTCTTCGTGGATTTTAGGAGGAAAATTCTGAAAATATCGCCAAGTCATTTTCCAGGTCACTTAATTCTATCCTGTTCAATGACTTTGTTCTATATTTCTGCTTTCGATCAAAAACAAGATGTCATTTTCGTGACACTTGCTGAATTAGTTTCATTACCTGATCCCAATCCGGTCGGCCATGTTTGGTTCGTTGTCGAAGACCATCAACAGCGTCACAATTAGTAGTATTTTCTCGCCCGATTAAATCCAATGAAAGATAGACATTCAATGCTTTCAAATCTGCTGCTGATTTGGCACTGGTGACATATAAATGAACTTCGAGTAAAGGCCCTTTATCGGAATTTTGCTGTAGATGCTGCTGTTCGATTTCCATTCGTGCTAATAAACTAATGAACCATTCCAATGAACGTTGTTCGCGAGTGACCCAAATGAAATCGACCTGAAAAACGGACCTCCGATATTTTGACGAAAAAACAAATGATCCATGCAGACCTTTTTAACAAACGGTTGATCATCTTGAGGATTATCCCAGATATAATCACAATTGGGACACTTATGTCGAAGATTTCGGTAACGGCACATGATACTCTGTAAAATCGAAGCAAATGGCGTGATGCCGATACCAGCGGCGATCAGAACAGCGTGTTCAGCTTCGAAAATATGTTGAGACGGTGCTCCATACGGTCCATCAATTAAAATCTACCAAAAAAAATAACATTTCAGTTCTTTACGAATAATTGGTTCGTGTTCTTTTCAATTCATTACTTGTAGATCTTCCCGATCATTAAATTGAAGTGTATTCATTTGTATTCGATTATGATTTTGATACATACGTAGATAGCCCAAGGCATCCGATAGGCGTGAGTCATTAAAAGCATAATCTTGTGGTTCATCGTTCATTGACGGTGTATTCGATGTTCGCAGACAATGATCATCATTAGTTGGAACAGTTAAGTGATTTTTTGTTTTCGGTAATGATTCACGGGGTTCTTCGCTGACTGGCACTTCATTTCTACGCTCAGTCGTAAGAGTTGATGTGTTTGTTGAATGTAGATTACTTCGATCGTATAAGGTAATCGACGAGTGACACGAAGGTGAGAGTTTTGATTGAAATCGAACTTGAGGCAACGAGACTGAACTGCATTTAGGTCTTATATCTTCACTAGCTCGTACTGATGAACGAAAAAGACGATTAGCTTTATTGAAATTCGCCGGAAGTTCTGATTCATCTGGATTTGAACCACGTAATTCGCTGATATAAGTTTTCGACATTCGAGAACGCATCGATGTTCGAAGATTAATATGACTATTTTCATCCAGTGAAACGCCATGATCTTGTTGTAATTTAGTTCGAAATAAATCGTAAACACGTCGTGTCCAGTGGCCACAGGCCCGAACGTGAAGCCAAAGACTATCTGAAACAACTCGATACTTCCGAAGAAAAAATCAAAACCATCAATTTGATACCTTTATGTTCCGGGGCACTACTGATACTGAATGGATGCCATTCAAAACTGGCTACTGCAGGAATATTTATATAAATATAATCACCAGGTTTATAAGTGAACTTCCTTGGTTTATTAATCACCAAATGAATAACCTTAAAGAACGAAAGCGAAGGATCCTGGATAAGATTCTCTTCAAAAATTTACTTGAGACGGCAATAAGATTGCTTCCATGATGAACGTTTCTCCACGTTTATTTGATCGTGATTGATGATATCGTCGAATTTTCTCAATGGCGTACAAACCTCCGGGTACAGCTAACCATTTCCAGAACCTTGGCCCATGTAAAAGCATGATAATCAACCAAGGAAGAGTTAACATATGACACCAATAGAAAACCTAAAGTAGATTTTCATATTAGTATTCAACTGATCATTGGTCCTACTTGAAAATGACCACTTTTTCTGACGAAAGGTAAGCACATGATATAAAAAATCGCTCCTAAAATGAATTCAATCACGCCAGTGATGTATCCAAGGCCTAATTTAGCTGTGATAAGTGCATCAACATAATTATGATGTGTGTCACGATATGGTTCTATAATACATTCAACAAATAAATGAAATCTTCAAAATAATATCAACTTACTGCATCGAGTAGCACATTTCTCTACCGTATCGAAATTGTTCCAATTTCCGCCACAACCGTGGTATTTAAACTGATCACATTGGTTTATCAGCGAATCATAATGATATCTTGTTGTTAAAATCATTCGATTTGATGCCGATTCATTGAACAAATGATAATGAAGAGTACTCGAATTGCTGTGACATGGAAAACCGCAATCTCTTGGCAACGAACAAACATAGAACACATGACCTTAACAAATCAACTCTATGACATGACTTGACAAATTTTCTCCTTTTACCTAAATAAGCTAAATGTGCAGCGGTGTGCAGTATTGATTCAACCAGAATGATAATTCCAATGATCTTGTGTATATCAATATGATGGTCAAGCGGAAGAATGATACCACCACCTTTTGTTCTTAGCCATGTAATATGTTTGCGTAGCATCAGTAAAAGTACCAAAGCACAATTAAAATTCAATAGTCCACCTAGGTAGGCAAAGCTTTGAGATTGTGACAATGTTCCAAAGAAATTCGTTTACCGTTAATTCGAGCAATGATGACGAGGAAATGTGCTTGTTGTTGGATGAGATAAATTCGAAAGACATTGATACATATACATAGGCAAATGATTAGATACAATGACCAGAAAAAGACGAGATCAATGTTATTTCGTATCCAACTACGAATTGTTAACGAACGTTTGTGACTTTTGCTAATCGACGCTGGTTTCGGTTGAATCCAACTAGTGGTACTAAAAAAAAACAGTTTGGATTTTACTAACAATTCCAGAAACCTGTCTTTACCTGAGTGAAAGAACTTTGAATAAATGTTCATTTCGATTGAAGGCGCTGGTTAATTCTTCTAAGCTTATATCCCCTGAACCATCAACATCAGTTTCTTGAAATAAACTTGCAGTTAATTCGGCTAATGTTTCTTCTAAGTCCAATGATGGCGATTGTTCGAGGAAACAACGAAGTAATAGTTTCATTTCATTGAAATCGATAATTCCATCACCTAAAAGTGTCGAGAAAAGCGTTTTTTTTCTCCAAACGATCTTTACACATTCACGAACCATCATGATCGAAAATTCGAAAAAGAAATTCGAGCTTTTCAATATCATTCGCATTGACAATCGCTTCGAGTTTATCAATGAGAACTTCTAATTTCAATCGACCCGTTTTTTCCGTATCCAAATAATTGAACAAACTTGCCGCTAACTGAGGCTAAAAAAGCCCAAAAAAAAACAAATGAGCTCTTTGAAATTTCCAAAAAGAAATACGTACAACTTTGAAGTAGAAACTCTTGGTGAATGTTTCCAAGTCCATACTTTCTTCTGTAGGCGAACTATTTCGATGTTTGCTCACTATCATATGAAATTGATAAGTGAGCCATGACAGCCATTTGATATCAGTTTTTACACTTGAATGAACGAATTGAATGTGTGAAAGATGAAGAATAAAAAGGTACGAACTATGAAACAGTACGGAGAATATTGAAAAATTCGGCGACGGTCAATATGTTTGTTTCACCAATGAATAATAAAGCAAATTGCCGACGAAACTAAAACGAGAATGATTAGTGAAATGGTTTCCTAGTCGTTCTGAACTTTACTGAAGAATCTTCGAATAATTTACAGAAGTTATTTAATGATAGTGCGTCATGTTCAGGGCAAATACGTCTGAAACCGTTGGTAAATGGTTCCAAGGATCGAACATCTTTCGTACGATTTGCTGTTCTATTATACAAAGAAAACGATTACATCTCGGAAGACTAATTGGCATCGTCACAAGAGAATATTTACTCTACAACTTTGTAAATCGATCCAATCCATTCCGACTCACACAATGAACCACATGAATCACGATCAAATAACCAAAAGAGTGATTCTAACAATTGCTGCAGAAGAGACACAAATAAGAAGCAAATCGGAAAAGATTTTTCTTACACGTTGCCGGAGCAAATAAAGAAATTCTTGATAACTTAGGTGGGTGCGACCATGAAGATGACGTTGCCATTTTTGTAACTGAGCTTCTCTATTGGATGACGAAGTCGTTATCGATTTCATCATGTACCATACGATGACTTTATCGAAATGTAATGAAAAGATGTTTTGTATACCACGTCTTCTATCACATTCTATTCTAGGCTATTCTTTTTATTTCTTTCTGTTTGTTGAACAATTATATACATATGTATATAACATATGGTCTGCTGAATCATCGAAAAGGATAGAAACAAACAAGGGTTGTCTATGAATTTCTTTTCCTGTGACATGCATAGAGTTTATGATCACAATTTAACAAACATTGAGGACATTATTCGTTATAACAACGTGCGGAGAATCACTTCGATGTAGTTGCATCCTGTCCCGATGACCCCGGTTTGTACCAAATATACCGAAAACTATTTAAAAAAGTACCGACGATGAATCGTCGCCGATCTAAAATATCTGTCCGTCTGGGCGAATTTTCTGTTTCTTTTCGTTTTGTACTTTCGTTGTAAGGTCATAGCCCTACCGTTTGGATCGAACGTATTTTGTTTATTCTTTGCTCGCTCTTTGTTTTATAGAAAAGAAAACAATAGTTTATGTGTCATGGACATGAAGAGAGAAAAAGAACACGAGACGACAGAAAACAAGAGAAAACGAATAGAGAGAAGAAAAAGAAAACTAGAACGTTCAGTGATCAATGTGTAGCAAGAGCAAAAAAGAATGAGAGACAATTATATGCATGACGCAAAACACAGAGAAAAGATATTCGAATAATTAGGTTGATTTTGGTTTCGTTTCCATCGGCGAAGATTTACATACAACAGAAAGAACCGGTCGGTCGGTGACTTTTGTTGTCACGTTCAAGTTTCCTTCAGTTTCGAATCGGTGAATATCGAGAGACGAATGAATAGATGAACAAGAAGAAAAAGAAAAGCCATAAATGCGCACAAATAACAACATCAAAACTTAAAGAAAATCTAGGAGTAGTTGAAGAAGAAGAAGAAGAAGAAGAAATACGAACACCGGTCATGGAGAGAAAAGAAAAAAGACAAAAAGAGTGATAATAAAACATTCGATATTTCAAAGTTTCATCATTTGTCAATATTTTCTTCAAATTTAAGATGCTCCACTCGTAACTGCTGATGATTCTTGTTGCTGATGATGATGATGTCCCATTGGATCCATCATACTTGTTGGACTTGATGATACAGGATATCCGCCTGGATACATCATCATCATAGGATTTCGAAATTGAGACATTTGAGCGTAGGATCCGAAGAGATCTAAACAGATTCATCGTCAGTAAGAAGCGGAAGTGTGAATTGTCTTACCATGTGGAGCCGGTGGATAGCCACCACTGAATTGATAATGCATGGCTGCAGCTGCAGCTGCATCGGGTGAATACGGTCCAAAACAATCAGTAAATTCCGATGGTATAGCCGCTAGAATAGAAAGAAAACAGCATGTCGAATCGGCTAGTTTCGATAATTTTTCGATCATCTGTATTATTTCACGCATTCGTGCAAATAATTAACTTTGACAGCAGAAGAAAGAGAAGAAAAGAAAGGCGAGGAGGAGGAACAATTGCTTAAGTGTCGAGATGAATTAGATTGATTGTTCTTTTACAAATCAATTTAGTATTAACTATTGATATGTCAGTGGGCATTTTGATCAACAGAAATCTGATCAAGAAGAACTGATTGTGAAGCAGTATTCAGTCGACGCGTCAAAGGCATTGAAAAGAAAAAAGCAGCATGGCACACACACGCACACCCACACGATGATGCATAAGTAGAAGTTCTACCTTTTTGAGCATGGGCTGGAAGAAAAAGAGAAAGAATGTCATGTATGGATAGATAAAGAAGGGTAAAGCATTAAATGATAAATATGTATGTTAGAGCGTTAAGAAACACTCTTGCCTTTTGCTAGATATGAAAAAGCTAGTTGTTGAGGAAGAACTGGTATATCAACAGGATTTGATCGTCGATATGATGTTTTCTTATCCGTTGGTAATTCTCGAGATTTAGTCTGACGTTTACATCGGTTTGAGACAGTGGGAGGAGATACCGATGAGAGGATTGATAATGAAGTTTGCTCATTACCATTCATGTACGACTTACCGGCACGATTTGATTGATCAATCATTGGCTGAACAATACGACGTCTGGCATTAATAAACCTTTAAACAAAAACAAAAGATATTAAATAATGATCTTCTTTGAACGTTTGTTGAATTATTCGAATGAATTTAACCTTCTTTCTTCTCTCTGATAAGAATCGAGTTGACCTCGAAAAACCTGTCAGCAGGAAACGAAGATAGACAGATTTGTTTATAACAGAAAGATATCTTCGCCATGATAAATGATGTCCAGCTTGTGGAAAAGAGATATAGTAACGATCTTTCCCTTCAAGATATGTATGTATATACAAACATGGCAAGCTAATGTCTAAGTTAAGTTTCTCCTCCTTGTCTTCTTAATGTGATTTTAACGATGGCGACGATCGATTGTTGTCATCAACATCCTGCCAGATGTTTTTCTCTACGTCTCGCATTAGATCGAAAGAAAAAGAAGAAGAAGAACTGAAACGTGACTGAGATTTCTGCTTTGTTTGATCTGAAGATAATTATCATCAGGAAAACATTTTCTGACAGTTCAATCCAATTGTCGATTACGCTCGAAGATCTTTTCTCTTCTCTTCTCTTCTCGTTTCCTACACGAGTAAGTATCAATGAACGGGTTTGTTTATTTTATTAATTGACCATTCGATTGCTTCAATGTTGATAAGATGTCAGAAAAATGTATGTCGAATAAGAGGGAGAGAAGTTTGATCATCATTATTGCCGACATATACTAATAACAAACTGACAAAAAAGGAGAGTATACCGGCAAATGGTAACAAGTCTCAAATTGATAATAAACATACATACATACGATTTATTTATATCTCATTTAATTGGCTCAAATTTCCTCGAAATTTCAACCAATAGGAATGAACGAGAACTTACCAGTTATTAACTAAAAGAAAGAAGAAGGCAATTAGAGGAGAGAAAGACATAATCAAGTGTTTTACCTTGTAATATTGTTAAACCAGTATCTTGAGCTAATTGTTTCTTTTGTTCTTCGGACGGATATGGATGCTGAAGAAAAAAGTCCTTGTTGAAAGCAAAGAAATCATGCTGAAAATGATTGAACATACGGTTAAATGTTGAAATAGCCATGCACGCATGATATTTGTTGCAACTTTTGGAAAAATACCGCGCTTCTTTTGACGTTTCTTCGTATTATCATCAAGATCATCATCATCACCTGAACCGACACTATTAGCGAAATTGTCACCTTAAAAGAAAAGTCAAAGTTCAATATCTTTGAAATGTATTTCATTTTTATCATCAATTATGATTGATTGACAAGACATATTCATATCTAGTAATGCGTCTTGACAGTCGATTTGAGAAAAAGCATTCGAAATATGATTAGTCTACAGACGAACAAGTCTGTCTGGTCATTTTTTATAGAGAGAAAATCAGAGATCAGATTTAAAATGACATGCAAACATGAAATGAGCAAGAGAAGTGAACATGTCGACAGATTGATAATGTTTTCTAGTTGTAATTATTCCTATTGCTCGTTTCCCTTTGCGTCGTAAATGTCAATAACTTTTGCGAGTAGGCGGAGGAGAAGAAGAAGAAGACGGAAAACTAGACGAAGTTCGATGGAGAAAACATACCCGTCTCACTATTATTGTCATGTAAACCATGGTAACCATTATTCGAGTTTGTCATGTTAATCATTGATGTTGGGTTGGCATTGGGTGTAGTTGTATCTGACGAAGAATGTGTCGATTGAGTATCATCGTTATGTATTGAATGATGAAAATGTGCGGGATGATGATTTAAAAGTGATGAATGATGACCGCCGAGGTGATTCGAATAGGAAGGATGCGGAGGAGGTGGTGGTGCAAGTTGCTGTGGAAAATGTGTGCTGGGAGGAGGTTGGTGATGATGATGATGTGACGGAGGAGGTGGAGCATGGCCAAGATGATGTGGTGAAACAAATGGAGTCAATTGAGATGAAGATGATCGAAGCTAGAAGGAAAAAAAAGGTGCAAATTGAGCGAATCATTCGAAATTTAACTCATACAGATTTGTTTGGATGAGTAAATGGTGTTACAGAGCCATCTGGACTGTGTTGATTATACGATGATGCACGCGACAAAGTAGTTGGTGGATGTGGCGGATATCCTGATGGTGGTTGAGGACTTGATTGATCATCATCTTGATCGTCATCATCGTCACCCGATTTAGTTGATGAAACATTTGAATCTCGTTCATCGATCACTAAATCCATGGGTAGTTTACCTTTGAGACAAGTAATATATCGATGAGTAAAGTTATCGCATAGTTCATGAACCTGAAAAAAGAACAAGGCAACTGTGTCTCGTGAAGTTCATCTGCAAGCGTCGATTTTACTTTTTCTAATTCGAGTAAATGAAATCGCAAGACTTGAATAGCTTGAATCATCTAGAAAACATCGATTGGAATCGGAAAATCATGGAGATAAAAGTGATTTATTTACCACATTGTCGAGCTCAGGATTCGTGGTTATGTAGTTTTGATCTTTTTGCAGCTAGAGAAGAAGAAAAGCGGAAATTTATTGCTGATCAAAAAAGGAACAGCAGGTGCTTGGAAAACAAAGCGTATCCGGCAATGGAGAAGAAAAATCTGCTTGTTCGATTAGCGTGAATATGATGATGAGTTATTCTTTCTGACCTCTTGCATTCTCATCTCATGTGTCTTCTTCAGATGAAAAGCTAATGACATTTTAATGATACCCTCAAGCTTATTCTCCCATTTACACCCATCGACAAAACAAAAATAGAAGAGCTAACTTGTTCTTTTTTCCCCGTTGCGACTGATAAGATGACGATGAGCTGATTTGCTCGTGGGATCATCACAGCATAGTCTGTTATCTACGGCAAAAGATCAAGCTAATAAATAGCACGTGTTATTTCAACCATTAAGATCAGTGTAGACAAAGAATGCCTTTTAGAATTTTAATCACATTTCGCATTTTCATTTGATTAATTAAGTGAAGAATTTGACAGAAGTACTCGACACCTATCTCTCGATGTGACAACTTTCATATTGTTCTCGTTCTCAGCGTGACATGCATTTTCCTTAAACTCTTCAAAGATAAGTCTTTATTGAAGCAAATATTCACATTGAAAACATCTGCAACATGTCGATGACGTGAATTCATATTCGTTTTCTCTATTTGCTAGATCTTATCAACGTTTGCTCATTCAAGTATCAATCTGACAGGAGAGTGAGAGAAAGAGGAGGTCATAATCATCAATATATGTATATTTTACATTTATTTTCTTGTTCAAGTGGCTTATCAAATGTTCATCTTGTGATAACAGACATCCATACAGTAGCTCGATAATGCACTTCAATTTAATTCTTTTGTTTCATTCCTCTACTTGACTATGATCGATAAGAAAAAATGAAACTTTTTTTTTGTTCGTTACCTGTTTAGCGAATTCTGTCACATCATCATTGAAGGATTCCGACGAACAAATGTCTCCCGGTCCACCGGAATCTCGTGGCGTACAAGTTGCTAATTCACATTTTTCAAAGATCAATGCCAGTAGAGGAAATAATGGATGACTAAATGAAAAAAAAAGAAATAAGTCTTCTTATCTTCGTCTCTTCAGAGTTGAGCTATAATTATGATCACATATTAAACGAAATCAATCTTTCGCTTCGAGCGATATGCGTTTCTTCTTCTTTTTATTTTCTAAATTAAAGAGCACGGAGATTTTTGATACCTTCGTATTTCGATTACAGTCATATCAATTTACGATTTGAATAATAAGCGAGCAGAGAAGGAAACGAGCCAATAAAAATTCATATATCTGAGGTCGTAATCGTAATCAGTACTTCGCTATAATTTCAGTAACCGATGAAGGAGCAGCAGGCGTAATGATCATCAATCACTGTCATACGCATGCAAGAATCGAAAGAGAAAAAGAATTGCCAAGCAGAATACTGTGGAAGAAGGGAAAAAAAGAATACCCAATGAGACGATAAGGTTAAGAATAGACAGCGAAAAAGATCTCGATTGTATGTACGCGCTTTTCTTTTCCTTCTTACTCGACTCGCGTTTTGCCTTTTCCAATGATTATTAGATAGTCAGTGGTACGCACTGACGCACACATAAAGGCCATCCACCACCATCATCATCATCACTAGTAGAATAACAACACCGACGAAGAGATAGCAGCCAACCGAGTGATTACAAAGATAGACGAGTCGAAGCGAACAAGATGATTAACAGAGAAACCAAACTAGCAAATATCCATGTCTCTCTTCTATTCTCATTTGCCTTTTTTGCTACATGTTATCAATGTTCGTTTAATTGCTTTTGTTTTCTTTTACACGGACGAATCTGGTGCTTTAACAGATCTATCGATATGTATACTTATACATCAAGATAGAAGTAAACATTCGTCAATCCGTATATCGATGAAAGAAGAAGAGTCAGAGCACGAGGATAAAAGCACGCCAAGCGTGAAGATAATGATCGGTTTCGAAACTACAGCTGTGTATGTATGTATCTATGATTGTATGCAAAGAGAAACGAGAAGGGCCGCATTGAAATACAAAGAAAAAAGTAGAAATGTACAATATGCTCGAAGGTGATTCGGCCCACCGACTTTCTCATCATTATCATCAATGAACGGATGAAATAAAAAGTGTTCAGCGAGAGCATCGCAGCCGAGAAACAACGAACTAATCGATCAATCTTGACATCACACAAGATACAATAAATATGTACGAGAAAAAATAAAGCATCAGCTGTCAAGAAAATAATCTCTTGAATGAAAATATCTACCTGTAGATCATATCTTTGTGTTGTTTAACTTGATTATCGGCATTGACACTGTTCGGATGACTTGTTGGAACTGATGATTCGCCCATTGGTCCAATAAGCGTTTGTAAATGATGAGGAATTGGAGATGCCGACGATGTTTCCGTGGAAAATGTTGTCGGGTACATACTGTTATTACCATTGGGAGCATTTGTTGCTGAAAAATCTCCACTACCATTACCATAATAGGGTCCATTTGTATCGGTGAGTAACTAAATGTCGAAAAATAAATAAATAAATCTTCGTCTTGATCGAACGTCAATAAAAGTGACATCAGACAAATTACCCGTTGAGCAGCCATTGTTTTTCAGTGAAATCGACGCGAGTTCAAGACGACATGACTAATATTTCTGTTGATCATAAATAAAGACAAGTTGAGATAGATAAGTCAATGAAGATCATCATTCATTAAACAAGATCGGGGGTAGTTTATTTGTCTCGGCTTTTTTTCTCTTTTATTGTCTTCCTATCTATTTGTCTATCGAAGAGAAACGTCGATCTTGTCTTGTATTTATATCCGTCGTGCTTGTCGAATTGTAGCGTGTAATAAATACGGTTTATATCTGTCGAATTTAATAGGACTATGTGACGTGATCGATGTGTGCGATTTGATAGATTTCTGGATGTCAATCTTTATCCGTAACGCGCGCGCGCAAACGTCTCACCTTTTCGCAACTTTCTCTTCTTTTTCTATGTGCAAGAGAGAAAAAGATTCGAAGAAAAAAAAAAGCGAAGTCTGCTGCTGCTCACAGAAAGAGAGAAAACTAACGACGAAGCAAGCGAACACTTGTAATTACTCTTAATGTGAACGGTTACTCTCGACCAGTCAGCAAGCGAGTTGCTATTTCTCTTTTATTTTTTTTCTTCTCTCTTTCTCTCCCGTTATAGACGAAAGAGAAAAAAAAAAGGATTTTCTTCTTTTGCTTATATGTTGATAGGCGATTATATGCGTATGCCTGTGTGTGCGTGTGAGAACAAGCAAAAAGCCGAGTGTTGGCGGGTATTGTCGACAATGAGATATATCAAGAAAGAAAGCGTTCGCAGGTTCGAGATTGGACGAGATAAAAAAGTACTACAGCCACTGTGTCGCGTTAGGAATAAAGAAGCGGAGAGAGAAAAGAGGAAGTTGCTCAATTCAGAATGATGTCTTACATTGCAAAGTCTTTTTCTTTGTTCTGTTCTGAAAATCTTCGATGACAAAAAAAAAGTCAGAATTATTGAACGAACGAAAAGAAAAAGATTAGACGTAACGCTTCAATTGACACTTGGACTACAGCGCTTGTGTTTCTTTAAAAATCATGATGAAATGAACTGGCACTTAGACGGAAAAGGGTGGAGAAGAAGGCAGCAATGATGTTGCCAGCGGCAGAAGAAAGGCGTGTCATATCCAATCAAATTTTAGACGAAGATTGATTGGTAGACGAAGATGTGACGTGTAGCATGTCAAAGAAAAAAGAAAGGAAAAAAGACCAAGAGAGAAGAGTTTTCAATGTAGCAAAAAGAAAAACTTGGATTTCTCATAAAATGAAAAAAAAAGGCAATTCTTCGCCGTTTTCTTTCCACTGTTATTTTTTCATTATCTATTAATATCCATCACGTACAAAAGAGAAGATGATCTGTGTGTGACAGTTGCTAATAATTCTCTAGCTTGTCTTTTTGACATCTAGACGTATTACACATTGAAAAAAAGAAGTTCCTCTCCTTTGTTTCTTTTTGACATGTGCTAAATCGATATATACATATATAGATTAATTGAACATCAACTTTTTTTACATTTGACTCGAGCCATTTTCTTTGCTCGTGCTCATTGCTTTTTTTCAAAGAGCAGCCGTAACGGCAATAAAAAAAAATGCTGTCTTCAGTCTTGTCGATCGGCGGCACCGTTTGTGTTCTCTAGAGAATTTCNAAAAAGAAGTTCCTCTCCTTTGTTTCTTTTTGACATGTGCTAAATCGATATATACATATATAGATTAATTGAACATCAACTTTTTTTACATTTGACTCGAGCCATTTTCTTTGCTCGTGCTCATTGCTTTTTTTCAAAGAGCAGCCGTAACGGCAATAAAAAAAAATGCTGTCTTCAGTCTTGTCGATCGGCGGCACCGTTTGTGTTCTCTAGAGAATTTCCACAACCCATCAATCTTTTACTTGACATAGTTCGTTTGTTCAATGTGTGTGCTAAAAAAGAAATAAGAAGAACAAAGAAACAATGGGGCAGGCGGCATGTTTTTTTTTCCGCAGATATTTTACATTCATCTGTTCCACACAGAAATTCTGTGTTGAAGAATGACGTGTTCCGGTTCGATGAAGAATTTCCATACATAGATCTACTGATGATGTCAAGACAGAACTGTCGTGATCGTTGTGTTTCTCTCTTTTTTTTGGGGAGGAATTCAACACTTTCATTTCGTTTACTCCTGATCTCTTGACACACACTTTGATCCTCATCAATCTTCCGTTTTGTTGTATATTGATAAAGCATATCAGGTTTAAATGCATTCATTTAAACGGTAAACCGTGAAGAGAAGAAGGCGAGTAACTCGCGTCTTTTCGTCTTGATCTCGTGCATAGAGAAAATGGGTGTAGTGAAGAAAGAAATTATCGCCCGGTACGCGTCTTGATGATCTCATTTGAAGAGAAACACAATCAAGTGAGCGAGAAGGTAAGCTAAGCCACTTTACCTTCATTGCTATTCATTGTAATCGAAATCAACAAAAGAATATGATGATTGATAGTGGATACAGACGATAGAACACAAATGCTCGCAAAATAAGTGACCCTATGATTATTGCTATTCGATTATGCACACATTATATTCTCACACACACATACCATACACCGGTATGTGTGTGCGGTCAACTCAATTGATTATGCATATATTTCTCTCTCGGTTTTTTTTCGCACATCATGCGAATCTTCAATTCACTTGACTCGGATCAGTCATCCACATAACATCGGGATTTATCTGCTTATGATCAAGAGTATGATGAGAGATGTTTTGGCCGGCATTTTGTCATTTTAAAGAGAAAAGGTGTCAGTCAATATAATGTGATGAGAAAGTCTGCTTCGCATGTGCGGCAAGGATGGACTTTGTCTGTTCTAACGATCATTAATTGCTGGAATATACAAATGAGCATCGGGAAAACTGCGATGTGTTTGATGTGACAGATCTGATTGGGATTAATCCGGACGAATATTTCCCTTTTCTCATGGAAAAAAGCCTGTTTTGTCTATCTGTCAATATCGAATTTTCAATTAAGAAATACGATCACTGTTAATCATGTTTGGAGACACTGATCGGACATTCGATTTCAATATAAACATTGAGTGTATGTTTATTTGTTCCCAAAAAAGAAATCTTCTTCTATACATACATCATACACTTCAAACATGACAACAAAGAAGATGAAAAACAGTCGCTAATGCATAGGATCGTTTCGTTCCACAAGATAAGTACAAGTTCTGTGTTCCAAAAGAGAAAACGCGACGAAGATGTGTGCTTTT